CATCTTCTGGACTAAAAGCATAACTGTGCTAGAAGTAAACTATACTCAGCATACCTGCACTGGGTATAATGCTATGCAATATTTTGCTTTGTATTGCACACTTTGACTTGGATTTATAAATGTACTATTACTGACATTAAAGGAACACTATAGGAACTATAGGAACACTATAGGGTCAGGAACACAAACTTGTATTCCTGACCCTAAAGTGCTAGAAGCACCATCATTGAATAAATGCATCTCTATGAGGAAAGCTCAGTGTCTCCATACAGAGGGTGGAGAGACTGAATGTCAGTACTGCACACTGTCCAGCACTGCCCCAGGAAGCACATCTAGTAGCCATCTGAGGAGTGGCCAGTGGAGTTATCACTAGGCTATAATGTAAACACTGCATTTTCTCTGAAAAGACAGTGTTTATAGCAAAAACCTGAAGGTAATGATTCTACTCACCAGATCATTGTGGTTAAGGTCGTGAAGGAGGCATTTGCTAAACATCCCCAAGTTGCTCCTGACTGGGGAAATTAATGGAAATCATGTTAAAGGATAGGATTGTTGAACATCTAAAATCACATGGATTTCAAGATCAGAGACAACATGGGTTTACTTCAGGGAGATCATGCCAAACTAATCTTATTGATTTTTTTGATTGGGTAACTAAAATTATAGATCAGGGTGGTGCAGTAGACATTGCTTACCTAGATTTCAGTAAGGCTTTTGACACTGTTGCACATAGAAGGCTTATCAATAAACTGCAATCTTTAAGTTTGGATTCCAATATTGTTGAATGGGTTAGGCAGTGGCTGAGTGACAGGCAACAGAGGGTTGTAGTCAATGGAATATATTCAAAGCTTGGACTTGTCACCAGTGGGGTACCTCAGGGATCTGTACTTGGACCCATTCTCTTTAATATTTGAATTAGTGATATTGCAGAAGGTCTTGATGGTAAGGTATGTCTTTTTGCTGATGATACTAAGATATGTAACAGGGTTGATGTTCCAGGAGGGATAAGCCAAATGGCAAATGATTTAGGTAAACTAGAAAATGGTCAGAGCTGTGGCAACTGACATTTAATGTAGATAAGTGCAAGATAATGCATCTTGGATGTAAAAACCCAAGGGCAGAGTACAGAATATTTGATAGAGTCCTAACCTCAACATCTGAGGAAATGGGTTTAGGGGTAATAATTTCAGATGACTTAAAAGTAGGCAGACAGTGTAATAGAGCAGCAGGACATGCTAGCAGAATGCTTGGTTGTATAGGGAGAGATATTAGCAGTAGAAAGAGGGAAGTGCTCATGCCATTGTACAGAACACTGGTGAGACCTCACTTGGAGTATTGTACGCAGTACTGGAGACCGTATCTTCAGAAGGATATTGATACTTTGGAGAAAATTCAGAGAAGGGCTACTAAACTGGTTCATGGATTGCAGGATAAAACTTACAAGGAAAGGTTAAAGGATCTTAACATGCATAGCTTGGATGAAAGACGAGACGGGGGGATATTATAGAAACATTTAAATATATAAAGTGAATCAACACAGTAAAGGAGGAGACTATATTTAACCCCTTAAGGACCAAACTTCTGGAATAAAAGGGAATCATGACATGTCACACATGTCATGTGTCCTTAAGGGGTTAAAAGAAGAAAATCTACCACAACAAGAGAACATAGTCTTAAATTAGAGGAGCAAATGTTTAAAAATAATATCAGGAACTATTACTTTACTGAGAGGGTAGTGGATGCATGGAATAGCCTTCTATGTTCTATGAAATGAGAAGAGGAAAAAGAAGCAAAATTAGTATAGTGTGATAAATCTCGATAGTAAACGTAATTGGCTGTTACGGCTAGCAAAGCAGAGAACTGGAACAAGTCCAAGCGATATATAGTAATTACAGGGATTTACTTTACATGATGAATCGCCACTATCTCCACTACTTTAAGGTTATCAGTATGTATGGTGGTAGTAATCTTTATTTACTATTTTCATATAATGTATATTAAAAACAAAATGCCAAGCAGAATAAACTAAACATATACCCTTAGTGAAGTGCTGTAAACAAGGGAACACTTATCCCACATTCTCTTGATAAAACCATGTATGTCAAATATGCAAAAGACAAAATTAGAATAATACAGTGTAGATGGTAATCAAATGTATATATCTTTTCTTGAGAAAAGTGGATCACTCACATTTAAAAGAGGCTTTATATATTGGCTCTGTAAATCAGGCTTGTATGCTCTTAGGGCAGCATCACAACACTCCTCCACTCTTATATTTACTCTGGCAAAATAAAAGAGAGAGAGGCCTCCAATGTGTAGTATAATCAATAAAATACAAAAAATAAATAAAATAGGTATTAAGCTCACCTTGTTCAGAGCCCTAAAATCCTGACTTTGAGGGTAACAAGTATAGAGCCAATATTAAGCGGGTGGCACCACCCCAATGAAGATTCTTGAAGCTTGATAGGAGTTTCAAAGTGCTACTAAATTTATTGTGCAAAAAGTTTCAAACATAAAAAATAAAGCATAAAATAAACAAAGATACAAGAAACGACCACAAGACGGAGAGTGAATAACACACCCACTGAACATAGCACATAAGAATTCTAGACGCACCCTGATGTATAACAACACAAATCTGAGTATATATATGTGAGAGCATCAAAAGTGGATCTGGATGGAGTCGAAACTTTGCTGTAGATGGATGCGTATATTATGAGCGTTAAAGGGACACTATAGTCACCTTAACAACTTTATATTATTGAAGCAGTTTTAGTGTATAGATCATGCCTCTCAGGTTTTACTGCTCAATGCACTGCATTTAGGAGTTAAATCACTTTGTTTCTGTTTATGCAGCCCTTGTCACACCTCCCCTGGCTATGATTGACACAGCCTAAATTAAACAGAACTTGCAATAAAGGAAGGACAAACTTTAGATGACTCTTTACAGGAAGTGTTTAGGAAGGCTGTGCAAGTCACATGCAGAGGTGTGACTAGGGTTCATAAACAAAGTGGTTTAACTCCTAAATGGCAGAGAATTGAGCAGTGAGGCTGCAGGGGAATGTTCAATACACCAAAACTGCTTCATTAAGCTAAAGTTATTTTGGTTACTTAAATTGTATGCCTTTTCCAGCAGGCACATGGTAGCCTCCTACATTGGAAGCTTCTCAAACTCCTCTGAAGAGTTATCTGTGGATGCTGTGGAGGATTTGCCTCCTGCCCAGCCATAACTAATTAGTCTGCCACAGACAGCGTATTCCTTGCCAGTAATGGAAGCTGTATTAAAACACTGCTAGCTGATTTACATAAAACTATAATGGTCGATGTTGTGGCACCTCAGACGGATCTCACAGGCCTAATGGGATGACTCAGTGCAATGGAGAACATTACGAGGACACCCTCTTCACGTCTCTTGGCCCAGGAGGTGCAGCACACTCAAAGCCTTTGCTACGTTTTAAAATACATGCCAAAGTTGTGACTGCAGAATTACTGCACTTTCTGAGATTCATTGTCTTTTCATCATCTAGAAAGGCTAAAAACATGCAATGAATGTATTTTATATATAGAACTGACATTAGGTCATCTGTGACAGAGTTCTGGGCTGCCTAAGTCATGTGTGCCTGGGGTGTAACTAGCCCCCAACACATAAGTGCAGATTACTCTGTCCTTGCAGAGTTTCAAACAGAAATGCTGTCTATACATACTCTTACCACCATGACCATTTCAAATCACCAAAGTGTTCATGGTCGTTGGAGTAACCCTTTAAGAAGGGGAAATACTCCCAGTAAGGAGGGGGAATACTCCCAGTAAGGAGAGTTTTAGGGTTGGAGTCCTTGTTAACCTCTTAGTTGGAGCTGGGGGCAAAGAACCAACAAATAAAAATAAAATATCCTGTCTGGGGTTAGACAGGACTTTTTATTTTTATTTGTAGGTTTTTTTATGTGGAAACCTTATGTGGATTTATTTTGAACTTTTTTGCATTAAACTTTTGCAAAAATTAAAGTTTATAAAAATAATAAAACAAATAAATTAAAACAATAAGAAAGTAAAGCATTAAAATAAATTTTAAAATACTTAAAACTAACTCACCACATCGGAAGACTCCAGGTGTTCCAGACAGGTGGCCATACATCTCGAACGCAGCACCTATCTAGCATGGACCCGACCGATGTACGGACAGCAACTGGAATCTGCCATGGGGCCAGTGACACACCTGAAAGGACTGACTCCTGTTATGCACTGGGCTATGAAACTCCCAACGGACTTACCCGACTGACACACGATGTTCCCACACCTCTACTCAAGCAGGCCTCTGGGCCTACTGCCGGGATTCCGGTGGAGTGTCTACACACAGCCAAGGCAGGGCATGGGCTGATCTCACAATGGAGTCCAAGAACACCTACTAATGGCACCATGTCTTGGAGCACTGTATATTGATGTCACATAACACATCTTGTTCATTTCTCCCACTGGCTTAAGTCTCTGTCCTACCTGGGGGGCCTTCTCAATCGTTTTACACTCTACTTTTACTATGACCTTACGTTTATTATCTTGATTTGATCCACTCTGCTTTATTCTTTACTTAGCAAAAAAAAAAAGTGCAGTTATGCTGACTAACAAGTGCTATGATAACTTTACCTTATAATGTCTTCCTGTAATGCCATGCGCGATGCTATTTTGTTTTAACAATGCACAACTCTATATGCCAGTGTTCTAATAAGGATAACATAAAATTGCACAATAAGTATAATTATATGAGAGGGGTGAATAAAGTAGGCAATTATTTAAATGTAAGCATAGAAACTGCTCAGCATTAGCGTTGAGAAAGGAGGAGGTCCAGGGATAGAAAAATATGAACTTGTTAGCTCAAACAGAAGAAAAAAAAAAACCAAGAGAAATGCAAAGTACTATCTACACAGTCTTAGTCATTAGGAGTAGTCAAGGCCTTGTCACAGCCCGTTGTTTGGGATAAAAGGTTTCACTTTGTTAACATCCCAGTGATGTGTCGTTCGTGTAGATTGTTGATTCGGGCTGCCTATGTACAGGCCGTATGCTTGGATGAAGGTTTGTGACTCTGCAATATCGTTTAGCTTATTCTTCCCATGAGGGTGTTGTCACGGTGCCCGATCTGCACCTCAATGTGACCGCACCTTATCTGTGTGGTCATGCCGTCACAGTGCCCGATCAGCACCGCGATGTGACCTCATCTGATCAGTGCGGTCACACTAAAAGAAGGAAAGGTTACTTACCTTGCCTCCAACGACTCCCCCTCTGCACAGCTCTGAGGACAGCAGCTGGGTCCAGCATTAAGAAGGAGCCAGAAACAAAAAACCCCTATTGTAGCTGCCAAACCTAAACTTATGTAATTAGGGGTTATGAGGTTTTCTGAAGCAGAACGACAGTTCAGGAGGAGGGAGGGTCTGTGTATATATTGTAGCAAGAAGGGACATGTGAGGGTTAATTGCCCGATACGTCGGGAAAACGCACGCATCTAAAGTGTTATGTATATGTCCGCCACTATGCCTCTTTCGAGATGTCTCATTTCTGTTACCATTCTGTTACAAAACCTTGAGGTCAATTGCAAAGCCCTATTAGATTCAGGAGCAGTAGAAAGCTTCATAGATGTTCACTTTGTGTTCAAACATAATATACCTCTAAGGGAGAGGGCAACACCCTTGGCCGTTGAGGTCATAGATGGTAGACCTCTTGGGAAACCACTCATTACCCATGAGACCTTACCTGTTTCATTGCAAGTAGGGGCTTTGCATAGGGAACAGATCACTTTTCAGGTTATCGCCTCACCCTATTGTCCTGTTGTACTTGGTTTTCCATGGCTAATAAAACATGATCCACGTATAGATTGGAGAAAAGGGGAGATACTAAAGTGGGGTGATGAGTGTAGTAACAGATGTTTAAAGCCTATAACCAAACAATTGGGTATAATCAATGTCCCTGTTGCCTCTCCATTGTCCACTACAGTACCCTCCCAATATGAGACGATAAATGAGGTGTTTAACATGATACATGCAGATACAGTTTTTCCACATAGATCCTATGATTGTTCTATAGATCTATTTGCCAGTTACAATACCCCCAAAAGGGTGAGTTTATACACCGTCTTCCCTGGAAAGTAAAATCATGGAGGAATATATACAGGATGCGTTGACTAAAGGTGACATATGCAAATCATCTTCCCCAGCAGGAGCAGGGTTTTTATTTGTATCTAAAAAAAGAGGGGGATCTGCGTCCTTGTATTGATTACAGGGCGCTCAATAAAAACAGTATAAGAAGCGCTTACCCTATACCACGTATTTCTAAACTGTTTGACAGGTTAAATGGACACTATAGTCACCAGTGCAACTACATGTATTCCTGGCACTATAGTGTTAACACGACCATCTAGCCCCCGTGGGCCCCTCATGCCTCCATAAATATAGTAAAAATCTTACTGTATTCAAGCCAGAAGCTGTAAATCTGCTTGCTGTTAGACTCAGGAAAAACAAGCAGTCTGCTGACATGTGAAAGCCTGATCCAATCACAATGCTTCCCCATAGGATTGGCTGAGACTGACAAAGAGGCAGATCAGGGGCAGAGCCAGCATGATTCAAACACAGTCCTGGCCAATCAGCATCTCCTCATAGAGATTAATTGAATCAATGTATCTCTATGAGGAAAGTTCAGTGTCTGCATGCAGAGGGAGGAGATACTGAATCACAGGATGCTGTGCACAGTGCTGCCCTGTGCTCTGCTGACAGCAGATCTGAGTGGATGGAGGCATATTATGCCTCCATCAACTCCCTCTGGTTCACTCTGAGTGACTGCAGGTGTCCCTAGCTTTCAATGTAAACACTGTATTTTCTCAGCTATAGTTCTCACCTGAACAACCTCATTAAGCTGAAGTTGTTCAGGTGACTGTAGTGTCCCTTTAAGGGCTAGGCTATTCACTAAACTGGATTTAAGGAGTGCTTATAATCTAGTTAGAATCAAGGAAGGGCATGAATGGATAATTTAATACCAGTAATGGGCATTACGAATACCTAGTCACGCCTTCTGGGTTATGTAATGCCCCCGCTGTTTTCCAGGATTCTGGCACCATAACAACTTCATTTAGATCAAGTTATGTTGGTGCCTGGGGTATTCCTTTAATTGTAAATTGTCACCCAATCAATTTAAAATATTAGATCACATTATCCAATCTGGAAAAATTCAGCAGCAGCAGCAGCTCAGCCTCAGTGTGTGAGTCCCTTGTAATGCCTGCCCGTTGAGCAGTGTGCCCAGCTGCAGACACTTTGAGTTGCCCCCAGTCCGTTGTGAGGGACAGAGCACATTGCCGGCACTCACAGTGCTCGTGGCCTCTGCTGCCACATAAACAGATCATCACTCAAACTCAGGGCTGCAGCTTCTGCAAAGGTTTATACATGTAGCAACGCCCCCAAGGGCATCCAAACCACGCCCACACGGCCAGCCCCGCCCACACTGTATCTCTCACTGCTTTGTTGAACACCGTCACTCTGCCCTCTCCCCCGTGACGTCTCTCTCTGTTCCCGGAAGTGACGTCACGGCCGGATGGCAGCCCCTGATACGGTGGGCCCGGAGTCTGGCAGCGGGTGACAGCAGGACAACATGGGGGAGGCCAGAATCGGAAAGCGGTGACCCGAGAGTGGGTAACACCCCCTGGGAGTGGGCGCGCTGGGTGTGTGCACCATGTCTGCCGTGCTAACCCCTGTGTGTGTGTACCATGTGACAGTCTATGGGCGATATGTGTACAATCTGTTATAGTGTGAGTGTGTACTCTGTATTGTATGTGTGTACTCTGTATTGTGTGTGTGTGTGTACTCTGTATTGTGTGTGTGTGTGAGCACATGTATTGTGTGCAGGCAGTCTGTGGGTGTAGACATGTCACATAATATGGGTGTTGTGTGTTTTGTAGTGTGTGCACATGTATTGTGTGTGTCTGTGTGGGTGTAGACATGTGATGTGTTTGTCTGAAACCTGCCCCTGTCAAGGTATGTGTACACCAGGAAACTACAAGCTGGACACAAGCCATTGGCATTGCTTTATATAATGCATATAGGATTTATCAGTCTAGTTGTAATATATTAAAGCAATTTAATGACACACTATTAGGCTAGTACTTCCCAAGTTGCAGTATCTATCAGCTGAGCCTATCCTGTAAACTGTGCTTTATGTACACCGCAAGTAGTTTGTCAGTTTTGTGTCATCATATGCCCTGTACAGTGATATTTTTTTTGATTGGGGGGGGGGGGAGGTGAAACAAGGAAATTAGTTATAGAGGAAGGTAATAAAATGGGCTTATAGAGCAAAACAAACTTTTTTATTAAAAAAAAAAAATAAAGATTAATGAAACAAATATAAATAAATCGACATTAAACTTACCCAATGTGAAGATGATTGGAGTGCACCTTTAATCTGCACCTTGCACTTGAGAAATCCGTTCTGTCATACAACCATTCATTTTGGAAACAGAAGCATGTGCAATTTATGACATATTTTTGTATCCCTAAACATAGCTTTGAAGTATCACTTCACCTAATACTTTGTTTTTCCTTTTTTTCATTTAATGGTGCAATGTAGATGATGCAACATGACACTATATAATTTTTGTACAACAGGTGAACTATAGGTTTGTTGTGTGGAATCACTACTTTCAATTGTACTAACATATAATAAAAAATACTTAATAATAAAGTTGTTCTATATTATTTTTATTTTTTTTGAGCAAATGGATGTGTTGCATATTTTGGTTTTCTTTCTTCTCCATTTGCCTATTCGCTACAGTAAGTGGTCAACACTTCTTGATTGCACAATTAATGAAAAGTCAACTTCTCCTTCAATTTATCCAGAAACTCCGATGTTTCCAAATCTCACTTTGATTTGTGTGAACAAAAGACATTTAACATTGAATTATTAGCCTTTCAATAGTGAAGAAAAAGTTGTTCTGGTTATTCACTAAACTGTGAATTGCAAGTCCAAAGCCAGAATAGCTAAATATGGAAGATTATCTAATTACTCTATTATTCAAGTACTTTGCTTTTGGTTTTGTCCCTTATTAACCATCTAATTCTTTAAGTCCCAGTCACACATCTCTGTTCCTTTGAGTACGTTGACTTGCATACATATTTAATAACTTTCTACTTTTAGTTTGATAGCCAAAGTCCTGCAGAGAGGAATGCGTAAAGGGTTGCAAAGCATGACCACGTCCAGTGTCAGGCGACCAAAAGTACGTTACCAACCAGGAGGTGCCTCTATTGGCTAGCAATCAGAAACTAATAAAAAAAAAAATAATTGTGAGCCCTACAATTAAGACATTCGAATAAGGTAATTTTTTTTTAATTCTTTTTTACCATGGTACAGGCCAACAAGTGAGACTTAAAAATTGACCTCTACTGCAATAAAAAATAAAAAACCTGGTTGGATTTTTGCATCAGTTTTGGTGCAAACATGTTCTCTGTATCTTTTTCCTTACACACCCTCAATTATTGTCCATCTCCTTAATGACATACATTACAGTCGGAAGCTGTAATTTCTCCTTTGTGTATCTGAATGTACGTAAATATAAACAAAACCCTACCTTGCATATGTCACTCCTTCACTGCTGGAGGTTGCATGTCTAACTGCTCCTTTCACAAACTGGATAACTGTGCATTTGCTATCTGCTCAGGCACCACTTTTCTTCATATTGGACAATTAATATAATTGTGCCAAGTGTTACTTTATTTAAAATAAATATATTCTCTTTAAATTTAACAAATTCACCTGGACTAAACAGTGCATGCAAATGGAGCATTGGGCCTAGCTGTTTGGTCTTCACTCTCCAGTATCTTAAGGTTGAGGTGAAACTACCTCTATTATGTCACTTCTCACTATCAGTGGATGTGGAAAAATAAATTTTCTCAAGCATTGTAAGAGACGTTCTATGGAGAAAATTTTGCTGCATCTTACACAGACCACTTGTTTGGAGTTTTGCACTTTAGGGGATGCAATGTCAGATCATGTCCTCCCAAGCATTCCTTGAGTCATGATGCCGTGTAAAATTACAAGTGAGTCCCTAAGCTTTTCCTGCCCTAGAAGCACAAAGGAAACATGCTCCCTTGCAACATAATTATTAGGGCCTGATGATATCTCAGTGCCTGGTTGAAGTTGACTGGAGTTTGTGTGGATCACTTAGAACACCTATTTCATTGGTGACTGATGGTGAAAGACAGCAAAAGTATGATAAATCTTTTTTTGTGGAAATTTTCCCTTGAAAAAGGATCCGATCTATAAATTGCCACGTTATAGTTATCACAAGGTATAGTTAAAAGTTTGTTCTCTATGATGTGCTACCATGTCAAGCCAGATAATGCTTTTGATGTGTTTGTTTGCCTTATTTCCTTTGTTTTGCATTGAAATTTTATTTGCATGTTTTACTTCTTACCTATAACATTTTTTTTTCTTCTTTTTCTCCAGCTACTGGCTATGGATGGAAATGCCATTACCCTGTGGCAGTTTCTGCTCCAGCTTTTGCAGGAACCTCATAATGAGAAACTGATCTGTTGGACCTCAAATGATGGAGAGTTCAAACTACTTCAGGCAGAGGAAGTGGCCCGTCTTTGGGGAGTACGTAAGAACAAGCCAAGTATGAACTACGACAAACTAAGCCGGGCACTTCGCTATTACTATGTGAAGGTAATTTAGTATGTATGTTTATTGCAAAAGGTGTTTTTAGTATGAAGGGTTAGTGTGTGAATGCTGGGGTGTATTGTATCCCATGATGCTTTCTCACGCCATTCCCATGTCACTTCCTTTTCCTCTCTTTGGTCTCTTTAGTTTCCGCCTGTTTTATTTTATTATATATTTGCATAGACCCCTATGTAGTATTTAGTGGATTGCGAGGCGACATGGAGCTGTATCACAGCTAGTTTGGATCAGCAAAGCTTCATCTTAGCTTGTGCCAAAATAAAGAACCCTAGAGGAACTAAAAGCCTGTATCAACTTCACTTACACCTGATGGCCACTGGTAGTGTGTCATAGGCAGTTTTCTATGTTCAGGACAGAGCTAGTGGAAAAAGTTATTAAACGGTTCTTATGTGGACTTTTAGATGTCCTTTTTGCTGTTTAGTGTCCTATATGTTGAGTGTATTAAGTTGTATCTTTTGATTTTAGAATATCATTAAAAAAGTGAATGGACAGAAGTTTGTTTACAAGTTTGTATCATACCCGGACATCCTTCACATGGACCCACTAACTTTGAGTCGGATAGAAGATGGTGAAGGCCGTCCTCCTGACTCTGTTAGCACCTGCTCAATACGCGACAAGGAGAACTGTAGCAAGGATCGAATATCAGGCCTTTCAAATAAGTCCTCTGGCCGTAACGACTACCTCCATTCTGGTCTGTATACATCCTTCACTCTCAACTCATTAAACACGGCAGGAGTAAATCTCTTTAAGTCTAACCCTGTGGAGACTCCCATTGAAAAGAAGGTTACTCAAGAAGCACCTCTGTCTGTCATCAGGTTTGTGCATACACCAGCCAAGAATACAGAACTTGCACCCAGTGCCCCTCCCATCCCACTTCAGCCTTCAGATCCACACGAGAAACCTGCTGAGTCTCCTGCTGATGCGATAATAAACTCTCTCACTCCTCCTGCACCTTCCATCTCTCCCATTCCATTTGGATCTATGTCCCCATCGTTAAATCCCAACCAGGAGATAGTGATTGACACAGATTTGGAGTCTGTAACTTCACAGTCTATAGATTTTTCCAGTGAAGTGTCCATGGAGGTTCCAGAGGCAGATCAGGAACCAGATCCTGAGCCAGAGCCCTATGTGTTGGACAGAAGTGTAAAGTCAAAAAAGCCCAAAGGACTCGAATTGGCACCAACTTTGGTAATCACTAGTAGTGATGCAAATCCCTTGGGTATCCTCAGTCCCTCTCTGGCCACAGCATCTCTCACACCAGCTTTTTTCTCCCAGGTAACAAAATGCATTATGCGACTTAGCATTTTAAGGCTCAAAGAAGACCGTGCTGATGTAAAATGTCTATGGTATTCCACTGAAGAATGTGTTTTGTTCACTAAACAGTAAATTGTATAGCTGTGGCTATAACAGAGTTTTAGATTTTTATAGATCAGCAATTTTGGCCCAACTTTTACAATTATTATTCTATTCACAACAATTTTCTGTTTAGTGAATAAACCATCTATAATTTTGCTCAGATTGTTGTCAAAAAGAGATATTTTGATATAGTAAGATCTAATTGAGCTGATACAGAGTCCACAGAAGATAATTAATGTACAAGTCATGTACAATGCTTACTCTCCTCCTTTAAAGGGACACTATAGTCACCAGAACAACTACAGCTTATTGAATTTGTTTTGGTGAGTAGAATCATTATCTTCAGGCTTTTTGCTGTAAACACTGTCTTTTCAGAGAAAATGCAGTGTTTACATCACTGGCCACTCCTCAGATGGCTGTTAGAGATCCTTCCTAGGTCATGGCTGCCTTAAATGCATCCAAACATTCAGTGTCTCCTCCCTCTGCATGCAGACACCGAACTTTCCTCATAAAGATTCATTGATTCAATTCACCTCCATGAGGAGATGCTGATTGGCCAGGGCTTTTTCTGAGGCAAACAGCATGCAAATCTACAGCTTCAGGCTTCAATACAGTAAGATTTTGCTATATTTATGGAGGCATGAGGGGCCCAGGGGGGTAGATGGTGGTTTTAACACTATAGGATCAGGAATACATGTTTGTGTCCCTGACCCTATAGTGATCCTTTAAAGCGTTTTCTTCACTCAAATCTGATCACAACATTATATTGAACATATTAAAAGAAAATTTACATAAAACATACTTTATTCTTCATTAAAACATTAACTAGAAACTATATTTAGTAAAACTATATATAGCATAGAGAATAAGTTTTAGAGCTCTTTCTCTGTGCCTTAACCTAAATGTATTGCTGAACTAAGGCAAATGCTTATTTATTAATGCCCTACACTTACTACCTTGCCTATTGAATGCATTGTAAATGTGAGTTCTTCAGTATGGGTACAAGACTTGCTCCTACACACTTTGCATAGTTCTCTGTAGATTCTGTGTGTGGATAATTTTTGCCCTCCCGTGAGAGTTACATTAAGTACAAAGTTTCTCAGCTATTCCTGCCTTCATGGCCTGTCCAGGCTTGTCTGTAGATAGGAGAGTCCATGATACAGCCTGTTCCGAAGCAGATCACAGTGCTGAGGGAGGTTGTTTTTTTATTCTGTATATTCATAGTTGTAGAAAGAATTTAGTAATGTTTTGATGGTTATATGATTTCTTAAATAAATGTAATAATTTAAGTTATGGCATGATGTAATTTCTTTTTTCTTTATGATCAGATCTTTTCTGGTGTTATACAATGCTATAAAAAAGCAATGTTCTAAAGCTGTAGTTGTTCTGGTGACTATAGTGTTCCTTTAAGAAAAACATTGATTTCAGTGTAAAAATTTTTATATATATTTGTATTGTATTTTAACAAATAGAACATATATATATAGTACTCTTCCCGCTTCTTTACAATCTCTATTAAAAATTTTTATTTGTGTAAAATATTTAATCATTGGAACCATTTTAGCGTGCATATAGCAGAATTGTGTCCTTGTCCTTCAACCTCTTTCCCAGAACCAGTACTACGCCCCACCCATGCCAACATTCATCGGTGCAATTTATCCTAGCTTACAATATAGCCAGTAGCGTAGGGCTACCATACAATGTACTCAGGGCACATCATTTTCATTTACCTACTGGCTTTTTGAAATTTTGTTCTGGCATGTGTAACATGGACCTCTATTGAATGTGAAGTGAAGATTGATAGGGGAGAGAGATAAGAAATTCCTCTATCCTTCTCATACTGGTAGATGTGCAGGGACACTTAAAGGAATACTATAGTATCAGGAATACAAAATGTATTCCTGACACTATGGTGTTTAACTATTTAGGTTCCCAGCCTTCCTGGCATTGCTTTGAAAAGGTATTTTTACTTACCTTTTTTTTCTCACACCATGCTGGTTCTGCTGTGGATGGCTCTGTTTCTGAGACCAACAGTCCAGAACCAGTGGTTCTGATGACTAAATTTTTCCCTTAAAGATAAACATAAATCACTGCAAAGTAATTTATCTCTTAACTTCACTGTATGTAACTTTAATATCTTATGTTTGATTACAATTTGATGTGTACATTTTGCAGCTAAATTGCTTGCAAATGAAATATGTATTATATATATAATATTTATTTTACAAGCATATTTTGTGTAAGTGGCACCACAAATCTAATCAATTAGAGTCATGGGCAGCTTTTAAAGGGACACTATATTCACCAGAACAACTACAGCTTAATGTAGTTGTTCTGGTGAATATAATCATTACCTGCAGGCATTTCAGAGAAAAGGCAGTGTTTACATTGCCTCCTAGGGACACCTCTAAGTGGCCACTCCTCAGATGGCCACTAGAGCTGCTTTCTGGGCTAGTGCTGCACAGTAGGAAGCACTGCCGTTCAGCGTCTCCACGCTCTGCATGGGGACGCTAAATTATCTTCATAGAGATGCATTGATTCAATGGATTGGTTAAAGTTGGATTCAATGGATTGGTTAGTGGGGCCAGCTACGGTGGACCAGCACGGTTCTGGAAATAAGGTTTTCACCTTATTAGGGGCAAGCCACCTAAATGATAGATTAAACACTATAGGTTCAAGAATACATGTTTGTGTTCCTTTAAATAAAAAATAGTCAACTAACCAAAACAGAGATCAGCTGGAAATCAATGCTTGAAATGTGCAACCGAATGTTCAAAAGTAAGTGAACACTCAAAATTTGCAAATATTGACCAAATTTGAATGGGGACAATAAGTTTATCATCTGTAAAATATATATAATCTTCTAGGCATAATTTCTAGTAGTGTGTGACTTGAAATTTGCAGCCTTTATGTTTTTTGTAGCCAAGATTATGGCAAAAGGGCAAAGTTAGATTTCAAAGCAATGATTTTTTTCTGACAAAATGTGCTCTAATATCATATTGATTTAAACTGCATGTATCTCTTATTTCCCTTATTTGCAGACTCCCATATTGCTAACTCCCAGCCCTCTGCTCTCCACAATACACTTCTGGAGCACATTGAGTCCTGTGGCTCCTATTAGTCCAGCCAGGTTGCATGGTGCCAACACACTGTTTCAGGTAAGGTGTTATTTTTTTTTCTTTGCTGTGAATTACTGGTCATGTATGATTTGCGTTGTTTCACACTTCTTGACTGTTATGGGGATTGGCTTCCCTTAAAGGGACACTATAGGCAACCAGACCACTTCAGCTCATTGAAGTGGTCTGGGTGCAATGTCCCTTTTGCACTTAGTGCTGCAGTGTAATACATTGCCATTCCAGAGAAACTGCAATGTTTACATTGCAGCTCTAAGTGTGGCTCCACTGGAGCCACTAGAGGGCTTCCTGGATCCAAACAGACTTCTGCATGAGGACATCCAGCATCAGATTTATCCTCTTAGGAAAGCATTGATGCTCGTTGCAGGGGGCGGAGCATCGACACAGCGCCAAGGCGCTTTGATAAGGTTAGTAAATAAAAGGTTTTTAACCCTTTACTCACTAGGGGAGAGATTGTGCTAGGAATATAGCTTTGTATTCCTGGCACTGTAGCATCCTTTTATCTAAAAGCCAATTTTTGTAAGTGGCAATTAGATTAGATTGTATAGCTATTTCTTCATAATAGTGTTTGCTGGTGTTGTATTTTAACAAATAGAACATGTTCGGTCATTGAAGGTTGGCACTGTTGCTGAAGGAGTGCACTTTCTATAACTGACAGATGCCACGATAAAATTGGACTTGGTCCATCACTAAACATCACAGGAACAGCTACACTATGGACTTGCAAAAGCTCACTCTCAAGGTGTAGCGCTTGTAAGTCTCTCTCACATCTACATTCACACCATAGCAATGGTATGAAAGACTGAAAATGTCACTCCCAGCTATCTGATTGACATGTTTTGTAGGCTTGCTACGAGTTTCAATTAAGGTCCTCGATTTGGCAAATTGTAACATAATTGGACAAGGGTTGTCTCCTAGCACTATGACAACTACAATTAGTTGAATTGTTATGGTTCTTGGAGTGTCTCTTAAAAGAATAGTGGTTATGGTAGCAGGAGTATCTTGCTTGTTGCCTGTCACCACCTCCCCTGGTTTTGAAAGCTCCGTGTTATGGTAGGCTGTGCAGAGCCACACTCATTAGCTGAGAGGGCCATTTCTCTGCCAATGGCAGAAGATTAAGCCAAATGGCAAATGATTTAGGTAAACTAGAAAAATGGTCAGAGTTGTGGCAAATGACATTTAATGTGGATAAGTGCAAGATACTGCATCTTGGACATAAAAACCCAAGGGCAGAGTACAGAATATTTGATAGTCCTAACCTCAACATCTGAGGAAAGAGATTTAGGGGTGATTATTTCTGATGAAGATAGAGCAGCAGGAAATGCTAGGAGAATGCTTGGTTGCATAAGTAGAGGTATTGGCAGTAGAAAAAGGGAAATGCTCATGCTATTGTACAGAACACTGGCACTGCAGGTCCCCTCCCACCTCCCATCCCCGGTTGCTGAAGGGGTGAAAACCCCTTCAGTCACTTACCAAAGGCAGCGACGATGTCCCTCGTTGCTGCTTCTTGGTCCACCGCCGCTCCTCCCCTTCATCACGTCAGCTGGCGGGGGAGACTGATCACGCCCGCCGGCTGTTGAGACCTAATGCGCATGCGTGGCAATGCCGCGCACGCACATTAGACCTCTCCATAGGAAAGCATTGAAAATGCTTTTCACTGCTTTCCTATGGGGATTTTAGCGACGCTGGAGGTCCTCACACAGCGTGAGGATGTCCAGCGATGCTATAGGACAGAAAACCTGTGCTATGGACCAGGAAGTGCCCTCTAGTGGCTGTCTAGTAGACAGCCACTAGAGGAGGAGTTAACCCTGCAAGGTAATTATTGCAGTTTATGAAAATTGCAATAATTACACCTGCAGGGTTAAGGGTAGTGGGATTTGGCACCCAGACCACTCCAATGGGCAGAAGTGGTCTGGGTGCCTGGAGTGTCCCTTTAAGGTTCAGGAGCTGTTTGGCCCCATTTCGCCTGAAATCAACCTGGGTTCAGTTTGGACAATGTTATGAATATATTCATATAGACATACTTCATTAAATATAAATTAGCAGAAAGAACAAAATCTAATGCATAAACCAGGAGTAGATACATCTCCCCCAAAAAAACAAAAAACATGCTTTTTGGGGGTTAAATCTACTAAACAGTGAGTTTGAGAGGGATCAATATAATGCCAAAACAGTCAGTTTGCTATACATTCTTTAGTTTTCTTTAAAATCATAAGACAAAATAGGGACTCTTTGCCTTATGGAGGCTTCCTCCTCTTGGTCAGAGCAATTTTCCCATAATTCTTACCTTTCCTCTGTGATCTTGCGATACTTCCTGTCATTTTACACGAAACTGCCGAATTGCATTCTAACTGAATGAGAACAGTATGTTCGTTTGTTTTAGAACTCAATTCGGCACTTTGTTTGTATCGGAATTTCATTCGAATGAATGAAACTCCGATTCAGTTTGTGCCGCGGCTGCATCTTGCAGCCACTTAGTAGATAACTTCCTAATTCCCACGGTATTAGGGAGCTATCTACCAAAAGACTGAAAGACCTAAATTGGTCTTTCAGCCAAATGTACTATTACTAAGTAAAGATTACTTAGTATTAGTAAATGATCTGCCCCTACTCGCTATACCGCTAGTAGGGGCATGTGTAGTAAACAGTGAGCAGCCAGTGCTCACTGTGTAAAAACAAAAAAAAAAAACCTATTGCCCCCATACTGTCTTCCCCCCACCGGCCCCCACCCCTGCGCTGTGGGTGGGGACCATAAATTACAATGGGTGGGGGGACCTACTGTCTTCCCCCAGACCCCACCCCTGCGCGGTGGGTGGGGGCCATAAATTACAACGGCGGGGGGACTTACTGTTACCCCCTACCTTCCTCCCTCACCCTAAAAAATAGTGAGGGGGGAATAAAATAACTAACCTGTAAATAAAAATTCAACTTAGCATTTGACATCTCCTTTTGTCTAAAATCTTCATTTTTCCGCCCCCAAAAAGGCCAAATAAAAAACCATCATACCCGTCAAACTTAAAATAAAATTAAAAAACCTGAGCGCCAAAAAAAAAAAAAATCCATCTTCACCCATGGAGGGCTCCGTGCAGACTGAGCTCTGCAGGGCGGGGAAGGCTTATAAAGCCTTGCCCCGCCCCGCAATTAGGCTGAGAACACCCCTGCGCGGTGGGTGGGGGCCATAAAGATGCTCTTTTAGAAACTCCTTCTTGCTGGCTTCAGAGAAAGCTGGAGAGTCCTAGATGTACATCGGCTGTTTAGTGTTTGCCGCGTGCGTTCCAGTGCCGTATCTCTGAAGTGACCCCTAGTGTCACGAAACGCATAAGGTTGCATCTGTCTTCACCACTCAGAGTAGCACAGCACAGTGGAACACACATCAAGCCGCAGTGGAATGCATGCAGCAAACACTAAACAGCCAATGTGCATCTAGGACTCTCCAGCTTTCTCTGAAGCCGGCAAGAAGGAGGAAGTTTCCAAAGGAGCATCAAGGCTGTTGGGAGTTGGATTCCTTTTGTGAGCCACATTCTTTGTGAGTGAATTTTATTACTTTTTTTCTTAATAAATATTTTACAGAGAGCTCTATGTCTCTGCATTTTATATTCTAGATCCATTCTATTGGGTTGTTGTCTATATGAAGAATCCATTCTGTGCCTGATACTAGATAATTGGAATAATTATTTGTAGCAATTCTGCCTGCTTTTTGTATCAACTTCTAGCTAGACTTTAGAAGCTATCATATGGATATCAAACTCTGACTGTTTGTGGCATTGTATTGACCCCTCCCAAACCCACTGTTTAGTAGATTTACCCCTCAAACGGCATGTTTTTATTTATTTTATTTTTATGTATCTACTCCCGGTATATATGTTAGATTTTGTTCTTTCTGCTCATTTATATTGCAAGCTCAGGGCTGTGACTTACATTTAAGAGCAAACCAGTAACTAACATATCACTGATATCACTACACTTTGGTCCATTAACTGTAGGGACTACAATGTCCTTTAAAAAGAAAACAAAAAAAAACCTTCCTCCCCCCATATAGCTGTGGGCTATCATATGTATTTCAAACTCTGACTGTTTTGGCATTATATTGATCCCTCTCAAACTCACTGTTTAGTAGATTTCCCCCCAAGCTGCATGGTTTTTTTTTTTTTGTATGTATCTACTCCTGGTTTATGCATTAGATTTGGTTCTTTATGCTAATTTATATTTCCATTTCGAGCTCGGGGTGTGGGCTTTATTTTAACCAGTTATTTAGGACATACATATATCTAGTAGACCATTTTTATTTCCTTCTATGTTTTAACTGAGAGGGACTATTTGTTTTTCGATATACTCCCTCTTTGGTTATGCATTTTCTTTTGATACTTCATTAAATATGTGCAATTTCTGACTTCTGATGTTTTTGTTCCTATTTTTAGTTTCCTTCGGTGTATAATGGCCACATGCCCCTCGCTTTGTCAAGTTTTGAAAGCCCGTCTACACCAGGACCCTTTTCCCCTGATTTGCAAAAGTCCTAGCAGATGGTGTGAACTCAAGGATGAAGAAGGGAAAATACAGGAAGACATATTTTTTTCTTCTTTTTTTGTCCCATTCTCTTTAAGCATGTGAATCCCATGCCTAAAGCCGAGGTTTGTTGTTTATCTAACCTAACACCCATTTGCTTCCATCCATGGTTGTTATACAAAGAACCATGTTATACCTTATACCACAATATTTAGAGGTTTTGGATGGACTGGGACTTGGGGAGTTTTAGAAGAGATGCATGACTGCCATATTTCTGCAAAATATCAGTCTCATCTTTTCAGAAAATTGATACTCAATTTTTTTCCAGAAAATTTGATGTCTTGATTTTATTCTCATTTACATGATTTTCTCCTGCCTCCGCAGAACTGAGAATAATATATGTCACTGTTCTAAACAGTACATATAGAAAAAATAAAATGTGGGTTAATTCATTTTATCCCTAAAGAAGTTATTTTTATTTTATTATAACATTTTGTGCATTGGGAGACTCACAAGCCATTTCCAAATATAGCAAAAACTGTAAAGTTTTTTTAAAACTCAGGTTTCTGGTGTCAGACCTACAGCACTTATCCTCTAAACATCAAATCCTCTGGCAAATAAGTTACTTTTCAGACCTCTAAGGGGAAGTCGACGGAGAGATGATGAAACTAAAAGGTGATGAGGGAGTCTGTCAAGGAGTCCAGACATTGAAATAGACATTGTGGGAACACAGTGATAAAGCAGCAAGTTTATGCTGTAAATTTATTTTGTTGATTATAATATATATAAGTATATTTTTACATTTTATAAATGCTCAACTTTCTCAAATGCTGGAAATCAACATAATGCTAAATAATTAAAAAGCGTTTGCAGTTTTGCTACCCAAAGCTATTCAAGACACATTCAGATTACTATTAAATAGAATGTCACTTGAATTATCTTCTGCATTAGGCCATTATGCCATGTCCACAGCAATCTCCCAGGATGGGTCATAGATTGGCTGATGTTGCCTCAGTACATCATTAATGCATAATAAATATGGCTGGCTTGCGTGCAATTTTGTGAAAAAGGAAAACCAGGATGTCCAGAGACCATTTTACTGCTCAGATTTGTAATATGTTCCTATGCAAGTGAAATTTTGTACTTCAGAAAATAGGTTTATATTGAATATGTATCTCGCTTTTGCACCTGCTTATTGATCGCTCAGGCACTTTTATATGGGGGGAGGGAGGTTTTTTTGTTTTCTTTTTAAAGGACATTGTAGTCCCTACAGTTAATGGACCAAAGTGTAGTAATATCAGTGATATGTTAGTTACTGGTTTGCTCTTCAATGCAAGTCATTTTTATTTTTTAGTCCGACTGCAAACTTGGTAACTCTATACTTTGGCAAAAATGTAATTCTTTGTTATTGTCTCTTATTCTGATTCCATTCTGAGTTTACATGATATGGTTTTTAACAATTCAACATATCTCAGTCAATCAGTTCTGAACTCCTCATTAGATCTCCAAGCTGTTTTCATTGGGTCCCTTTTGGTAGAGCGGAAACGTGAACATTTATCTGATCCATTTTATATTCTCCTGTTCCCAGACCAGTACCCACAGAAATTGTTCATTGTAGCACCTCTACCTTCACTAATGTAATGAAGACCCCCCCTCTGCCACATGTATCAGTTTAACAAAGTTTTTTTTTCTGGTATCATTTAGCCTATGTAACCGTAATTAAGGAATTATTCACTCATCAAAACTTTTAGCCGAAGAATGGAAACCTCTAAATAAGATCTTTATCAATTTCTTAACTTGGAGGGACATTTTGAATCTCTTTCATGTATACGAATACATATTGATTTTTATTTTTCTGTTTTGGTTTAATTGCCCATCAAGACTGTTCATTTGTGTAACTTGGTCAATGAAAAACGTTATTTTTAAAAGTAATCAATGCACAAAATGCATTGGGCATAAACAAATATGATTATCCACTAAAAGGGTGGGGGGTCTTGTTATATACATTTTCAGTGTAAACCATAAATCTGCCTTTTCTATTCAGTGACCGTGCAAATATTCTTCAATCCACGGGTTTATGAGTGCAGCTTAACAAATTATGAGTATACCATATAGATTTGTACCATAGACTGTGAATTCTGCTCTGAGTAAACCAAGTTCCAAAACTTTGGCCAGACTTGTCTGAGATGGGGAGGAGTATTTTAATAATCGTACATAACACTATACATTGACTAATATTCTTGAGGAAAAACAATAGATGTACAATGATATATTATTATTAGCTAGGTCATGGGTAGGCAACCTTTGGCACTCTTTTTGTTGTGGAGTAAATCTCCTATAATGCTCCTACAGTCTCAGTGCAGTAAAGCAGCAGGGTAGATGTAGTCCACAGCACCTGGAGTGCCAAAGGTTGCTAGGTTATTATATTGGTATTTAAAACTAACCTAAAAATGTCACCTTGAACATGGAAACGCGTGGAAATATGTGTGATTTTTATTTTTTTAAAGTTTATCTTGGCTGTGTGCTTCACCCTAATTGGCACTTCAAAAGCATTTATTAGGGTGAGGGAATGAGGGATTCGGCTCTAAAACCAGTATATATAGTTTGCCGTGTTGAGCATGATGTCTGATCCAGCAAGATGTAATGGAAACTATATATTTCCATGTGAGAAGCCACAGCATAGGACAGGACATAGGCGTGCGCAGCCTATTGCATTAGGGTGTGCACCATAAAGCACAAACACACGCCGCGCGTGTGTGTGTGTGTGTGTATATATATATATATATATATATACACACACACACATACATACACTGCTGTGTGTGTGTGTTGTGTGAGGGTGGTTTGAGGGTGTTGTATGTGAGGGTGCTGTGTGTGAGGGTGTTTGTGTGTGTGAGGGTGCTGTGTGTGTGTGTGGGTGCTGTATGTATGTGTGGGTGCATGTACTGTGTGTGTATGGTATATGTGTGTGTGTGGTGTATGTGTGTGAGGGTGCTGTATGTGTGTGCTGTATGTGTGACGGTGCTGTATGTGTGTGCTGTGTATGTGTGGGTGCACATTACTTAATATCCCCCTTCCCTTCTTACCTTATGTAGGGAGGGGGGATTCTTGTTCCTGCTGCTTTCCCTGGTGGTCCAGTGGAGAGTAAACTCTAGCCAGGATTAGGGTGTGCGCAGGCACACCCGGCACACCCCGTGCGCACGCCTATGGGACAGGACATTTATTTTGCATTTAGCAAAGCAATGATCATAGCACAGGTCCAAACAGAGTAGAGATACCTAATAATTCAGCTTGCACTTAATTCACTTTTGCATGGCTGGCTTGTTTAATTTAGTAAGGTGTGTTATAATTCCTTAATGGTGTGTTAAAAAGACCTGGTGATTATATTGGTTAATTTGTAAATGCATTTACATGTTAATATGCAAAGGTTAGGGAAGTACAAAAACAAAGGTTTTTCTTCATATGTTTTTGTCCCAGTTCAGTTCACACATTATATATATATATAATTATATGGATTTATTGCAATGTGCATTCACCTGTGTGATATATTTCTGGTTTACATTACTGCAAGATTATTCATTGTGTGTAAGCAGATATTTAGTCATTGAAACTACATATATTTACTGACACACTGCAAAATTGTACAGTTAAAATATTTGCTTTATCAAACAACTTACTATCATAATACACCACACACCGGTACCAATCTTCTTTTTTTTTTTTTTTCGGTAAAACCACGTTTATTGTTCTATTCAGAGTTAGCCGTCTTAGATGCACCTTAATGAAAACATGTTTACTAAGTCTATTGTTCTGAGTCATTATCATTACTCAGTAAAGTTTATATACAATCAGAGATTAACATACATATCTGTGCTGACATATTGACATGTATGCCATACAACAGCTATAGTAATGGATAATAAACCACGAAAGGGATCTAAATGTACTGGATGTATTACTCTACAGATAGTTACAAATCTGTATTGATGCACAAGGGAAATTGCATTTTAATGTTTGTGTGGGAATTTAAGCAATTCCTTGTTTCTTTTTCTATAAATATTTTTCTGATATATATATATATATATATTAGGGAAGGACATACGTACCTTAAAACAAAAAGGTCACTAGCAGAGCAGTTTTATATATGTAGTAACTTACATATTGTGTGTATGTATCACTCACACATGTTTACCAGTTTTTAGAATCTTTATCCAGGAATATATTACTATAAAGTGTGCATATTGACATAGCTTCAAACACCAGCCTGTACTTGCACATGCACTGTCTATACCTTATGATTGCTATGTCTTCCTACAGTCTTAAAAGGACACTCCTGATCCTTAAAGCACTGAAATGCTTTGTGTGTGAAAAGTGTGTCGTCCTCTTTTCTTTTTTTTTTTTTTTTTTCATTTTACAAAAAGTTCAAATTTCAATAAACACTGGCAATTTAATAAATTAACATTGGTACACCCCCTAGCTTTGGACAACCAGTCTTATTAATTCCTGGTTTGGTTAGCTCGGTGAAGCCGAACTCAAGAGACAGACAATTGCTCAGAGCACCTGCCTTGAAAGGCTTCTCATTGAGCTGCATTTGGGAAGTCTGTGATTGGACGGCCACAGAAAGTCTGGGGAGGGCTTGCATAGGCGTGTGTGTGTGTATGTATGTGTATGTGTGTATATATATATATATATATATATACCCCCCCCCCATTAAATAAGGATAATTACATGGATGTATGTTTTCATATCTACTAAACTTTTTAAATTTTATTTGGGCAGTGGAGTGTCCCTTTAATACTTACTCCTAGATATGCATACGATATTGACTGTTTAAACTTGCCAAAGACATGCATTGTTTATCAAAGTTATCCTGTAGCATTAGTGTTAAAGTGTGCCTGCCACTAACAGAAAAGATTAAAAGAACGTTAAATGTTATTGTATATTTTTCACTGGATAAATCACAGATTTTATATAATTTCCAGGGACCTATAAGGTTTTTGTGGGAAATGTTGTCTTGTGTCTGCTCTACACTCTATGTGCACCCAAACCAGGTTTGCATGTAATGTCAGCCCCCCAGGGATTACATGTCAAATTCACCACCATGAGCATTGCCTTGGGAATGCAAACTCATTCCTAATGTCTAATGCATAATGTGTTTATCTGACAGTTTGTTTATTGAACACGTCACATCAGGAACTTGGATGAGAAGTGCTGTGGCAGGCTTCTCCTTCAACATACAGAAAATATATATATATTTTTTAAAGTGGAAAAAAAAGTTTGTATTTTAATACAATTGTCCGTTTTTAGTGTATGCTGAAATATTTCAACTCAAAGACTTAATTGAGTTTTTTTTTAATTGAACCAATGACCCTTTAGTTCACCCAACCTAAATAATGTTTTTTTACCATCCTCCATTTAAACGCCGGTGACACCTCAGTGGCTACTTTAAGATAAATGTTAAATTTTTTACCTTTCTAAAGTTTTGATAACAGTGATGTAAAGTGTAAAATTTTAATATAGAATTTAGAATGAAAATGCAATTTATCATGGTTAAATGTTAATAGCAAAAAATAATTTTTTTATGTTTTCTAGAAGTGTTTCTTCTAGAAACATACCTCTTTCAAGTTCAGATTTAACATTCAGGTATATGAATTAAGAATATGGCACGTGTCTGTTTGTTTTATTTGACCCACTGAACTTGCCATTTGTATAATTATATGGCTGAGTGTTTTCTCCTCAAATCAGCACTCATTAAAGGGACACTTTAGTCGCCAAAAAACTTTAGCTCATTGCAGCAGTTTTGGTGTACGGATCATGCCGCTGCAGTCTCACTGCTCATTTTTCTGTCGTTTAGGAGTTAAATCATTTTGTTTACACAGCTGTAGTCACACCTCCCTGCATGTGATGTACACAGCCTTTCTATACTCTTCCTGTAAATTGTCATCTAATGTTTCTACTTCTTTTATTACAAATTCTGTTTAATTTTGCACTTTTTCTCTCTTGCTCTGTTAAAAGCTTGTTAGACCTTACTGGAGCCTCCTCTGTGTGATTTAAAGTGATTGAAAATGAAAACAGAAACTAAGGTGATTTAACTCCTAAATGGAAGAAAATTGAGCAATGAGACTTCAGATTCATGATCTATACAGAAAAACTACTTTATTAAGCTAAAGTAGTTTGGGTGACTATAGTGTCCCTTTAATTGCATGTCCCAAAATGACACACTCATACCACAGGTTTATGTTGGATAAGCCAATGATGGGTAATATAGTAACCTAAAGGCTAGCTTGAGCATCATTTGAAATCTAGTGTGCTAATATATTATGTCCCAAAATTATCGGTCACTAGAATTGATTGACATCCACCAGCATGCACCATGTTAAAGTTGAGGTCCAATGGGTATTCTGGGACTTCTATGTAAATAACCTATATTGGTATCCATCAAATAACAAATTTTTATACTAAAGTTTGAATTGTGAATTTTACATTTTAGGTTATATTGTGGGTAGGGGGAGGGGGTTACAACATCACAAATACTTAATTGTAGTACAGAATTGATCTGTAAATGGAAATGGGCTCAGTACGTCTGATTGAAAACCAGAAATTGAATAGTCTCCTTTGTCTTAACACCCCCTTTTATTGTTAAACATTTTGGGGTTTTAAATTGGCTTCTGCACTATACAAACCTGATATAAGTTAGAAATCCAAATGAGCTGGCTTCATTGATAGAGGTGTATACAAGTAGCACTTAACTGTTCTCAGTCTTTTTAAAACGTAATTTGTATTCTCCGTTTTTTTTGTATAGTCCTTTTGCAAATGGGTGTGAAATTTGAATTGTTTAATTCTGACATTTTTGTATATGTATGCGTATATATTGTATATGTATGAAAGAGCGATTTTGTGTGACGGCTTACAGTATGTATTAAAATTCATACAAGCTTTAAAAATGTAAATATATTACAAAGAGGTTTTGTATGGGGAAATGCTATATATTCTTCTAAACGGAAAAAAAATCTGCTTGCTGGTAATTTTGCAGTCTGAAATATAAAAATGTGTTTCTTCTGTTTTTCTTTTTGTTTTTTTTTTTAAATAAATCTTTTTCTTCTGGATATTTGACAGTTCTTTTATTCTTATTGGGGAGCATCTTATGATTGTCCAGTGGAGTTACATGCGATCTTGTAAAAAAATTATTTTCCAGAAGTTATCGTTTCCCATTAGTTTTTTCTTTTTGTTTTAATTTTTTGGTAGAAAACTTAAGCACTCTTCTTAATTATCTTATTTTGAAGTAAAATAAGTCAAAGGAACTTTTAATATGAAAGCACATTTTGGATATGACTTGCTTGCAATTTCCTTCCACTTGCTTAAGTGATTTCAGTGTGTGAAAAGATTACAGCTAGTTGTAATAACTTTTGTACAGCACAGATACCTACAAAGGTATTCAAGCCCTTTTATGTTTAACTGTTTTTAGTAATGTAACATTTGACAGGACCAGGGCCGGCCCAAGACATTGTGTTGTCTGGGTCCAAGCATGAAATTCTGCCCCCTCGCCCCAAGCATATATGCGTCTGCAATGGTATTTTGTCTGTGTGTGTGCTGGGGGTGAAGTGTGTGTGTGTATGTGTGCTGGGGATTTTGTGTTAGTCACGTGTGCGGGGGGAAGTAGCCCTGGCACAACATTTTAGATATGTTTGCATGTGCAGCACATACAGATTCACTATCTGTGAAATATTTTCACTTTAATCTGATATTGCTATACTGTACACTACAGATAATTCCAGATACACAATACTTAAATGGAATAAAGAGGTGTCTCCGTTGAACTGGATGTTTTGTTCCTAGAATACTTATCTGTGTGTGCTGGGGATAAAGTATTTGTGTGTGTGCTAGGGCTGAAGTGTGTGTCAGTTTGTGTGCTGGGGACGAAGAGTCTATGTGGGTCATTTGTGTGTCTGTGTGTGCTGGGGATGAAGCATGTCTGTCTGTGTGCTGAGGTTGCAGTGTGTGTGTGTGTGTGTACTGCAGCAGATACTTACCTATACACTGTGTCTTTGTATGTGTATCAGTGTGTCTGTACCTGCATGTTTGGCAATGTTTGTATCTGTGTGTCTGTACATCTGTATGTGTCATTGTCTGTATCTGTATACCTGCATGTGTTTCAGTGTGTCTGTGCAACTGTATGTGTGTCAGTATGTATCAAACACTGACACAGATATCAACACACACTGACACGCATACAGATGTACAGACACACTAATACGCATGCAGGTGCAGATATACAGATAAACACACTGCCACATGCAGATACAAATACTTCCACATGTGCAGATACAGACATACACTGATACAGATTACTCACACAGAGATACACACTACACACAGATACACTACACATAGACACACACACATTACCCACACAGAGATACACACCCCACACACAGCTCTCCCTGCAGTTACAAAAGCGCCCGGTTGCGCTGTTAAAGGACATGGATCACCTGATAGACCTGAGTGCCGTCTGGAGCCATGGCCCCACTGTAGTCTATGGACGGGACGGCCCTGGACAGGACCATGTGTGCACTCTGAGCCAAGGAAGAGAGACCGGGAAAAGTGAGAAGAGTAGATACTGCGATGGGTGGGCAGAGGGTTGGAATTGTTTTAAATAAATGAAATAATCAGAAGGAAGGGAGGGTTGGAGAAGGGAGTGCACGTGCAAAACAGGAACGAAACATACAAGTTTCGCCTTGCAGGCATGCTGACTACACCTGTCGCAAGTGTGCTGATGACAGACATATTTTCTTGCACAAAACTGACAAAACACTGAGTTTTAGTCTACCTAAGTTACGTGTGCGGGGGGAAGTAGCCCTGGCACAAAATAGATATGTTTGCATATGCAGCACATACAGATTCACTATCTGTGAAATATTTTCACTTTAATCTGATATTGCTACACTTTGTACACTACAGATAATTCCAGATACACAATACTTAAATGGAATAATGAGGTGTCTCTGTTAAACTGTATGTTTCTTTCCTGGAATACTTATTTGCCATTTTATTAAAGGTATACTGTATTACAGTGTTTCTGAAACCTTGCCCCCCAAAATATAGTTAAATTTGACTTTTATTCCAGTCTGCTGGTGCTGGCTCTGCCCCCGATGTGCCTGCTTGGCTGACATCAGAAGTGATGATCTGAGCTAATCACAATGCTTTTTCTTAGCAAAACATTGGATTGGCTAAGCTTGTCAAGGAGGCAGATCATGGGCAGAGCCAGCACAAGCCAAACACAGCCCTGGCCAATCAGCATCTCCTCATAGAGATGCATTGAATAAATGAACTGTGCAGCACTGCCCAAGGAAGCACCACTATCAGCCATCTGAGGAGTGACCACTAGAAGTGTCCCTAGGCTGTAATGTAAACACTGCGTTTTCTCTGAAAAGACAGTGTTTACTGCAAAAAGCCTGAAGGGAATGATTATACTTACCAGAACGAATACATTAAGCTGTAGTTTTTCTAGTGACTATAGTATACCTTTTAAAATGACTTTTATGCTACTTTGTAGCTGTAATAGGGCCTCCAGTCATATACCTATTCCAGGTATCATAATCCTCCCCTCAACCACACAAAACCCACTGTAACCTTTAGAATGCAAAGTCCTTATTGCCTGTATATTCTCTAATAAACCAGCTTCCAAATCCATTGCCAGTACAAATGACTCAAACTACAAAATTTCCCAGCCTAAATCAACAAAGAAGACAGATTAGAGTCAATGAGATATAAAGCTTGATTAAAAATAATGGAAACAGGAGCGGAGCCTAGCCTAGGCTGATCAGACGTGCAGGAACCAAGCTCCTGACCAAAACTGCTTATTTGATGGTAGAAACCCCCCAAAACCGGCACATCTACTATCGGGAGGATGATAAACGAGGAGGGGACACCCGGGGGAACCGCGTGACGCCCGAACCTCGCCTAACAATAGCCGGGAACCCTAAAAACCTGCTAAGGCCTGCTGGGGATCGAACCGAGGGGAGGCGGCCGCTTTCCTCGCTAGAGAACTAGAACACAGGCTCAGCATACCTCCTAACTCCTAGCCCCCTTCCCCCCCCTTGGAACGGTGGGGGACATCCCGGTCCCCACTAAGCGACCGAAGCACACACCACAAGCTACTGCCATGGGGCCTGACCGGGAAACCTGGGTGAGCCACGAGGCACCCTCAAGATGGCCGCCACAGCGCAATCCCAGCACAGCCGAGTAAGCCAGACAGACCAAAGCTGGAGAGAGGCCTTTGAAGCCCGGTTTGAGGCTATTTGCCAAGCCTTCTGGGACCGCATAGCGAAGCGGGGACCCCAGCCTGCCCCTCCCGAAACGGAACCTACTTACCACACAGCAGCGGACGCCTGTCCCTCTTCTGGGCTGGGGGCCCAACAGGGATGATCGCAAGCCGGAAAACCCGGGGATCCACGATCCGGCCTCCCGACGGAGGGGGATCCACGGCAGAGGGCACTAGCTCCCTACAAAGCCCGGAGCCGAAGAGACAGAGACCTGTCATACTGCACACCGCGCTCTCAATGCGAGCAGGGCAACCCACATTCCCACATACCGGAAAGAGGCACTGGTAAAACAAACCTGGAAACGGACTCTCCACTAAGGCAAGCACGGGGCATAGGCTGAGGAAGGCGTACAACACACTCATCAGCCCACCTCCTGAAGCCCGACAACCCCACATGGACACTGTTAAATGTAACTAGCCCATTGTACACACAGGCTTACTCACACTATAGCTAGCAACGAAAATTCTCTCTTCTATAGCTATATTAATCTTATCATACATGCTGACGCTCCACCAGCTTGTTATACATAGATCTTACACTTCAGTGTCTAATAACATCACACTAGCCTAGCATATTAACCATAAAAATGTGCACAATCTACCTGCCTTGCAATGTATACCTCTATTAACCATGAGCTACCAACTTAACCTACGCTCTGACCAAGTTTGTTCACAGCATTAATACATACTTACAGTCGAAGCTACACTGTTAAAACTGCTTATGTTATTATAAAATTGTGCCTGATAATCAAATGCCCCGCATGTTACACGAGGGAAATGCTTGAGGAATGCTTTTGGGGCACTTCGAGCCTGCATGTACCATTTCTATGCACTGCAAAAATAAAAAAATAATAATAATGGAAACAATTGGGAAGGGCATTTCAATGTTGGCCCCCTGCATATTCTTTTTCTAAAGGAACTTCAGTGATATTTCATGCCCGCTGCTTACAAATGACTAATTGCTAGAGTATGGGTAGGAAACCTATGCCACACCAGATGTTATACTACATCTCCCATAATGCTCTTACAGCCATGATGCTGGCAAAGCATCAGCGGACTTATAGTCCACAATGACTGATGTGGCAAAGGTTGCCTACCTCTGTACTAGAACAAATTTATAAAGTACACACTTGGCTCCATAATCGCTACACCTGAAATGAACACTATAGGGTCAGGAACACAAACCTGTATTCCTGACCCTATAGTGTTAAAAAACCCATCTGGTCCACACTTAACCCCAAAAATATAGTACAATCTTACCTTTATTCCAGTTTGCTGCTGCTCACTCTGTCCCTGATCTGCCTGCTTGGATGACATCATCAAAAGTGGTGGTTTCAGACAATCACAATGCTTTCCTATAGCATTGGATTGGCTGAGATTGTCAAGGAAGCAGATCAGGGGAGCAAAGCAGAGCCAGCAGAAGCCAAACACAGCTCTGACCAATCAGCATCTTCTCACATAGATGCATGGAATCAATGCATCTCTTAGGAAAGTTCAGTGTTTCCATGCAGAGGATGGAAACAATGAATGGCAGTGCTGCACTGAGTAAACTGCCCCTGTAGTGTAAACACTGCATTTTGTTTTTTTATGAGGCGATGCTGATTGGCACAGCTTGGGGAGCTTTTAGGAGAAGCATTGACATGGCTGTGAGCATTAGTAATTTGTATTAATTTTTAATACAGACTTGCAAAGTGACAGTGGCACTTGATATACCTACATTTACACACTTTCCTTATTGATCTCCCTCACACCCCCTCACTGAGTAGAGATAAGTGGGGGCATATAGTAGTGTGGGAGGAAATGGGCCAGCTAGGGAACAGACAGGTAGCTGTTTGACAGGTGTGGGTGCAGAGGGAGAGGTAGGGCATAGCCAGTCCAGATTTTGTACACCCCAATGGACTTACCTGCTTTAGGGAAGATGTTAGGAGTATCAGCTCAGGACTGGCTTTGCTGCACAACGCTGTTCCTTCTAACAGCCAGAGAACAGCTCCTCTGGTATGGATGAGTTCCATAATGGTGGAAATGCTAGGTTGTGGTATTAGGGTACTCTATTCATAGAGTAGACAGGGTAGTCTGTCGCTCTGATCGCATCAACCACACAGTTTGCTGTCTCCCGGATGCTCGGGTCGGGTATGTTGCTGACAGAGTGAATAGATTATTGGGAGGGGCTGGTAATGACTCAGCTATCATGGTCCATATTGGTACCAATAACAAAGTTAGAGGAAGTTGGAGGATCCTAAAAAAAATAATTCATGGAATTAGGAAGCAAATTGAAGAAGCGGACCTTCAAAAAGGTGTTTTCTGAGATTTTACCTGTGCCACGTGATACAGTAGGACAGTTGGAGATTAGCACCTTAAGGACATGATTCCCTTTTATTTCAGAAGTTGTGTCTTTACGTGGTTAAGGATGTCAACGTGTGGGTTAAGTCTTGCTGTAGGAAGGAGGGTTTTGGGTGTCTAGAGCACATTTTGTGATTTGCTACAATTTTTATAATCGTTTTATAATAATAATTTTAAAGTCATGATTTTATTAAAGGACACGGAGGCGAGTATTATGCTTATTCTCTTTCTTTATTCCTCAGCAGCAAAAGAGATACTGTAAATATTCAACAAAATTTAAATAACATAATTTACCACTGTAACGGAGCTCCCTGTACTCTGACCGAGTACCCTCCGTTGATGGATGCTCCTAGCGCTTCCTGAGGACTCCAAACACTGCAGCTGACACCACAACCACCGCAGACTCCACAACCGCCGTAGCTTAACTGGAGTCTCGCCGTCTTCCTTCCACCCTGGATCAGCTTCTGTCCTCCAGGACCGTGTGGGGAAGACCTCTCCTCCAGGAGAGCGTAACAGGAACAGCTCTTAAAAGAGCTAAGTGATTAAAAGCTCAGGGGAATATGCAGAGCATAGCAATCCCCAGTGTGATATAGCAGTTCCCTCCAATAACGAGACAAGGCTACGTATTGAGGGTCAAGAAGATCTCATGTTTAATGGCACACACTCTGCTTTTATGAGATTCTGCCCATGCAAGGGAGACACCCACATAATTAGCAGTATAACCAATCGGAACAATATACATTCGGGGAAATTCCCATCCCTCAGATAATCACATAACATAATTAAAACAGAACAGTAAAAATACAGTTTTTATACATGTACTATAACTTCCAAACTACACATCCAATCTTCATAAAAATTACATATTTGGAATCAATCCATTAAGGGGAGCAACATATTAAAAAATGGCACAAATCAGACAAGGGGTTCAAAAGTTAGCAAAAGTGTCTTTTGGGGCCTGGCTGGCAGCATGGTTTTCTGGCCCAAACCGGTTTTACAGAGGCCTCTATCCTGGACAATGGGGAAAGTAATCCAATTATCCAGGGATAGAGGCAGACTCCATTAACCACATGTTAGCAAAAGACACAAAAAGACACAAAAATACATAACTCCTATTGAACTGAACAGAACCCCCACATTCAACCTATCCCCAGATGGCTTGGATCTGAGCACTCAATATATCCAAACAGCGCTCAGATCCCACAAATACAGTCAAATCGCCATACACACTAGGTCCATAGTCATGGGGCAGAAGGCTGGCAATTAGGCTTCTCCATAACACAGGGAAGCAGGGCAATTTGTCAAATAAAATAACAGTTACAAATGGCAGTTTGTAACAACCACAAAGGGTTAACCTTAAATAACCTATTAACCAATGAGAGTGTTGCCAACATAATAGAGTCCCATGTGACCTTAAGCCACTCCTCTTTTGCTGCTGCCTTCTCAGCTAAGTACAATTTTTCTTCTCCTGTCATAATTTGGAAAAGTGTGTGTGTGTAAATTTCACTGTTTGGGTTAATTACCCTTTATTAACTTTTAGTTAATCCATCTTATTACATGATTAATTTATTATTTCAGTGGTATTTGTTTTCTTCATATTTGGGTTTGAAAACTGTTCTGCCTTGATATCTCCCTCTCTCCCTGTCCCCCCCACCCCCCTCTGTCTGTTTATTTTCCGACCGGTTCTCTCCTTCTTCCCTGAATCCTTTAATAAAATTCAGCTGAAGTCCAGGAGGGTGATCATGTGAGTAAAGGTAAGATTATCAAACAGAGCAAGAGGATATTAAATACATGTTGTTCAAATAAAGTTTAAGAAACAAATGATTGCAAGAAACTTTTGTAAGAAAATGGGGGCGCTTGAGATATTGGCATATAAGGAGCAGCACTTGATCATAATATGAAATAATTTGAGATTAACTTTAAAAAAAAAAAAAAAAACTAATTTCTATGAGCTGTACAAACATAATTTTAATAAGGCTAATTTCAATAGGATAAGGGCATCTTTACAACAAATTGACCAGCAGGAAATTATTCACTGGCAAAAGCACAGAGGATAAAAAATGTCTTTAAACAAATTCTACTAAAGAACATTTTTCAATACATACTGAGAAACAAATATAAAAGAAGCTAAAACCAATGTTGCTTAGTTCAAGGGTCAGTCAAATAAAAAAAGAAACGGGGATTGAAAACACTTAAATCAGAGGGTGAATATCATCTTATAACAAAATATAAGCATGGCAACAGGGCTTGCAAAATGGCAATTAGATTAGGTAAACTTAAAAAAGAAAATGCTCGTAGCCAAAAAGAGCAATGCCAACCTGAAAAAAAGTTTTTTTAAGCACCTTAATGTAAAAACGGTTAAGAGTGAAAGTATTGGTCCGTTAGAATCTGAGATGGGTGAGTTAATCAAGGATGATCATGACAAGGCAGAAATTGTAAAAAAAAATGTTTTATCTTCAGTATATAGGGCAAAAAGCCTTACAGCAAATTGGTTAACACAGCCTTCAGTATATAGGGCAAAAAGCCTTACAGCAAATTGGTTACTGTTACAAAAGCCTTACAGCAAATTGGTTAACACAGAATAAAGTAATTTAGAAATTAAAGTTAATGTAAACAAAGCTCCAGGGCCAGATGGTATTCACTCAATATGCTTAGGAATCTTAGTGTAAAAATATCCATACCACTGTTTTTAATTTGTTTAGGATTTTTTTCTTTCAGGAATTGAACCAGAAGATTAGAGAAAAGCAGAAGCAATGCCTATATTTAAAGGAGCTCAAAAGGTCAACGCCGAAATGACAGACCTGTGAGCTTAACATCTGTGGTTGGGAAGTTATATGAAGCACAGTTCAGGGATAATAATCAAGAATTCATTTTGTACAATATTATCATTAGTTGGAATTAGCATGGTTTTATAAAAAACAGGCCATGCCAAAATAATTTAATTGTTTTTTGAATGCGTTATTAGAAATTTATTTTAGGGTGTCCCAGTAGATGAGATCCAGTCAGATTTTACTAAGGCATTTCATACAGTTCCAAACTAAATGTTACTATTAAAACATAAATTAGTTGGATTAGATGAAAAAAAATAAAATCATGTTTTTGGATAGAAATCTGACTTAAATATAGAGTGCAGAGAGTAGCTGTAAGCTGAACATTTTTGCATTGGGAAAAAAGTGGTAAGTAGAGTGTCCACTTCTCTTTAATCAGTTTCTTAAATTATGTTGAAGTGGGCATTGAAATAATTTGTTCGTGTTTGATAATACAGTCTGAACATGATATAGCTTGTCTAAATCATTTGGATACATTAAGGGACTGGGCTTTCAAGTGGCAGATGAGATTCAATACAGACAGGGTCGCCATCAGACATTTTGGGGCCCCTAACACAGCTCAAGGTCTGGGCCCCCAGGGTCCCGCCACCAAGCATGCCCCCAGGACCCGCCTCCAAATCCACCCATAAGGAAGCAGTGTTTGTAGAGTGGATACAGGTTGTGTGTTTTGTGGATGCAGTGTGTGTTTGCATATTGGCTGCAGTGTGTGTTAGTGCATGTGTAGTGGATGCAATGTGTGTATATTGTGTGTGTGTGTGTGTGTATGTATATATATATACACACACACACACACATAATTTGTGTTTGAATGTAAGCATGTTTTTGTATGAAGTAAGTGTGTGAATGTTGGTGTTTGAATGCAGGTGTGCATTTGTGTGTAGTGTATACACTTTCACACACACTGATACTCAGACACACACCGACACACATGCAAATACACAGACACACAGATACACACACTGACATACAGATACTCACACACATATATACACACACATACACAAACAGAGACACATGCACTGATAAAAAAAGGACACAGATACACAAACACAATGATATATACTCACTGACACACACACACACACACATACATACAAACAGACACACATACTGAAACTGATATACACATATATGCAGTCACACAGACACATACTAACATACATACAGACACACATGCATAAGGACATATATATATGCTGACATACATACAGACACATACATACATAGTGACATACATACAGACACATGCATGCATACATACAGACCCCACCTCTCTCCTGAATTGAATTTCTCACTTATCAGCAAGAGTCAACAAGGCAGACGGGCCCCCTGAAGTGAAGGGCCCAGTCGCAGACACGACCCCTTCAACCACGGTAGTTCCGCCACTGGTCATGGGTGCCCAAGACTCACTGATGCACATGGGGAGTGAAGGCTAGCCCGTCTGGTCACAGAGAAGAGCTACGATTGCTCAAATTACTGGAAAACATAATGCTGGCCATTATATAGAGGTGCTTGAACACACAGCGCATTGCAGTTTGCTGCTAATAGAGCTATGGTCAGAGTGCCCATGATGATCTTTGTCCACCGCTGAAAGAGCCTTCAATGTCCATGTGAGCTTTAGAACTGAACCATGAAGCAATGGAATAAGATTGGCAGGCCTGATTAATCACGTTTTCTTTAAGTTCAGGTGGATGGCCTGGTGTGTGTGTGTTATTTACCTGGGGAAGAGATGACAGCAGGGTGCACTATGGAAAGAAAGCAGGCTCGCAGAAGCAGTAGAGTGCTCTGGACAATGTTCTACTGGCAAACCATGGGTCTTGGCATTCATGTCAATGTTACTTTGATACGTATCACCTACTTAGAGATTGTCGCAGACCATGTACACCACTTCATGATAATGGTGTTCCCTGATGGCAGTGGCCTCTCTCAGCAGGATAATGCACCCAGCCACACTGCAAAAACTGTTCATGAATGGTTAGAGGAACATGTCCAAATTCCCCAGATCTCAATCCAACTGAGCATTTGACAGATGTGCAGGAACAACAAATCCGATCCATGGAAACTCCACCTCATAACTTAGAGAATTTAAAGGAACTGCTGCTAATGTCTTGGTGCGAGATACAGAGAGAAAGGGAAAAAAGGGGTGGGGGGGAGCTGCATTGGTCAAAAAGGGTAGATAACATGACAAATCAGCACTTTAACAAAACAAATAAACAACAGTAGCTAAACGAAAATAAATATAATAGCTAAAAACCAGAGCTACAAAATGTGAATATAATGTCAGATACCACAGGACACAGTCCTCATTGCATCAGAGTTGTTTTGACTATATGAGTGGAACCTGCAGGATATTAAGTAGCTGATTTTAATGTTTTGACTGATCACTAAAAAAGAATGGGTTGAACTTGATGGATGCCCAGAAGTAGCCTTCATTTGCTTTCATGTAAAACTGGCTCAACAACTGTACCCTGAAATGTACTTAAAAATGAAAGAAAATTTCAAAGCATTCTTTCTGCTGTAAATTAGACATGTGCAATTCTTTACTTTAAAATGTAAAAAACAACCACAATTTTTTCAAATGTATTTAGCACTGAGCAGTGTTTGTGTGTTTGAATGTTAGCATGTTTTTGTATGGAGTATGTTTTAGGGAATGTAGGGGTGTGTTTGTATGTAGTGTTGGTGTTTGAATGCATGCATTTGTGTGTAGTGTGGTTTTTGAATGCAGTGGTGTGGTTATATATAATGGTGGGGTTTGTATGTAGTGTTGATGTTGAAATGCACATACATAAACACACATAATCACAACACACAATTAACCACAGAAATGCACACACAATCACACACATAATCACAGACATCCACAAACACAATCACATACACATATAATTAGATGTACACACACAATCATCACATAAATACACAGATTTAATAAGAGGTCCACCCAACCTTCCTACCTTGCTCTGGGAGAGCTGGAGAGGAGGGTTGGTGGTCAGTGGTTGCTGCTGGGATCTCTGTGCTCTTCATGCACAGGTCCCTCGCGTGCACTGTAATGACGCTGATGCCGGGATGACTTCATATCCCAGCTGCCGGCTCACTGCAGGGCGAAGACAGTCAGACACAGTTAGATGCACACAGTTATACACATATACTATCAAATACAGCCCCATGCACACAGTCCCAGGTACATAGTCACTCGCATACAGTCAAACACACGGTTACAGGCAATAGCATACACAGTTACAAGCAGCATCACACAATCAAAGGCAGACAGTCATACACCCTCCTACCTGGTGGCACCCGGGGCGGACCCCCCCCTGCTGAGTACATCACTGACTGTAGACACCCAGACCACTTAAGCTAATTGAAGTGGTCTGGGTGCAGGGTCCCTTTTGCACTTAGTGCTGCAATGTTAAACATTGCAGATCCAGAGAGAAAACAAATATAAACGGTAACTTTGGCCAGCTTTTGAGACTAAATGGCTATTAAAAAAAAGACTGGACATAACCCATTTTAAATACCCCGGGTTGTCTACTTTTTCAAATAGTATGCCATGGTGTGGTTATTTTTTTTATTTTTTTTTATGGGCTGCCATACAGTCTCAAAGGCAACATTACCAATCTGTGAAATTTCAATTTGCAAAAACGGAAATGGGCAAGTATTACATTTGACCCTGTAACTTTCCAAAACACTATAAAACCTGTACATGAGGGGTACTGTTGTACTCGTAAGACATTTCTTTACACAAATATGAGTGTTGTAGAGTAGAAAATATATAATACTGATGATATCATCGGGGAAATGGCACTTTATTTGTGAAAAATGCAAAAAAATAAATACGATTGCTAACTTTGGCCAGTGTTTGTAAATTAGTGGCTACTAAAAATACTAGGCATACCCCATTTTGAATACCCTGGTGTGACGGAACGCTGGCACTCCGACTGAGTACCTCCGCCAATCGATGCTCCTAGTGCTCGCTGAGGACTCCAAGCACTCCAAACGACACCATCAGCACTGCAGACCCCACTTCCAGCGATGCAACTGCGCCGGGGTCTCTGCTGTTTCCACCCACCCTGGACCCAAGGCCAGGATCCAGCTTCCAGTGGGTGAACCTCTCTTTCCCCAGAGAGCAGGAACAGGAACAAATCAAGCTATTGCAAGAGCTTCCTCTGGGGAGTAAGTGATTATAGCAATCCCCAGAGTGTAGGTATCCCTTCCCCCAAACATGAGCCAAGGCTTAATGCTGGAACAAGACTGATTTACTGGCACACAGAACTCACAATTTATGCAACACAAAACTCCTCCTCTGGGCCAGGCTAGATAATTGAGTTTCTACAATACACAAAGCTCAATTATCTGCTGGCCAGAAATAATACAGTTTCATAAAACACACAGGGACCCCAAAACATGCAATAACCCCATAAAAAGTATATCCTTGGAACCGGGGGATCTGGGTGAACCACATATCCAAAATTCACCCAGATCCGTTCAGTACTTTGGAAAATACAGTTTAATGCAGATTCTGCAGAACATATACAGGCTAAATGAAAAACAATCACTTTATAATGTGTCCCCTGCTGTATAGTCCAAAACCACTGCACGATGTCTCTGTGCACCAAATACTGGCGAGATGGCACCGTGTTGAAAAGTCCAAACAGTGTCTGTGAGTTAAAATGGCCGCCATCCATTGTTCTCACCATGTGCTTCTGATACAGGAAATGGTGGCCACCCAGTAACTCCACAGTATGTCCCCAGATGGTTCTTAAAGGGCCAGCAGCAGCACAACACAAATCCATTATGCCCAAATCATGTCTTTAAAGGGCAATACATCCCAGGGGCCATAGTCACAGGGCAAGAGGCGGGCAAGCAGTCCTCTCCAGGCACAAGTGGCGAAGGGCACTTCGTCACACCTGGGTTGTGTACTTTTGCAAATGGCATGCCATAATGGGGCTAATTTTCATTCCTGGGCTGCCATATGATCTCAAAGGCAACATAGGCCCGGCAAACCAATCTGCCCAATTTCAATGTATAAAAACTGAAAAGGGGGCAAGCCCTATATTTGACCCTGTAACTTTTCAATACCCCCTAAAACCTGTAGATGGTGGGTACTGTTATATTCATGAGATATCGCTAAACACAAATATATGTGTTTTATTGCAGTAAAAGCTACCAGTATTATGACCTTCATGGTAAACCTTTCACGAAGAGGTAAGAAAATATAAAAATGTCTTCATTTTTAAAAATGTTTTACATTTTATTCATATTAAATATTTGATGTGAAATGAAAGCCCTATATCGCCTGAACAAAATTATATATGATAAGTGTGGGTGCAATTAAAATGAAAGAGGTGAATTATGGTTGAACAGACATATAGCGCAAATTCCAAGTTTTGTTTGGATCAGAACTTGTACAATTAGCTTCCTTGTTAAGGGGTTAAAAACAAACAAAAACAACCTCACCTTTTTCACATCTTTCCTTTTGAACCTTTTTCTTGCTAACTTCCTTCTTCTTCTTCACCCCTGGAAGGGATGCACACAATGGGCATTGAGCTATCCATAATAGACAGTGCGAATAGTTACCAAACAAAGGTAAGTATTGCAATATTTTAGTGAACTCTTCTCTATAAACTCTAATGTGGGTATCTGTCAAATTACTGGAAAACATAATGCTGGCCATTATATAGAGGTGCTTGAACACACAGCGCATTGCAGTTTGCTGCTAATAGAGCTATGGTCAGAGTGCCCATGATGATCTTTGTCCACCGCTGAAAGAGCCTTCAATGTCCATGTGAGCTTTAGAACTGAACCATGAAGCAATGGAATAAGATTGGCAGGCCTGATTAATCACGTTTTCTTTAAGTTCAGGTGGATGGCCTGGTGTGTGTGTGTTATTTACCTGGGGAAGAGATGACAGCAGGGTGCACTATGGAAAGAAAGCAGGCTCGCAGAAGCAGTAGAGTGCTCTGGACAATGTTCTACTGGCAAACCATGGGTCTTGGCATTCATGTCAATGTTACTTTGATACGTATCACCTACTTAGAGATTGTCGCAGACCATGTACACCACTTCATGATAATGGTGTTCCCTGATGGCAGTGGCCTCTCTCAGCAGGATAATGCACCCAGCCACACTGCAAAAACTGTTCATGAATGGTTAGAGGAACATGTCCAAATTCCCCAGATCTCAATCCAACTGAGCATTTGACAGATGTGCAGGAACAACAAATCCGATCCATGGAAACTCCACCTCATAACTTAGAGAATTTAAAGGAACTGCTGCTAATGTCTTGGTGCGAGATACAGAGAGAAAGGGAAAAAAGGGGTGGGGGGGAGCTGCATTGGTCAAAAAGGGTAGATAACATGACAAATCAGCACTTTAACAAAACAAATAAACAACAGTAGCTAAACGAAAATAAATATAATAGCTAAAAACCAGAGCTACAAAATGTGAATATAATGTCAGATACCACAGGACACAGTCCTCATTGCATCAGAGTTGTTTTGACTATATGAGTGGAACCTGCAGGATATTAAGTAGCTGATTTTAATGTTTTGACTGATCACTAAAAAAGAATGGGTTGAACTTGATGGATGCCCAGAAGTAGCCTTCATTTGCTTTCATGTAAAACTGGCTCAACAACTGTACCCTGAAATGTACTTAAAAATGAAAGAAAATTTCAAAGCATTCTTTCTGCTGTAAATTAGACATGTGCAATTCTTTACTTTAAAATGTAAAAAACAACCACAATTTTTTCAAATGTATTTAGCACTGAGCAGTGTTTGTGTGTTTGAATGTTAGCATGTTTTTGTATGGAGTATGTTTTAGGGAATGTAGGGGTGTGTTTGTATGTAGTGTTGGTGTTTGAATGCATGCATTTGTGTGTAGTGTGGTTTTTGAATGCAGTGGTGTGGTTATATATAATGGTGGGGTTTGTATGTAGTGTTGATGTTGAAATGCACATACATAAACACACATAATCACAACACACAATTAACCACAGAAATGCACACACAATCACACACATAATCACAGACATCCACAAACACAATCACATACACATATAATTAGATGTACACACACAATCATCACATAAATACACAGATTTAATAAGAGGTCCACCCAACCTTCCTACCTTGCTCTGGGAGAGCTGGAGAGGAGGGTTGGTGGTCAGTGGTTGCTGCTGGGATCTCTGTGCTCTTCATGCACAGGTCCCTCGCGTGCACTGTAATGACGCTGATGCCGGGATGACTTCATATCCCAGCTGCCGGCTCACTGCAGGGCGAAGACAGTCAGACACAGTTAGATGCACACAGTTATACACATATACTATCAAATACAGCCCCATGCACACAGTCCCAGGTACATAGTCACTCGCATACAGTCAAACACACGGTTACAGGCAATAGCATACACAGTTACAAGCAGCATCACACAATCAAAGGCAGACAGTCATACACCCTCCTACCTGGTGGCACCCGGGGCGGACCCCCCCCTGCTGAGTACATCACTGACTGTAGACACCCAGACCACTTAAGCTAATTGAAGTGGTCTGGGTGCAGGGTCCCTTTTGCACTTAGTGCTGCAATGTTAAACATTGCAGATCCAGAGAGAAAACAAATATAAACGGTAACTTTGGCCAGCTTTTGAGACTAAATGGCTATTAAAAAAAGACTGGACATAACCCATTTTAAATACCCCGGGTTGTCTACTTTTTCAAATAGTATGCCATGGTGTGGTTATTTTTTTTATTTTTTTTTATGGGCTGCCATACAGTCTCAAAGGCAACATTACCAATCTGTGAAATTTCAATTTGCAAAAACGGAAATGGGCAAGTATTACATTTGACCCTGTAACTTTCCAAAACACTATAAAACCTGTACATGAGGGGTACTGTTGTACTCGTAAGACATTTCTTTACACAAATATGAGTGTTGTAGAGTAGAAAATATATAATACTGATGATATCATCGGGGAAATGGCACTTTATTTGTGAAAAATGCAAAAAAATAAATACGATTGCTAACTTTGGCCAGTGTTTGTAAATTAGTGGCTACTAAAAAATACTAGGCATACCCCATTTTGAATACCCTGGTGTGACGGAACGCTGGCACTCCGACTGAGTACCTCCGCCAATCGATGCTCCTAGTGCTCGCTGAGGACTCCAAGCACTCCAACCGACACCATCAGCACTGCAGACCCCACTTCCAGCGATGCAACTGCGCCGGGTCTCTGCTGTTTCCACCCACCCTGGACCCAAGGCCAGGATCCAGCTTCCAGTGGGTGAACCTCTCTTTCCCCAGAGAGCAGGAACAGGAACAAATCAAGCTATTGCAAGAGTTTCCTCTGGGGAGTAAGTGATTATAGCAATCCCCAGAGTGTAGGTATCCCTTCCCCCAAACATGAGCCAAGGCTTAATGCTGGAACAAGACTGATTTACTGGCACACAGAACAATTTATGCAACACAAAACTCCTCCTCTGGGCCAGGCTAGATAACTGAGTTTCTACAATACACAAAACTCAATTATCTGCTGGCCAGAAATAATACAGTTTCATAAAACACACAGGGACCCCAAAACATGCAATAACCCCATAAAAAGTATATCCTTGGAACCGGGGGATCTGGGTGAACCACATATCCAAAATTCACCCAGATCCGTTTAGTACTTTGGAAAATACAGTTTAATGCAGATTCTGCAGAACATATACAGGCTAGATGAAAGACAATCACTTTATAATGTGTCCCCTGCTGTATAGTCCAAAACCACTGCACGATGTCTCTGTGCACCAAATACTGGCGAGATGGCACCGTGTTGAAAGGTCCAAACAGTGTCTGTGAGTTAAAATGGCCGCCATCCATTGTTCTCACCATGTGCTTCTGATACAGGAAATGGTGGCCACCCAGTAACTCCACAGTATGTCCCCAGATGGTTCTTAAAGGGCCAGCAGCAGCACAACATAAATCCATTATGCCCAAATCATGTCTTTAAAGGGCAATACATCCCAGGGGCCATAGTCACAGGGCAAGAGGCGGGCAAGCAGTCCTCTCCAGGCACAAGTGGCGAAGGGCACTTCGTCACACCTGGGTTGTGTACTTTTGCAAATGGCATGCCATAATGGGGCTAATTTTCATTCCTGGGCTGCCATATGATCTCAAAGGCAACATAGGCCCGGCAAACCAATCTGCCCAATTTCAATGTATAAAAACTGAAAAGGGGGCAAGCCCTATATTTGACCCTGTAACTTTTCAATACCCCCTAAAACCTGTAGATGGTGGGTACTGTTATATTCATGAGATATCGCTAAACACAAATATATGTGTTTTATTGCAGTAAAAGCTACCAGTATTATGACCTTCATGGTAAACCTTTCACGAAGAGGTAAGAAAATATAAAAATGTCTTCATTTTTAAAAATGTTTTACATTTTATTCATATTAAATATTTGATGTGAAATGAAAGCCCTATATCGCCTGAACAAAATTATATATGATAAGTGTGGGTGCAATTAAAATGAAAGAGGTGAATTATGGTTGAACAGACATATAGCGCAAATTCCAAGTTTTGTTTGGATCAGAACTTGTACAATTAGCTTCCTTGTTAAGGGGTTAAAAACAAACAAAAACAACCTCACCTTTTTCACATCTTTCCTTTTGAACCTTTTTCTTGCTAACTTCCTTCTTCTTCTTCACCCCTGGAAGGGATGCACACAATGGGCATTGAGCTATCCATAATAGACAGTGCGAATAGTTACCAAACAAAGGTAAGTATTGCAATATTTTAGTGAACTCTTCTCTATAAACTCTAATGTGGGTATCTGTTTAAGGGCTTTCGGTTCTAGTTGTAACAGTGACTAAAAATTCTCTGGTGTCAATGGTCAGATTTATATAATTGATGATGATATATATATGCATCCTTGGTTTCCTCTATTTTGTAACTGTGGTAGGTTTCATTGAATAAAAATAAATCTCTCAGGAAGTAAACCATTAATAAAACATAATAAAAAAATAAAAAAAAGCAAATCTTTACAATTCTAGATTAGTGTCTCTTAAGAGTTTAAAAATGTAAGCCCATTAACAAATCCATTAATGTGTCTTATATATGGTGTATTTAAATTCAATTTAAATGATGTACAATGTATGTATTTTCATTATCACATGACGTTTGTGGACAGAATCAAAGTGTCAAAGTGTACGGGTCAAAGTGTTTAATGCCCTCTGCATCAGGGTGTATGTGTATCACTGTTTTTATTTCCAGAAATTTCCAATTTTGCCTTACTGGTACCTGAAGAGGGAGGGTGTGATGGATGACAGGAGGATATGTCCATCACGCAGTTATTGATGATAGGCTGCCCAGCTCTGTGAATAGGTATTCACACTGCACATTACAGCAGTCTCCCAACACCAGGTGACAGAGCCCCTCAGAAAGATGATTGCACGGTCAATGTGATGTGTGGCTTGGCTTTATTCAGAGTCAAACATAATACATAGCTAACTTAGAGGAGGTTTACATTCCAGTTATTGTTCCCTTAATTTGAAATTCTCTTTTAATTTATGACATTTTACAATCTTTAAAATTATTTTATTTTTAACAAATCATATTTTTATTGAGATTGACAGCTTATAAATACAGGTTACAGATTTAGACAAATTTACACATTTTGTACATAGAATGCAAGGTACCATTCAACAATAGGTTCTGCCTCAAATTTGTGTTAATGTCCCTCTGTTCCAGGATTCAGTCATACAGATATAATATTGCTAGGTACTTTCTGAGTATATGCAATGAAAACCTGTATCTGAGCAATGATTGCAAAGTGTATATAAAGACATGGATCTTCATCAACTTCATTTATAAGACATAACTATATATAAAAATATAAAGGAAATAATTTAGTCTGTGTAACTGGGGAGGGCAGGGGGAGGTGGAGTCTCCCATAAACACTAATTATGTCCAGCAGTGTCCCTAACATAATAGATTGTGGTTACAGAGCATGAGGAAAATTAAACATAAGGTATCAAACCAATCCTAGCTCTTCCAATGTGAGAACCCTGAGTGCTTGATCTCAGTCAAATCATGCAAGTAAGGAGCAGCAATAATCCTGAATAACCCCTTTCGTGTTAATCGTATCAACTATTACAGTATTCTCATACTTAGTTTTGTTAAAACCGTTTCATATTTATTGGAAGAAGGTTTCCATTGTTTCCATGCTATTTCCCAAACTTTTTGGGACTTGGAGCTGGTTCCAAAATCAGATACATACGGGTCTGTTTTATCTGTTGTCTGCTCATCTCAATTAAAAGGATTTTTGATGATGACCAATTTGTTGCTATGGGTGATAAAGCTTCAAGGGCAGTATGAAAGATGAAATATTGATCCAATTTGGCAATACAGGTTATACTTTAATAAATAAAACAATATAATAATTTAATGTAAAACAATATACATGGTTTTTCTTTGTCTTCACATTTTAATAAAATGAATATTTCTGTGAACAGTTTTACAGTTGTTTTTTTTTTATTTTACAGGATTTATCAGAGTTTTATCTCAAAAGAACATTTAGTTGTGGTGAATCTTCAGTAGATAAGAGCATGAGAGATAGATTTACAGGAAAAAAAATAAAAATAAAAAATGAAAAAAGTTGATGCATATATCACCACCTAGCGTTTCATTCACTTCCTACAGTTACTCTCATTTTAAGTAGTACCAAATTTTACCACAGAGGCAGGCTGCAGAGTGTTCAATTAATGCAGGGCTGCCCAAAATGTAGATCCCCAGATGTTGTAAAACTTCAACTCCCATGATGATTTGTATGCCCTTACCATGCCTTTATTTTACAAAGCATCATGGAAGCTGTAGTTTTAAAACATCTGGGAATGTCCCTTTTGGACACCCCTGAATGAATGTAACCATAATGAGCAACAATTTTCTCTCTTCATTTATATTTATCAGCAATTAAAATGTAATCAATATCTTATTAACAAAAGCAAGCGCACAGTTTCCTGATGTAAACTTGTCAAATTAGTAATTGATTGGTTTCCCTACTTGGGGCTGCATTAGTAAACTGAGCTGGTAATCTTCACTAGACCGCATTCAAGTCATAGAACAGCTTCAGTCTAAAACAATCTTCATGTTTCACCTGGAACTTACCTGCGGCGTTCATCTGAGGAAAGCTTACAGAACTAGAGTTACTGGGAAAACTCTTAGTTCAAATGCCCCCAAAATGTTCTCAGCATGTTTTACACCAGCTTAAAGGACCACTATAGGCACCCAGACCACTTCGGCTTAATGAAGTGGTCTGGGTGCCAGGTCCAGCTAGATTTAACCCTTTTTCTATAAACATAGCAGTTTTAGAGAAACTGCTATGTTTACCTATGGGTAAATCCAGCCTCTAGTGGCTGTCTCATTGACAGCCGCTAGAGGCGCTTCCGCGCTTCTCACTGTGATTTTCACAGTGAGAAGATGCCAGCTTCCATAGGAAAGCATTGAGAATGCTTTCCTTTGGACTGGCTGAATGCGCTCGCGGCTCCTACCGCGCATGCGCATTAGCCGATGACGTCGCTGAATGCGCAGAGGTAAGTTTAACCCCTTCCTCCCCCTAGAGCCGGGCGGGAGGTAGTCACTGAGGGTGGGCACTATAGTGCTAGTAAAATGAGTATGTTTACCTGGCACTATAGTGGTCCTTTAACCAGGGCCAAATAAGGATAAAGTAAGGTAAAATCACATTAACATTTTGACCAGGGTCTTAATCATGCGTGCACATGTTGGTGTGATTTTACCTTGATGCTACAATAAAGTCTACCAAAAGATCAAGGTGATGGAACCTCCTCCCACATTTATCTTTGCTGGATTACTTTGGGTCAAAGTTGGTCCTAGGGGTAGGAGACTCTAAAAAGTTCAAAAGGATTAAAGAAAGAGAGGATACATTGGAGACCTGACAGCGGTACATAGAAACATAGAAACATAGAGTGTGACGGCAGATAAGAACCATTCGGCCCATCTAGTCTGCCCAATTTTCTAAAAACTTTCATTAGTCCCTAGCCTTATCTTATAGTTAGGATAGCCTTATGCCTATCCCATGCATGCTTAAACTCCTTTACTGTGTTAACCTCTACCACTTCAGCTGGAAGGCTATTCCATGCATCCACTACCCTCTCAGTAAAGTAATACTTCCTGATATTATTTTTAAACCTTTGTCCCTCTAATTTAAGACTATGTCCTCTTGTTGTGGTAGTTTTTCTTCTTTTAAATATAGTCTCCTCCTTTACTGTGTTGATTCCCTTTATATATTTAAATGTTTCTATCATATCCCCCCTGTCTCGTCTTTCCTCCAAGCTATACATGTTAAGATCCTTTAACCTTTCCTGGTAAGTTTTATCCCGCAATCCATGAACCAGTTTAGTAGCCCTTCTCTGAACCCTCTCTAAGGTATCAATATCCTTCTGAAGATACGGTCTCCAGTACTGTGTACAATACTCCAAGTGAGGTCTCACCAGTGTTCTGTACAATGGCATGAGCACTTCCCTCTTTCTACTGCTAATACCTCTCCCTATACAACCAAGCATTCTGCTAGCATTTCCTGCTGCTCTATTACATTGTCTGCCTACCTTTAAGTCATCAGAAATAATCACCCCTAAATCCCTTTCCTCATATGTTGAGGTTAGGACTCTATCAAATATTCTGTACTCTGCCCTTGGGTTTTTACGTCCAAGATGCATTATCTTGCACTTATCCACATTAAATGTCAGTTGCCACAATTCTGACCATTTTTCTAGTTTACCTAAATCATTTGTCATTTGGCTTATCCCTCCTGGAACATCAACCCTGTTACATATCTTAGTATCATCAGCAAAAAGACATACCTTACCATCAAGACCTTCTGCAATATCACTAATAAAAATATTAAAGAGAATGGGTCCAAGTACAGATCCCTGAGGTACCCCAATGGTGACAAGTCCAAGCTTCGAATATATTCCATTAACTACAACCCTCTGTTGCCTGTCACTCAGCCACTGCCTTACCCATTCAACAATATTGGAATCCAAACTTAAAGATTGCAGTTTATTGATAAGCCTTCTATGTGCAACAGTGTCAAAAGCCTTACTGAAATCTAGGTAAGCAATGTCTACTGCACCACCCTGATCTATAATTTTAGTTACCCAATCAAAAAAATCAATAAGATTAGTTTGGCATGATCTCCCTGAAGTAAACCCATGTTGTCTCTGATCTTGAAATCCATGTGTTTTTAGATGTTCATCAATCCTATCCTTTAACATGGTTTCCATCACTTTCCCCACTACTGAAGTAAGGCTTACTGGCCTATAGTTGCCCGACTCCTCCCTATTACCTTTCTTGTAAATGGGCACAACATTCGCGTACAATTTCAAATAAACAGACTACAATGTCACAAGGAACCACAGTGTGTTTATTCTTTTTATTTTCTTTTGACTTTTGTGAATAACTCAATGTAGTTCTTTTTACATAATGACCATTTCTAGTTTTATTTACTAACTTGGTATTGTAATTGGTACTAAAATCATCTGTTATTTAAGTGTTCATTAGTGATTAGTATAGTGCCAATGTAATTTTTATGGTTTCTTTGTACATCTGGCCCGAATATTACAGCAGTATCTGCGACTGCCACCCATGGGTTTTTGCAATGTAAGAGACTCATTTCTGTGTTTTATAGTGAGTAGGGAATCACATGCACAGCTAAGATTGTTTTAATAGCAAACCCTATTCTAGAATCTATCCTCCACCTTATCTGGTTGCTAAAAGGCAGTTATTGTATGTTGAGTAATATTAGCTCTTGTGTAGTGAATGATGGAGGTGGACAGATTTCCAGTCCCTCTTCATCAGACAGGGTGTAAAGAGAGATGAAGCAGAAAATTGATTCATCTGGCAGCTGAAGACTGTCACTGGCGTAGAAGAAAGAAAATAAAGTGAATTTATATGTTAAAATGGAGGACGTTGAAAGAGAAGATATCACCCAGTATTCAAGGTTTAAGGATGTTACTTATAAGATGAACATCGTTTTTCAATCTTCTACACTGTATCTAAGGTGTGGTCTACTCTTTGTTTATGTTTTTTTGGAATACTTCCTATTTATTCCCACAAGATAAACAATATAGAAATATTTTTTTCACCTTTTAAACATTTTGTCATATATTTAACCCCTTAAGGACCAAACTTCTGGAATAAAAGGGAATCATGACATGTCACACATGTCATGTGTCCTTAAGGGGTTAATATAAATAAATTGTAACTTTTACTCTCAGAATACTAATATACACTTACCCTGAATATTCCATATACAAAAACTAAGGCCTCAACTTGCTATTGTTGGATAAGATTTTCAAATGATTTCAAATTGTTGGATGCAATTTTTTTAAATAATTTTCTTTTCAAATTATTAAAATATAAAAATATATGCCATATTACCAAATTTTGAAAACGTATAATATTAAATCATTTGAAAAGTTTATTTAAAATAAATATTAAATCACTTGAAAAGAACAAATATTTCACCCTTGTCTGTTTGTCTGTTATTGCAAATCTGGACTACTATCTGTTATTCGGACATAATGGACACCTGCATGTCTTTCTATATTTTAACCTGTGTTTATGCGTCCTGCGTGACCCCTTTTGTCTTCTTTTTTTCCACTGAAAAAGCGTCTTCAATAAAAATGGATTTACAAAAACAAAATCACTTAAAAAACTTTTTTTAAATCAAAAGTGTTAAATCAAGGCCTAAATAAGAGGACAAAAAAACAAAAGGAAACCAGTAAGTGCGAATAAAAAGATACTGGAATTTAAAGTTAGCTCTTTATCTATTCTTTGTCAGTTTAATGCATGTACAATATACTTGTGATTAACTACAACTGATATTAAAACTGAAATTAAATAGCTAGCAATGGAAATAGTGATATGAGAAAATGTGTTTAAGATGTAATCTGTATTTTTGTGTTAATTAAATAATTTTACCAAATGCTGACTATTAACAAAACACAGAAATACCGGTATATCTTTTTTTTCAAAACTAAACTGGTGGAATCCCACACTATAAGAGAGACGTTTGTTATCTTTGAAGAATTCAGTCCATGGTCAATATAGGATATTTCCAATTATGCCACTATTTTGGGAAATCCTTTGGGATTTGGGAAACTCAGTTTGGCTATCACAGCTATGTTATTGTTGAAGTAACATTTTGTTATTCAAATTTCATTTTACTGAAAATCACACATGCACAGGCATTCCTACACACTACACACATCCCACATATGTGTAAGATGCATGTGTAAGATACAATGATGCAGGTGGTTCTATGTGGAACAAGAAAGAGTTACGATAAAACTATTTTTTTCCCTTCAATTACAATTTGTATTGTTTTTTATACTACAAATTTTAGCAAGATTTTTTTCTTAATTTCTGATCTGTAAAATTTGGAAATGGATTAAATTGTACCTTACAGGGACACCTGTCATTAGCAATAAAGGTAATTGATTACGTGCCAATAAAAGCCATCGATGGTAACCATTAATAAACTTTCTAATCTTGACAAGCGTACCTGTAAACAAACACTTCCATTTTAGATCCCATCAACCCCTACTGTGTGGAGATAAAGGCGCTTTTACAAATATATCACATTTTCCAATTGTCCAAGTACCTACTGAGCTATAGCAGCTATGCAATGTGTCATTCATTTATACATGTCCAAATCCAGAGGATAACCTTTGACTTAGAGATCCCTTTGTTGATAGTGAAGACTGCACAACTGATGTGGATCTCCCAAGAATGAAACAAGGTAAGGCGAAGTCTATAGTGCACACACTACATAAAGTTTGGCTTGATCTGTGAATAGTAGGCTTGTCTAGCGCTGGTATGGATCAGCTTCTCTGCCAAGCTCTGGGGTTTTACATGTAGTGTCTGAAGAAAGAAAGGACGCAAATTACTGCATAATAGAATCATCTGGAAATCTACTGTCAAAAGCTCATCAGGGGAAAATGAAAGGACCTTGCAGGTTCCAAAGAGGAGTGGTAAACAGTGAGCTGGCAAGCAAGAAGAGAAGGGAAATATGTCTTTAAAGGGAATGTCTAGGACTCAGGGGTAGGCAACCTTTGGCACTCCAGATGTTGTGGCCTACATCTCCCACAATGCTTTTACAGCTATAATGCTGGCAAAGCGTCATGGTAGGTGTAGTCCAAAACATCTGGAGTGCCGAAGGTTGCCTATCCCTTGTCTAGGTTACATAATACATAACAAAACTTGCTCCCTTAGTTAAGCTGACCCACAGCCCAGTTTGTGCTTCTCACAGATAACTATTCTAGAAACAGTCAGGATTATTTATTAAAGTGAGAATTCAAAGTGAATTTAAAACTTAAGGCAAGAGTAGCCAAACTGAAAGCACAGCTAACTTCTAAAATATTCAGATATATTTTTGATTTCAGCTATTTTGAACTTAAATTTGAAATTCACTTTGAATCTATCTTGAATTCTCACTTTAGTAAATAACCGTGCTTGAGTATATTATGTAACATATTATCAATGCAGAAACATACACGAAAATATATTCTTGCATATTTTCATTTATGTTTCTAGCTATCTATCTATCTATCTATATATATATATATATATATATATATATATATACAGTTGCAAGAAAAAGTATGTGAACCCTTTGGAATGATATGGATTTCTGCACAAATTGGTCATAAAATGTGATCTGATCATCATCTAAGTCACAACAATAGACAATCACAGTCTGCTTAAACTAATAACACACAAAGAAGGAAATGTTGCCATGTTTTTATTGAACACACCATGTAAACATTCACAGTGCAGGTGGAAAAAGTATGTGAACCCTTGGATTTAATAACTGGTTGAACCTTCTTTGGCAGCAATAACTTCAACCAAATGTTTCCTGTAGTTGCAGATCAGACGTGCACAACGGTCAGGAGTAATTCTTGACCATTCCTCTTTACAGAACTGTTTCAGTTCAGCAATATTCTTGGGATGTCTGGTGTGAATCGCTTTCTTGAGGTCATGCCACAGCATCTCAATCGGGTTTAGGTCAGGACTCTGACTGGGCCACTTCAGAAGGCGTATTTTCTTCTGTTTAAGCCATTATGTTGTTGATTTACTTCTATGCTTTGGGTCATTGTCCTGTTGCAACACCCATCTTTTGTTGAGCTTCAGCTGGTAGACAGATGGCCTTAAGTTCTGCAAAATGTCTTGATAAACTTGGGAATTCATTTTTCCTTCGATGATAGCAATCCGTCCAGGCCCTGACGCAGCAAAGCAGCCCCAAACCATGTTGCCCCCACCACCATACTTCACAGTTGGGATGAGGTTTTGATGTTGGTGTGCTGTGCCTTTTTTTTCGCCACACATAGTGTTGTGTGTTTCTTCTAAACAACTCAACTTTTCTTTCATTTGTCCACAGAATATTTTGCCAGTACTGCTGTGGAACATCCAGTTGCTCTTGTGCAAACTGTAAACGTGCAGCAATGTTTTGTTTGGACAGCAGTGGCTTCCTCTGTGGTATCCTCCCATGAAATCCATTCTTGTTTAGTGTTTTACGTATTGTAGATTCGCTAACAGGGATGTTAGCATTTGCCAGTGACTTTTGTAAGTCTTTAGCTGACACTCTAGGATTCTTCTTCACCTCATTGAGCAGTCTGCGCTGTGCTCTTGCAGTCATCTTTACAGGACGGCCACTCCTAGGGAGAGTAGCAGCAGTGCTGATCTTTCTCCATTTATAGACAATTTGTCTTACTGTGGACTGATGAACAGCAAGGCTTTTGGAGATACTTTTATAACCTTTTCCAGCTTTATGCAAGTCAACAATTCTTAATCGTAGGTCTTCTGAGAGCTCTTTTGTGCGAGGCATCATTCACATCAGGCAATGCTTCTTGTGAAAAGCAAACCCAGAACTGGTGTGTGTTTTTTATAGGGCAGGGCAGCTGTAACCAACACCTCCAATCTCATCTCATTGATTGGACTCCAGTTGGCTGACATCTCACTCCAATTAGCTCTTGGAGATGTCATTAGTCTAGGGGCTCACATACTTTTTCCACCTGCACTGTGAATGTTTACATGGTGTGTTCAATAAAAACATGGCAACATTTCATTCTTTGTGTGTTATTAGTTTAAGCAGACTGTGATTGTCTATTGTTGTGACTTAGATGATGATCAGATCACATTTTATGACCAATTTGTACCTTTCTTTCTAATATACTTTACTGTGGGTCATTAAAGGGATACTATAAGTTCCAGGAATACAAAGCTGTATTCCTGGTACTATAGCTCCCTCTGCCTTCTCCCTCTCTCCAAACCTTACTTACGTTATCCCAGCGCTGATGTCCCTCGGCACTGGGTAGACGCACTGCCCCCTCCAACGTCCTGCGCGCGTATAAGTCCTCCCATAGAAAATCATTGCTTTCCTATGGGAAAAAGTCTGATGCTGGATGTGACGTCCAGTGTCAGATATCGGACCAAAGATCCACGAAGCCCTCTAGTGGCTATCTGGTTGACAGCCACTGGAGGCTGACTTAGATCTGCAATGTTTAAAATTGCAGCACTAAGTCCAAATGGGACACTGCATCCAGACCACTTCAATTAGCTGAAGTGGTCTGGGTTCCTACAGTGTCCCTTTAACTTTACCTTATTATTATTATTTTTTAAAATCTATTTTGAAAAAAAAATTGGCACTTTATTTTGTACAATTTTTTTATGCTTTCATTACTAAATAATTTAAAAAAGGATTTAACATCCCCTTATAGAGGCACTCTATAACCACTACAACTCAGTGTAGCGCTAAACATGCCAGGAGGATATGGGCACCATAGCTCGGTTCTTAGTCAAACAATTTTTGAGTTTGACAGAAATGAGTGCTATCCCCATCACCCACAGCCAACATCCTCCAGCAATAGTAATAATGAGAAATTGACATAATGCATTTCCAAATCAATCAAACCCAGATCGCATGGATTGGTGGATCGGCTGCGTGTGTTGAGCAAACAGTCCCAAAAAGCCATCATTGGCTACACCAACCTCGTGTTTGTACTAGATTAGTAATTAACAGCTTGACATAAAACAAAAAAACATGTTTAAACCAGGGTGAACTGAAAGATTACTGAAGGATGACTCTATTATATTACTATTTACATTCCTGCATTGATCTATCACCGAAGCAGTTACCACAATTTTCCTGTAAGAACACCGATAACCATATGATTTTTTGCACAGTCTTTACTTTTAAAATGTAAATAGTGTATTAAAAATTGGTGATATATTCCAGTTAACCTTGACTTTAAAGTAATCATCTGCCTCGTGCCATTCTTTGGGAGTGGTTCCTTCGGTGCTGTGACGGTGATTTAACTGGCTGCAAATATTTGACTTTCTAATAAGCAAATCCTCTACGAGACTGCCAGAATACAAAGAAAGAGTTTGCAACTCCCTGTCTCACAAACGTTTTGTTGGCCAAATCAAGAAGGTCATTTACTTTTACACACCAGAAACCCAACATCAAAAGTTAGCAAATATTCGGAGATTATCAACTGTGTCGATCATGTGTGGGAAAGGATTAGAATTACAATTTTGAACCTTGAGACAAGTACAGAGCTAAAGCCAAGGTAACAATCCAAAACTGTGCCCTTAAGTAACCAGCTTCCTAAACAAATGACACATATTTCTATAAAGATGGTGCTGTCAAGATAAACCAAATTAAAAGATCTCTATAAACCTCAGGTGAGTAAAAAAAAAAAAAAAGAGACAAAGTGAGCCAAAAGTAGATGCAGATGGGTCAGGTCATCTTACCTTTTGATGCCCTGGGTGGTAAGCTGTCCAAAACATTTAGTACAATGAACAATGTAAAAGCCAGAGAGGCAAGACTGACACCGCATACCAGGAAACTGTAACTGCCTTCAGTCTGGATCACCTGCATGGGAGAAGAAGCCACTATATTGAACTGGTGCTATGATAGGATGAGTATGATTTGTATCGTGTTATTGGAATGTATTCAAACGGTTCTATTAAATCTTCAGACTTTACTTTTGAACCAAATTTTAACATGGAGAACCGTTACTTGGTATTCATCATGGATACTACCTACAGGTTCCTGGTATTAATATGGGATCCAGTGTGGGCCCCCATAAGCCATCTTCTTGTCACCAAGATCATTTATGGACATGATAAATAATGTATTATGTCAATGATGGGTTGGTATTGTGAGTGCAGGGTTTTTCTGTGCTGTATAAGCATGTAGCTAAATTGTTCTTCACTTTCCACATCTCAACCTCCAATCCCCCTTACACATTTGCTCCTTTTATATGTCCCACTCGTTTCACAATAAAAGGCATCATCGGAAACATTGTCCTTAAAAATAAAGGGAAATGTGATGACTAGTAATGATTAACAAAAAACTAGAGAGTAGTGTACCAAGAAATTATTGGGAGGAGGCAACTTGTGCCTGTACTACATAATGACCAGAAATTATATAAGAGTCAGAAGCACGAGTTAAAAAGACCAAATGTCAAAAAACAAAAAATAGTTTATTAGATTCTAAATAATATTTAAAAAAATAAATAATAATTTAGCAAAAACCCAAAAGTGCTACCAATATACAGAGAGAAAAAAGAAAAAGAAATAAACAAAGTTGTACAGAATTATCTCTACTAGGAGCCAAAATGACGGTGTAGAGACTATAGGTCTAGGTATATAGTTATGGCAAGTAAAATCAATCCTGCTAAATATGACAGTATAAGCTACGAGCATATGAATATTTGATAACAACGTCATGCTAGAACCTGCAGTCTATACACCGATAACTATTGACAGTCTTTACGAGCTACAAATATTCATACGCTCGTAACTTATACTGTCATATTTAGCAGGATTGATTTTACTTGCCATAACTATATACCTAGACCTATAGTCTCTACACATTTTGGCTCCTAGTAGAGATAATTCTGTACAACTTTTGGCAGTATCTAGCAATAATATGCTTGCACTACATGCTACCCCGATAATTATTTTGCACTCCATCTACTCCACTATTACTAGTATGGCTATCATTAACTAATGTCTTCCCATTAGCACAGACGTGTGCTCCTACTTAATTTCTCTTATATTTTTAGGACATTAGAGTTAACTTTTCAGATTATCACACTGCCACAGTAGATTGATCTTTTGATACACTTATCTAATTACTCCGAGACTTATTGATACATTCCATTATACTGAGACTTGTTGATACATGTATCTTAAGTAAATCAGTATTGTGTCTCACTGATATATGTATCATAACAGCATTTTGTTTATTTCTTTTTCGTTTTTTTCACTCTGTATATTGGTAGCACTTTTGGGTTTTTGCTAAATTATTTTATTTTTATTTTTTTTATATTATTTAGAATCTAATAAACTATTTTTGGTTTTTTGACCTTTGGTCTTTTTAACTCGTGCTTTTGACTCTTATATAATTTTTGGTCATTATGTAGTACAGGCACAAGTTTCCTCCTCCCAATAATTTCTTGGTACACTACTCTTTAGTTTTTTGTTCATTTCTACTAGGGGATACCCCCCTGCTCCTAGTGTACCTTGTTTGGCTGTATCCAGTTAGTTTCTTTACTAGTAATGATTAGCCACATCATTGGACATGTTGGTGGAACACACTTCCAATTCCCAACATCCTAGACCAGCTTAAAAGGTCTACGTGTACTTGAATATATGAGGCAGTGCATAATGTATGTAGAAAATGGTTGCTTGGTAGGTGAATTTGAATCTGTTGGTGGATAAATAATGTAATAATGTAATTCAGCTGGTAGGGTTAATGTGACTAGGTGGGTGGCTTTACATGACTCTAAAGGGGGCATATAACTGGGTATGTGGCTGGGTGAAAATGACTTGACTGGCGGTATGCAACAGGTTGGTGTTTGTGACAAGGCTTTGTGACTTAGCTCACCCCAAATTGCCATTCAGATTGTTAGTCAAGACTTCTACAATGACTATCACTTACAATAGAGAAGAAACAGATGGGAAACGTACAAAGCAGTGATAACACGGATATTCTGTATGGATAAATATCTAGATTTAAGAAGTGCATTATCTTACCATTCCCACAAGGATCTGTAGAACCATTTCACCCATTCCGGCTGCAGTAACAAGAAGGGTGGTGGCACAGCCTGAAGGATACAGCAAGGGTTAAGGATAAACTGTAAGCTATAGCACATTAATTTCCACAAATGTTACCAAATGTGGAAAAGGGAATAAAGTGAGTATGCATTACATAAGTTTGATTACAATACATCATCTCCAGGACTATAGCATTTCGAGACAGATCAGGTAATAAGAAATATCATATGATCATACTGCTCCTTTAAACATTGTATTAGTTGCAATTTGTAGATGAGCAATAATTTGACCCCTTCACTTTCAAGTGGCAGCAATTAAAAAAAAGCGGTGCAGGATTTATATGAAATGTAATACTCATAGCTAACACATATATATATATTTTCATTTATTCATTAATGCTGTGAGAGGGAGGTAAATATTTCAGAGATTGTATGGTATTACTTTTCTAGGAACTTTGCAGATAGGGCCATATACCTTCCAGTGCCAGGTACAGATGATGTTAGCTAAACTGATAAATAAATGTGAGATGCCAAGTCAAATGCCAAGCTTATGTGAATTTATAATGAACCGGATTCTTATTAATGCCACCGAATGTGACATTTTGTATAATATTTTTTGTCTGTTTTAGGGACAAAGAATATCTGTAGTGTACTTAGTAACTTAGTAATATAAACTTCTCCTCTTCTCCCCTTGCAGGATACTAGAATAAAGCAATGATGTGCAAAGAAATTGATAAAGAAAAAAAAGCAATGATGTGCAGCTTCCAAAGATCGTAGAGATGCAAAGAATAGAATGGAGCTGTAACAGAGAAACTGGTTTGTTTCCAGGACGAACACAGCACTGAGACAGAAGTTAGTAAGTGGGAGTTTATAGGATGCATTGGCTTTACAAAGGGATGTAAAAGTTAGTGTAAGTAAATAAGGTGGGAGGAAGGGGGTTAATGCATTTATTCCTACGAGTTAAAAATTTATTTTATTTCAGGGAAATCCTCTGATGTAGACGTACTTCTAAGGAAGAGGCATGTACTTGCATTTCATCTGTCTATATTGCTTGCACTTTGTTTCCCACAAACACAGACTCACAGATTCAGGTTGACAGATTCACACACTGATTAACTCACACTAAAGATTCATGCAGACACCCACACTCTCACAAACAAACACACACAAAGACTTAGAGTGACAGATTACACCCTCACCAATTCAGACACACAGATTCAGACTCGCAGATTCACACACACTTACAGATTAATACACTTACAGATTTAAAACTCACAGATTAACACATACTCACAGATTTAGACATATTTTGACTCACAGCTTTATACATATTAACACACTCACAGATTCAGAAACACATTAAAACTCACACAGATTAACACACACACACACATTAACACATATACACAGATTTAGACTCCCAAATAAACACATACTTACAGATTGTTATAGATGTGATATTACTTTCTCCCATTGTTGCCGAGTAGAGCAGGGTGAACTAGAAAAGTGGGCATATTTTGGGCATGGGCTGCTAAACTGGAGCTCCATCTTCCTGACCATATACGTGCTCTGCGACTACACTGGCATCAGAGACTGTCTCAGTTATCAAACCTGCGCCTGGTGGCGGCTCCCTCTGTTTGCCTTGCTACTCCTCTGCCGGGCTCCTAAAATTCTGAGCTCTGTCATATTTCTGCAGACTGACAGACTAAACACACCACAAGTTTGAAATTTTGTAGACAAATTAAATTAATTTGATATATGAAAGTATCAAGGTAGCAAACAACCTTAACTGCCCTTCCCAGCCAGTCTTCATTTCTTTCTTTTGACAGGCAGGCTGACCCACCACAGAGGAGGGCTCCTTACAAGGCTGGTGCAAGGATTTTTGGCTACACAGGCAAATATGCATTTTGCAGCCCCTCCCCTCCTCGTTCCCCCCAAAAACGTATCTTCAGATGTGTATCCCTTAGTTCCACTCTCGAATTTCACCCCCAATTTGTGTGTCGCTTACCTCCCTTCAGCCCCTTTGTGTGTCTTAGTTGCCCCTAGCCCCTTTGTGTGTCTCTTTATTCCTCCAGTCCCTTTGTGTATCTCTTTCTCCCCTCTCAAACCCATCTGTGTGTCTCTTCCTCCAGCACTTTGTCTCTTTTCGCCCCAGCACCTCCATGTCTCTGTGTTCCCCCAACCCCTGTCTGTCTCTTTTGCCTCTTCCCTATCCTCTGCCTCTCCTGTTCCTTACCCAGCCCCTCTGTGTCTCTTTGTGTGTTCCCCAACCCCTCTAGGTGTCTCTCTCTTTCCCCCAAGCCCATGTCTGTCTCTTTTTCCCCTTCCCCATCTGTCTCTTTTGCCCTTCCCAAGCCCCTTTGTGTCTTAAACTCTCCACAGCCCCATTTCTGTGTTTCTTCCCCCCAGCACCATGACTCTTTCTCACACAGCCCCTCTATGTTGCTTTATGTCCCCTCCAGCTCCTCCATGTGTCTCAATTACCCAGCCCCTCCATGTGTCTCAATCCCCTAGCCTCCACCAGGTGTCTCAATCTCCCAGCCTCCCCATTTGTCTGAATCCCTCACCCCCCTTATGTATCTTACTGCCTCACAGTCTCCCTCATGTGTTTCACTGCGCCCAGCACCTCTATGTGTTTCATTGTCCCCCTCATGTGTCTCATTGCCGCATGTATCTCACTGTCACTAGCCCCCCTCATTTGCCTGATTGCCCCCCTAGCCCTCCTCATGTGCCTCATTGCCCCACTCATGTGTCTTACTGCCTCTAGCCACCCTCATGTGTATAATATCCTCCCCTGCCCCCATGTTTCATTCCTACTCTCCATGTGCCAGATCTCCTTGCCCCCTTTTTGCGCAGCGTGGTCAAGTGCTTTTTTCCTTCTCCTTGGTCTGACACGAAGCAATTATGTGCTCTCAGTGAGCGCTTCCTGTCAGACTGCGTAGAGGGAAATAAGCTCCTTTCCCATGCTCGGCCACGATGCACACAGACTGGCAGGGGTGCTTCCCCCCTGCTGGTCACCCGCATCCTTCGCCTTCCGAGCCCAAGCTCCCTGAGGCAGCCGCATGTGCCGCCCTATGGTAGTGCTGGCCTTGGCTCCTTACTGTGCTGTAGACCCAGGGCTACACCCAGAGCAGGCTTAAACGCTTGCTTTATCCATAATCCACAAGGAAAACAGTCTACATTCTGGAGTTAGACAGGGTGGGACTAGATGGAGGCAGCAGTTGACTCAGAATATATTTCTTCCTGCTGCACATGGGAGCTTGCCTGGTAGTAATAAAGAAACCTGGGTGTGCTCTCACCTCAGCTCACCTATGCTGGAGTGCTCACTACACTACCTCCTCTTATGGGTGGCCAAGAGTTGACCCCTTAACTCTGGTAGGCCTCAGTGCCATTGCACCTGCCATATTATATAACACAAGACATCCATGCACATACCTAAAAGAGATTATACTGGACTATGCTAAATCTGCTTGACTCCTCATGCTTAGTTCCGGACACACAATGCTTACCTTTGTAATTTAGGATGTCTTCTGTATAGGCCAACATGCTGGGAAAGACGCTACTGAGAAAGAGTCCAAGAAAAGCTGTCCCTGTAAAAAGACCGGCCACACTGTTCTGTGACAACATGAGAAACAGGAATGCCACTACCACGCCAGTCTGATGAGAAAGAGAAGGTATGTGTGTAATTATAACATTATACTTGAATAATTTAGATCCGGAAGATTTTACTTATTTTTGGAAAGTGAGATCATGTAGAGCTGCAGAACATTCCTTGCTGGGATCAGATGCTTAATGGGGCACTTTACACTCCATTGTAGAGGCTGTGGAGTAAAGCACCACTGAGGATAACCTGTCTCAACAAAAACTAAGCTATGCATGTAAACCAGTTACCAATCATGCTGACAAATTGCTTTATGGGGAAAGTGTTTATACACTTATACTGGGCAATATAAATCTCAGGAATGCACTTTTACACTAGTGGTCTTCTTCATTCTGCCCCACCACACATTCCAACCACTTAAGCGGGATAAAAGATATTATTCAGACTTTTACCTTGCATGTGTAGCCCCTTTTGTTTCACAAATACTTTCCACAATATCAGAGGCACCCAAGAATGGACAGATCATGCTGAATTATTCAAGCAGTGAGGAGACAGGCTTTAGGTGCCATGGAAAAACATTTTGAAAATAGTGTGACACAAACCAAAAAAATGGGGGCTAGATTGATGTGACATTATGGAAAGTACCTATCCCTATATGGCTTTGACCACTTTTGGATGAACATGTGATAACCAATTCCACAAATCTAAAAATTGCTTCTCCTCTCATTTACCTGGAAGACTCAGTGTCTCCCACAATAAAGTACTTGTATGAGCGAACAATATTAGTCAACAAAAATCAGTAAGATATTCTGTGTATAAATAACATATTTATTGTATTATAAAGGGCTATGGAAAGAAAATAACAGCTAATCTGCAAATAACAAAAACAGAAAGTATGAGAATATGAGAACTCTGAGAACGGACAAAAGCTTAGAGAAAATCAATAGCCTTCCCTTCGGTAATGCCGCTGATGAGGCCCAAGGAAGGCCGAAAAGACCGTCTGGTGTTGCTGTATCTCTTGTGCAGAGAGAACTTGCTGGCATTTTGGTTCTGGACTTTACTTATGCGTGGCATCAGTCTGATATGCCTTGGAACTGATTCTCTTTGTACTGGCAAAATTAAGCAAAAACTATTTTGAGACCGGAGCGGGGATTTACTGAATGGCAAGGTACTGAGTTTCTCTAAGCTTTTGTCCTTTCTCAGAGTTCTCATATTCTCTGTTTTTGCTCCAATGCATTAACTTGGCTCTCCACAATTTAAAAGATTAATCCAGAGGTGGACCCCATGCTCATGGTGCCTAGAGGGGTATCAGCTACACTTCGCTGATGAAGCTCAAAGAAGGCTAAAACTATTGTCTGGGGTTACTGTATCTCTTGTGCAGAGAGAACTTGCCAGCATTTCAGTTCTGGACTGCTCTTATGGGTGGGATCAGTCTGATATGCTTCAGAATATTTCCTTTTTGTAATGGGACAAGTGAACACAAACTATTTTGAGACCTGTGCAGGGATTTACCAAAGGGCAAGCTACTGAGTTTCTCAAAGCTTTTGTCCATTTTCATACTCTCTTTTTTCATCTGCAAATAATATCATTATGGTGTTAATAGAATATTGTCAAAAATACCAGATCAGATATCACATTCCAGTTTTACAGAAAGTCTATATCCAGGAAAGTGTCAGGTGCATTTGGATTTCACCACACTGGTTAGAAGTGCATGTGACTTCCTTATGTAACTTCTGTCATTGTCATTGGTGTAAGGTAAATATTTTTATGTCTGCAAATCTATATAAATCTTTTAATTTTTTTCGTCAGGTTAAAATGATCTTATACATGAAAGCAATCATCTAATACACTAAGGGGGAAACAAGTATTTGATCCCCTGCTGTATTTGAACGTTTGTCCACTGACAAAGAAATGCTCAGTCTATAATTTTAATGGTAGGTGTATTTTAACAGTGAGACAGAATAACACAAAGAAAATCCAGACAAATTTTTTTTTCATATTTATTTTTTTATTAGTTTCCCATATAAACAAAGAGAAACACATCACACAATTTTGACATTACTACACATAGTTAATACATCCTTCAAGCATATTCTAGAAGGCGTGTCATAACATAACGTACAGGAGATATATCACACCAATAACAAACCCCACACTCCTAAAATTATACGCTCTAAAAAAAAAAAAAAATACAAAAGCACTTATATTGCGACATACAAAGACAAGACAAAACCAGACATGATGGCCAAAATTATATTCCAAATGTCATACTCCAAATGGGGAGTCCTGGAGATAATACATAACTCTAAAAGTATACCTATCGTTCAGATCGAGAAAGAGCAAAGGGGGAAAAAGAATTACCGCTACCCATCCATACTCATCTATTACAAAATCTCTATTGAGCTTAACCATGAGGACATCTGGAGCCTTAATCATACCTCTTTCCATTCTTAATTGGAATTTAAGCTGTTCTCATGAAGGACCCAAATTGGAGTAATATACAATATCTAGCTATCATAATTTTTGCAGCTGGTAATAAATGAGTAACCAAAGGAGTATGATTCCCAAAAGTAAGCTTGACATTAAGCTGCAAGAGAAATAGGTCAGGACCAAAAAAAAGAATTCCCAGTAGGTGTTTGAATTTTTCCCCTAATCATGTTCCAAAACAACTGAATAGGCGGACAGTCCCACCAGACATGTAGAAAATAACCCGTTTGGGTTAATAATTTGGGTTAATAATTTGAGTATTTAAGGCTTTATCTCACTTGTTAAGAATGGGCTTCATAGGTATGTCTGAAACCTTACTGACCAGTTGCAAACAACCAGCAACTATCCAAGTTGGGTTGCTTTTCTCAATAGCCTCTCCAAAAAAATTATTATTTATTTGATTTTCCATCTACCAGGTGCCTACTCAAGAAGCCATTTATACTTAGATAATTTAACACTTCTTTATTGTCTAACTTATTTTCAGCACACAACAGGTGGGAATCCCTCAAGTTATTCTCATTTATTAAATCGCTTATTCTCAAGAGGCTAGATTTAGTCCAAATTTTTAGATTCAAATCCTCAATATTATAAGATAAATGGGTTAAAGGAAGACAGATAATTATTTTGTTGTGAATTGATAGATATGTTTTACATTTCTCCCAGTGCCTCATTATGTTGTCTAAAATCATACTTCCAGATTTCACTAAAGGAAGGTTTTTCTGCTTATTCTTTAATTGCCAAAATAAAGCACTCAGGTCCAAATTGTGCTGCTCTGTATGGGTCAGGGACTGTTCCATTATATACCAAATTTGTTCTTTGGACTTTTCTCCTTGGGTAATAAAGGCATGTGCCAAATTACATGTTTTTTGATATTCTCTTAAAAGAGGTACCCCTAAACCTCCCAATTTGACCTTTAGCGCTAAACGGTTAGCATTATTTCGTGGGCATTTCCCTGCCCATATAAATTTATTTATTTGGGACTGTAAAAGGGTCATCCAACTGTTTGGGCAGGCCAAGGGAACCGTACGAAACAGATAGATCAATTTGGGGAGGAGATAAGATCTCACTGTATTTATTCTTCCTCACCATGAAATCTCAATATTTCTCCATTCCTTCATTTTCCTACATGTTTCTTTTAACAATTGTAAGAAGTTAAGTTCCATTATTTTAGAGTGGTCACAGGCAATTTCCACCCCCAGGCAGCTAAAAAATTCCCTGGCACCGAAATCATAAACCCGTATTAAGCCTTCAACAACATCCCGAGGCAGATTAAGTGGCAATATAACCGATTTATCAAAGTTTAATTTATAACCGGAAAGAGTAGAGAATTCCTCCATCTAAGGTGTCAATTTCCTCATAGAATTCATTGGGTCAGTAAGTGTAAGTAACACGTCATCTGCATACATAATCAACTTAATGCAGTCATCTATAGCTTGCAACCCCTTTAATTTGATTGTTAGCTTTTATTGCTACTACCAGAGGTTCAATGGCAATTAAATATAAAAGTGGTGAAAGCGGGCATCCCTGTCTGGTCCCATTTTTTAATTAGAACAACTCAGAGGAAAACCCGCCACCAACCACTTTTGCTGTTGGAGAAGTATATAAAGCCATCATAGATACTTTAATATCTCCATTTATACCAAACGCTTCTAGAGCTACGTCTAAGAAATCCCACCTGACCCTGTTGAAGGCCTTCTTGGCATCTAACAATAGGGCCAGGAGGGGCAAGTTATTTTTATGCGCCAGATCCACAATATCCACTAAACTCCTTATGTTATACATTGGAAACCGACTTGACACGAATCCAGTTTGATCCTCATGTAGCATTGTAGGTATAATATCACTCAATCTTCAGCAATTATTGCTGAATATAGTTTAATATCAGTATTTAATAATGAAATGGGCCTATAATTTGCTAGATGTTCTGGGTTCTTATTTTGCTTAGGGATATGTACTATATATGCATTCAACATTTGATGTGGAATAATACCTGTTAACCTAATGTGATTAAAAATATCAAGCAGAGCTCCAATTATGTTCTCCTTCAATAGTCTAAAAAAGCCATTACTAAAGCCACCCGGTCCCGGAGATTTGTTTGCTTTAAGTTTTTTAATGGAGATATTAACCTCAATCTGGGAGATAGGCTTATTCAATTGGTCTTTAGAGACCTTAGTTAGGAACCTTATGTTTGGTAAAAAATTGTGACATATCTATGGGATGGTCCCGCTCTGGTAAATTATATAAGTTAGAGTAAAACTCCTGAAATGCCCGACCTATTTCTGATTTAGCAAGTATGGTTTTATTTCCTTGCATTATTTTAGAAATTACTTTCTTAGATTTTTCGTTCTTTAATCTACTAAGTAATTTGTCTGCCTTGTCCCCTTTGTAATACCATGTCCGTTTTAAATTCTCTAGGCAGAAATTAGCTTTTTAATCAGCCTGTAGTTAATTTTTTCTTTAACAATCTTAAGTTTATCAGAGATTTGAGTTAACGGGGCAGCTTTATTCATTTTCTCTAATTGATCCAACTCTATATACAATTCGGCTAGGTTCATCAAGTTTCTATTTCCCCCCTGATAACATAATTTAATTAAGTATCCTCTAACTGTACATTTGTAAGCACACCACATCATGGGAGAGGAAATATCATTACTAGCATTCTCTTTAAAGAATAGATCGGTAGCGTCTTTAATCAGACTTAGGTTTGTCGTATTGCGTAAAAGTCGTTCATTCAATCGCCAATTGGATCTAGCTTTGGTAAACTCCTCTTTGATTTGCTTTATAAGCACATTATGGTCTGACCATGGGATATTGATAATAAAAGATTTTCTTTACTCTTTTCGCTATATCTGCTTCGGCTAAAAAATAGTCTAATCTTGAATATACTTGATGAACACCGGAAAAGCAAGTATAATCCCTTTCTTGTGGATGCCATATCCGCCATAGATCATACATACTGCTCCTCCTCAAGATATCACAAAAGGCCCTAGATGAAACCCTAGTGTAATTTTCAGTTCCTATGCCTTTCAAGCTAATCCTGTCTAGTACCGGATCTAGAATACAATTAAAATCTCCTAAGCAAATAATCCTCCCTTGTCTAATTCTTTCTACCTTAGAAAATAGCTGTCTAATAAACCTATTAGGAGAGTGGTTGGCAGCATAGATATTGGCAATGGTATATATCTGGTTATTAAGTTCACATGTAAGTATTTGATACCTGCCTTCCTTATCTATTTCTTGATGGATCAATTTAAATACAATCTTAGCTGAAATAAGAGTAGCAACTCCTCTTTTTTTTATTTGACATAGAGGAGGTAAAGACATGGGGGAAATCCTTATATTTAAACCATTGTTTATCACCAGAACGCCAATGAGTTTCTTGAACTCCACATATGTGTATAGACTCCTTTTTCAATTTTTTTTAAATAAAATTACTCTCTTTTGAGGAGAGTTTAATCCCCTGACATTTAAAGTAGCGAATTTTATCATCAGATTAGGAAAACTACTCTACTCAATCTCCAAAGACTCCCCCTATGTCCTTGTCGGCCATAACATAAAACATTTGACAACCTACAACGCGCACACACACATAAAACATAAATAAACCCCAATCCCAATCCCAAAAATAGGAGAAACCCCCATTTAGGAGATGCATCATCATGTCTTGGAGTAACAGATGTGCACCTAATAATAATCGCCTCAGCGATTAGATTGCAAGTCGCAAACGAAAGTAAATGGAGGGGAGAAAGGAGGGAAAAAAAACAAAAAAACCTATAAGGTAGAATGCAAACATGTGAAAGCATACAAACGACCACGTTCTAAAATCTAAAAATGACTTGCCTAAATAGATGCTCTACATTTTTTGTACTTAAAGTGCATATCTTTAACAACTTTTATAAAATACCTTCAGTTACCTCAATCTTCTTTATGTTTAGTGCTCTTAAATAGAAATCACCTATTATTGTATTCAAGAGTTAGTAGAGTGTCTATTTATATAGAGAAAGTCCAGATTAAACCTAGGGTAGTAAAATGAGATTATTTAGTACACTTAAATACCATATGTACAAAAGCACACATCAAAACCCCCAGTGCCCTCATTGAAATGAGCCCCCTTAATAGGTGCTTTGCATCAAAATAGCTTTAAATGCAATTCTTTAACCTCCATTACAGAATAGCTTTTAGTGCTTGAATCTTCCAAATATTTAATAGACCTGAATAACCATCAAGTAATATAATATTTAGGAGATACGCTTATATCTATATATTTCAGTAAACTAATTTTATGTGAGCTTAATGGCCTTTAGCCTTAAAAAAGGTGATATTCTATGTATCTATCTGCTCCTTACAAGTAAATTCCCTTTATACTTGTGCAGCATATTTTAAGCAATGCCACACAGTGTAATTTAGTGCAGATCTTTAACCTCCTATATACAATGCCTTTAGTGCCTAATTCTACTGTGTGGTTATTATATTAAATACCAATACAATAATTTGACCTCTGTCTTGAGTGATTGTAGGCACACGATAACTTCTCTTGGAACATGGTCCAGGAGACCACCCGCTTTAGAGATCCTATGTGCTCTCTCAATAAGATATGGATTATTATCAACTTTTAGGACCAGAAACTGAAAGAATTCCAACAGGTATAACTCTAGATGCTTTTGCGTTATGCTCTCCGGTACAACTCTGATTCTAATGTTCTTCCTCCTAGACCAGTCCTCCATATCTGCAATTTTTCATTCTAGATTTTACATTTTCCTCTGAACTGTCGTAAATTTTTCTTGTTGTAAGCTATAGTGTAGTATAGTGTGTTCCATTTTTTCTTCAAGAATGTTGAATCTGTTTATCACTTTAGCCAGTTCTCCTTTAAAATCCTCTGATATAATCTGAATTTCCTGCTTAATCTTACCAAACTGTGTTTCCAGGCATGCATTAAGAAAGTCTTTCTCAATATATTGTACTTCTTTAATTGAGGTATCCAATGATTTTCCATCACCCTCTTTTTCTATATATAATTTACTATGATCTTCCTCACCAGATCTAAGTACTTCATCCTGACTGGTTCTTCTCTCTATTTTATCTTGTGAGAAAAAATTTGAGAGGCATTTTTCATTTTTTTGTTCTGTCTTCCTTTCCTTATCTTTTTTACCTCCTTGCTTGGAGTCATATTTTTTTGTAGCCATGTGGATGCAGAGTGTAAAAAAGCTTTGTCCAAAGGAATAGGAAGCGCCACGAATTAGCAGATTCAGAGGGTGACCAGGAGTAGATTGTCTACTCTCCTTTCCCATTTTCCTTCCCTTCTGCTGTCTTTTTCTCTTTTCTTTTAATTTGTATCAGAGGGAAAATTAAAGAGCTAGTAGGATTCTTGTGTTCCAGGAATTATTGAAAAAGGAATTTCCTGCCAACTTCTTAGAATTTAACATAAGAGATTATCTTTCTTTAGGATGTCTTAACACAAAACTTAGTTTTCCATATTAATTTGTGTGACTTTAAATTCGGAGACTTGCAGGTGAGTGGTACAGTGAGTATCCCGTTTATGGAAACCCCTGAGACAAGTTTCAAGCAAACACAATGCAAGCATGTTATTAAATTTGCCTGCACTGTGCAGAACAAATTTAGGGCCTTTTTCTCATGCTAGAGCTCTTCAGCAGAGCTCTGTGCATGGTCTTCCCTGGAAGAGCATTGAACCAACATGCTCACTTTGAGATGGGGCATGCTTGTCATTGGGGATGACAAAACACACCTGTGGAGAAAGGGTTCTTGGAGGGGCCTGCTGGCCAGCCTCTTGCCTCACGACTATGGGCCCTGCAATATACCTTGCCCAATGCACTTGAAAAGCTCTGTTCATGTGAGGTATGTACTTTTGTACTCCAGACAGAGAGACCGACCATTTGCCCTGATTCCCTTTAACTGTTTTGGGCACAGGACCATGTGCATGGTCGGTCAAAAATAAGACTTCCAGGAAATTCCTGAACCCCTGAACTGATCTGGGTGATTTTTGGATATGTTGGTCACCCAGATCAGGGCTATCAGGGGATGTAACTTTTGTGGGGATTTTGTGTGCTTTAATGTACTTTTGGGGTGTTTGTAAAAATTGGTGTTTTTTCTGTGCTTGGAGATAATTGGATTAGATTAGTACAGTTCCTGATCTAATTATCTCCCAGGCAGAGGGGAGGGATTGTGTGTTTTTATACGGGAGTGTCATGCATTTAATCACTGTTCTTATTGGTCTGTGTCTTTGTGTTGGAGTCCCCAACAAGGTCCATGTGGGCGTACCCCTTGCATGGGGATTGTTATAAAAGGTGTGGCACCATTAAAATTGAGTTCCTGCTTACCCTCACCATAGAGTCTCATCTCATGTGTGGGGGAAACGGCTGTATCTACCCTGGGGATTGCTATGTCACTATACTCGCCTGGGATTATAATCACTAGCTCTTTTAAGAGCTGTTCTTGCTGCTCTCTCTGGAGTAGGAGAGGTTCACCCACTGGAAGCTGGATCCTGGTCTTGGGTGGGTGGAGGACGGCGAGTTCCCAGCCAAGCTGTAACGCTGGACATGGGGACTATAGTGCTGATGGTGTCGGGCGGAGTCCTCTGTGAGCACCAGGAGCATTGATTGGCGGAGGCACCCGGTCCGGGTACCAGGCGGTCCGTCACAACACCCTGTCTGGCCCCGCCCCATTTTCAGTGGGTCACTGTGGTTACAAAAACGCCTGGGCCGAATTTATTTCCCAGTCCGGCCCTAGCACTAACTGTTGTCACCTTCTCACCAAGCTACTTGACGATGGTCTTGTAGCCCATTCCAGCCTTGTGTAGGTCTAAAATCTTGTCCCTGAAAACCATGGATAGCTCTTTGGTCTTGGCCATGGTGGAGAGTTTGGAATCTGATTGATTGCTTCTGCAGACAGGTGTCTTTTACACAGGTAACGAGCTGAGATTAGGAGCACTCCCTTTAAGAGAGTGCTCCTAATCTCGGCTCGTAACCTGTATAAAAGACACGTGGGAGCCAGAAATCTTGCTGATTGATAGAGGATCAAATACTTATTTCACTCATTGACATGCAAATCAATTTATAACTTTTTTGACATGCGTTTGTCTGGATTTTTTTTTTTATTCTGTCTCTCACTGTTAAAATACACCTACCATTACAATTATAGACTGATCATTTCTTTGTCAGTGGACAAACATTAAAACTCAGCAGGGGATCAAATAGTTTTTCCCTCACTGTACCAGATAAAGCTTTGTTATGACCACTGCAGTATACAACAGGTTACCATTTCTTTAAAAAATAAATTTAATAGATGTTTTCCAAGCATGAAAAAAAATTATAAAGCATAAAGTAGAAGCTAGGTACACAGTAAATAGTAACGTAACAGTAAAATGGAGTTGAAGGTCACCAAAAATGCTTAAAATGCTAAGATCCACCACTTTTTTTTTCTTTTCTGGTTCATTGGGAATTATAAAGCAATGCATGGTACATGAATAAATGTAATCCTAAAATGATACCACATTTAAAATGTCATATCATAAAGAGGTACAACTATATATCTATATCGTAATATGTGTATTTTATTGTATTTAAAAAAGAGCAAAGAAAAAAAATATTAATATAAAGGGATCATTATATCAAACAATAGCGAGAATAATTATCAGTGCTTTCTGATCAGTTGCTTGGCTTGTACAGAAGAATGAACATTTGGGCTCAAATTATTTTTTATCACTGTATTATATAACAGTAATTTCATCAATGCACTGTTATTGTCTTACCAGGTTGATGAAGAGCATGGATCGAGGGGCCAATTTGTAGGACACTGGGATGGAAATCAATCTTCCAAATGTAATAAAAGCCCAGAAGAGACTTGGTAGGTACCCTGCTGTCTTGTGCGCTAGGTACAGTGGCTGTTCTACCGCGTAGCTATACACAAATCCTGAGTATTCCCCCTGAGGAAGAGATATGTATTACACCGTGCAAATAAACAAGTTTGACACTGCTACATATATTACAGACAGGGCTACCATCAAGCTGTACAGGAAGTCCAGCTCAGTGGCCACCACGGGGCCCTGTAGGGCTTGTTAGTCCGGATGGGGAGATATATATTTCTGTGAACCGGACGGCATTGGCCAGTAGCATTACACTTGTCCCTTTATTAAATAGAGGCTGCACAGCTTTCTCACAGGTGGCCGTGCTTAAGGATGTGATATCATAGATGTCACTTCCACCTAGCCAGTGTTATCATGGAGCTGCTCTAATTTGCAGCTGAGGATCAGGTGTGAGGTTGTGTTTAGAGGGGGCAGGGATGTGGCATTTTATATCGCTGCTCTCCGTCTCTAACACTACTCTGCCACGCAAGTCAGAATATATGGCCTCTAAGGTAGGACTGCCAAGGGGGAGTAAATGGTAGGGGCATATTTAGGTCTAGTTTGTGTGGAGGGAAGAGGTAAAGGATCTGTATTTGTGAGTTTCTGACTGTGTGTCTCTGGCTGTAGCGTTAGAGAGAGAGGAGCTGGAAAGTTAAGATGGAGTGTGCTGGGCCCCCCACTGCTATATACAATGGTCGGCTCTCTGCAGCATACCACCAGACCAACAGGGAATGCAATCTCCCACCTCTCTGGCCACAGGTAAGAATCAGGGAGGGAAGAAAAAATTAAATGTGCACAAATAAATGTAAAAACAAATATTTCCCCCTTTATTTTACACACTCTACCTTACACGAACACACACTGCATTCACTACACACACACTACATTCACTATGCACACTCTGTAGTCACTATGCACACACTACATTCACTATACTCACTAAATCCACTACACAAACACACACTCTGTATTCACTATACACACACTATCCACTACACAAACACACACTCTGTATTAAATATACACACTCTACATCCACTATACAAACACACACACTGCAGTCACTAAACACACTCAACATCCACTACACAAACACACACTCTGTATTAAATATACACACTCTACATCCACTATACAAACACACACACTGCAGTCACTAAACACACTCAACATCCACTACACAAACACACACTCTGCATTCACTATACAAACTCTGCAGTCACTAATCTCACACTACATCCACTAAACAAACACACACTCTACAGTCACTATACACACACTACATCCACTAAACAAACATACAAGCTGCAGTCACTATACACACACTACAGCTACTACACATACACACAAGCTGCAGTCACTATACACACACTACACCTACTACACAAACACATATGCGCCGTGGGCGGACTTGGGAACAGACCCCAGGGGCCCAGACCTTGAGCTGTGTTAGGCAGCTGATTGGCAGCCCTGCTCACCAAGGTTACATTTTCAACAATGGCTATAGATAGGTGGACATTTTGAGACTTAATACAGTAGAATAAGCTGTAGTAGTTGATGCCTGGGGTATATTGCTAAATGAGGGGTGCATCTGTTTTCTGAATGTGAAAGCAGACATATAGTATATAATGATAGTGTATACTCTGACACTAGCATTGTAACAGTTGAGCACAGCACAGCTTTCTCTCTCAGGTAGTGCTATCTTTATGGTTTGTATTAAATTTGGATCTCTCCTGCTTGTTACTGTCTGGAATTGCATAATCGTATTTCTTATTTTTATTGTGTTTGACCTAGACACAACACAAACCCATCCCAACACATCTGACAATATTAGCAGAACCAGCATGGCATACCACAATCCCGTCGCTCATAAACAGCACGAAAGCTCCACAAGCATGAATGGCAAAAAATGAGTAGGGAGCATTCCAAAACTTCTTACTCTGACAACACAGCGTGTTCACCCCATGGTCTGGAGAAAAGAAGGAGGTTTTAAAGGAGGTTGTATAATTCAGAGGTTCATCATCTCAACTATGATTCACAACAATACTTTACTTTTAAATCCACTCATCCTATAGGGACACATAAAGCTCTTCAACTTGATGAACTCCTTTATGTATTAGGAGCATCTCCTCTTATTTGCAGAGAATAAAGCTGATGCTTTTGATCTGAAATTGGCAATATCTGAAACAACTCCAAGGCTGTCAATCAGATAGCTTGGGAGGTCTTCTTCCTGATTCCGCTAGCACCACAGAAGCTGAGAAGACCTACCTTACTGAGAACACAAAAAATGCTATATTCGACTCAGGACTGAGACAAAGCTCAGAAAGTCATGTCGAAATTTTGCTATTACATGTAATGACATTGTGGGTTATCTTACAAAGGCTTTGCTTTAACATATTTAAAAAAGAAAAAAAGAAAAATATACATTTGGGAATTTGAAGCACTTCAGATCTTTCAGTTATGAAATGTAAAGCTCAGAAGACAACTCCCAGCAATTACACTGCTAGATCTAGTTTGAGTATGTGAGTAAACCATGTACGTTTAACATACTTTTTTCATTCTAAAAGATTAACATATTTACAGAATCGTTGGGAGGTTAAAACATTTTAGAGACTTTATGGTTATAACACTATTTCATGTACAGATGCAGCCTGTGCCCAGAATTCAGCCGTCAATTATGACCTATAAAAGTTGCTGAAGAGTTTGGGAGCAGGAAGAGGACTGCCATTCATAGTCCCTCTGCAGTGATGTAGAGGGACAGAACTGAGCCTTAGCTGAGAGACCCTTTTCTTTAATGTGAAAAAACTGCTAGAGCAAAGCATAAATTAATTTGGAGGTAGAACTTACCCTTTTCTTCACATGGCTCCACCACTGCCTCCTCCACTCCAGTATTACTTCCCTCATTCTCTTTCTGAGTTTCCATTGCCAGCTCATCTGCAGACAGCAAGGTCCCACTCTGGTTAGAACAGCCTGGCACCATGCTATTCTTATACATGAGAAGGAAAACAGCTATAGGCACTGGGAGCTAAAGGAATAGTAACACATGGAAAATCAATTACCGGTAATACATGTTATTATATAAGTATATTCCCAATACCAGAAGAGGAACTCTTAGCTCACATTGATGGCAGCCATGATCCAGAAGGCATAGGATACTTGTGTAATTGTTGGCCCCTGAAGAGGAAGTTCATAGTGGGAAACGTTGCCAGGATTATGAGGAACTAGAGAATTCCTTATGTGTTCCAAGTTACGGCTCCCATTCTGAGTGTTGTTCGATTGGATGCAGTTGGTATCAGAGAGAAATGGGTCTGCTATTAGAGGACTGAGTAGCGCCCCAAAACCCATGAAGAAATGAAGAACCTTAGGGGGAAAAAAGAGAAATATGCTCATTACCTAATGAACCCACTAATAACTGTACAACGTCAGTCACTGATAATCTGGAAGATACTATGCAATGTTATTCATTAATATTATGGTAAACTTCCATCGATCCTATTCCCTCATATTTCATGTGCACTTTGTCTCCTTCTTTTGCTCTGCCTCTCACTAAAATTTTCAATCTCTCCTTCTCCTCTGGAACATTTCATCTACCCTTCAAACATGCAACAGTTACCCCGAATCTAAAAAAGCCCAACCTTGACCCTAAGTCTCTATCCAACTACCGTCCTACCTCACCACTGCCATTTGCCTCTAAGATCCTTGAGAGAGTTGTGTATGCGAGATTGACTCGAATCCAACTCTCTGCTTGATCCGCTTCAATCTGGATTCCGTGCTCATCACTCTGTTGAAACAGCTGTGACCAAAGTATCCAATGATCTTATCACTGCAAAATCAGATGGCCACTAGTCTATCCTTAATCTCCTCGACCTTTCTGATGCTTTTGAACACTGTTGATCATCAATAGCTTCTTCTCATCCTCCGTAATTTCGGTCTATGAAATACCGCTCTCTCCTGGTGCTATCTTTACCTCTACCAACTGTCATGTGTTCATCCGCATATAAAAATGTGATTAAAGGGACACTATAGTCACCTAAACAACTTTAGCTTAATGAAGCAGTTTTGGTGTATAGAACATGCCCCTGCAGCCTCACTGCTCAATCCTCTGCCATTTAGGAGTTAAATCCCTTTGTTTATGAACCCTAGTCACACCTCCTGCATGTGACTTGCACAGCCTTCCATAAACACTTCCTGTAAAGAGAGCCCTATTTAGGCTTTCTTTATTGCAAGTTCTGTTTAATTAAGATTTTCTTATCCCCTGCTATGTTAATAGCTTGCTAGACCCTGCAAGAGCCTCCTGTATGTGATTAAAGTTCGATTTAGAGATTGAGATACAATTATTTAAGGTAAATTACATCTGTTTGAAAGTGAAACCAGTTTTTTTCATGCAGGCTCTGTCAATCATAGCCAGGGGAGGTGTGGCTAGGGCTGCATAAACAGAAACAAAGTGATTTAACTCCTAAATGACAGTGAATTGAGCAGTGAAATTGCAAGGGAATGATCTATACACTAAAACTTTATTTAGCTAAAGTAATTTAGGTGACTATAGTGTTCCTTTAATGACATTTACTGTTCTGACAGGAAAAGTTGTGCCGAGCAACATTACTGTTCTAAAAGGAAAAGTTGTGCCGAGCAGCAATCAAATCCACAGGAGGGTTTGTGCTGAGCAGCAATTATGCAAATCTATCTGTCCTCCCTTGATTTCTCACCACCCCTCTTGACTTGTGTCTCTGATTGCCTCTCTGCTATTTCCAACTGGATGGCTGCTCAAACTTAACCTGTCCAAAACAGAACTTCTGTTCTTTCCTCCCTCAAGTGTTGCTACCCCCTTCTCTGTGGCGCTACTATCCACTCTACCTCGCAGGCTCACTGCCTAGGTGTTATCTTTGACTCCAACCTCTCCTTCATCCCTCATGTCCAATCATTTGCCAAATCCTGTCGCTTCTATCTCAAAAACATAGTGCGCATCTGACCCTATCTAACGCCTGATACAGCTAAGGTGCTTGTCCATGCTGCTGTTCTCTCTCGCCTTGACTACTGTAATCTGCTTCTAAGTGGTATTACGTGTTCCCAACTTGCCAGTTACAGTCTATAATGAATGCGGCGGCGAGGCTCATCTTCCTGTTCGCCCACACCTTCCACGCCTCCCCCCTCTGTAAATTCCTACATTGACTTCCTGTAAGATATAGGACTCAATTTAAGATCCTGATACTTGCTTACAAATCTCTACACAATGCTGCTCCGAACTATTTATCATGACTAATACACAAATATGCGTCTAAACTCTGTTCGTACTCCTACCTCTGATGCTCACCTTAAAGGACCACTATAGTGCCAGGAAAACATACTCGTTTTCCTGGCACTATAGTGCCCCCACCCTCAGGGTCCCCCACCCGCCGGGCTGGATGGAGAGGAAGGGGTTAAACTTACCTCTTTTTCCAGCGCCGGGCGGGGAGCTCTCCTCCTCCTCTCCTCCCTCTTCTTCTCCCTCTTCTCCTCCTCTTCGGCTGAATGCGCATGCGCGGAAGGAGCCGCGCGTGCATTCAGCCAGTCCATAGGAAAGCATTCACAATGCTTTCCTATGGACGCTGACGTCTTCTCACTGTGATTTTCACACTGAGAAACGCGGAAGCCCTCTAGTGGCTGTCAATGAGCCACTAGAGGCTGGATTAACCCTAACATAAACATAGCAGTTTCTGTGAAACTGCTATGTTTATAGAAAAAAGGGTTAACCCTAGATGGACCAGGCACCCAGACCACCTCATTAAGCTGAAGTGGTCTGGGTGCCTATAGTGATCCTTTAAATACTTCTCTAGGGCTGCACCATTACTATGGAACGCCCTTCCCCTCTCTGTTAAACTTTCACTCAGTCTCCACAAAAAATCTGTTAAAACTTACTTCTTTAGGAAAGCATTTAAATTAAACTGTGAACAGCTTTCTCTCCCCGCACCCTGATTCCTTTCCTGCAACTGTCATTAAAACAACATTAAGCCCTCAATGAATGCTATTCTAGCAACGTACTTGTCTACCATACCCTAGGCTTTTGTGTCACATTACCCCACTCCCTCTCACACGTAAGCTCATTGAGCAGGGCCCTTAATCCCTCTGTTCCTGTGTGTTCAACTCATCTGGTTACAAATACGTGTCTGTTAGTCCACCCATTGTACAGGGCTGCGTAAATTGTTGGCGCTTAATAAAAATTTATAATAATAAAATAAATGATTTTTCCTTCTGAAGTTATCTGTCATACACTATATTAATGAGGACACTTCATACAAAAACATATAACAATTTGTCAACAACAGAACTGAATTATTTTGGCTTTCAGTTTAGAGCATTTTATTGTCATTTTGTCTTCTGTATACTTCTGTTACACTTTGCTTGTGCTGAAGGTTTTTTTTTTCCCCAAATGTTTTTTGATTATCATTTAGAAACAAAGTCATGTTGTTATTATTATTGCTCTCCTTCCTTTCTAAGAAGTGAATTGACGCTCACTACACTAACAGCCATCTGGCCATCTGATTTGATCTGATATGATTAGCTATGACAGTTTATCAATATTTGTAGCATGTTTCCAATACTTGAATTCCATTTAGAGTAATACCTCATTTTAGGGTGATTTAATGCTAATTTATGAATAAATAATTATTATATTTATATATAGAAATAGAGAAAATATTTGTGCTTGCCTCTTACTTCAATTTATATTACATAGTTGAAAAGAGACTTGTGTCCATCAAGATCAGCCTCCCCCCCTCCCTTTTTTTTGCTGTTGATCCAAAAGAAGGCAAAAAACCCAGTCTGAAGTGCTTCCAATTTTGCAACAAACCAGGAAAAAAATTCCTTCTTGACCCCAAAATAGCAGTCCGATATCTCCTTGGATCAAGCAGCATATATGATTATGCCTGAGTGATATTAGATAGCCTTCTTTTCTTTTTATTTGGATTAATGTAGATTATATAGTAAGATTCTAAGCAGCACTCTTAAAACATGATTTAAAACCAGTTTAAATTAACTTCACAATCCATATTCTCCAGGTGTGTGAACTGATTGATCAATGATCAATCTCATTCTTTTTCTGCTTTAATAAGATGAAAATATGCCCTTCCAAAGTTAAACATAAGTCACGAATACGGAGAATACCTGATAACGTCATAGAAAACAGGTTTTATATTCTTTGAATATAACTTCTACCCCTTCACAAATTGAACTAATCTTACCTGAAGGAATACAGCCGAGTCTTGCTGGTAAATTTTTACCAGCTGCATATTGGAGATTGTGTCAATGCAACCCATGGCAAGACCAGCTATTGCCATAACCATTGCTAGGACTCCAACATGACCGCAAAATGGAATGATGGCAAACACCAAGGAGATGACCAAAGAAGAAATGAAGAGTACGAACAAACACAGCTTCAATCTGTGGGTATCAATAATGAAAATAAATGTTACCTCTAACGTCGGCATAGACAAACCCAAGACATTCCATCATTCTTATCGTCTAAAAACTGTACCAGAAGATTTACTAAGTAAAAGATACTGTTAAAAAATATACATAAGCTAGTGCTGACAGCAAGCTTACAGTTTCGAAAGGAATGGAAAATATAATAATGTTACAGATAAATATGATTAGCAGGCTACTGTCTATTAGACTACTACCACAGTAGACAAGAACTCAGGTGAAATGGATACATCTTGCTCATTTACCTTCTCACCATTATTATATTACATTTTATGTCTCTTGTTCTGTCTACATTATTATGCAGGATTTTTACGTATCTGCTTTGTCCCAATTACATACCTACCAAATGTCCCTATTTCCCCAAATTCCCATGTTCTTCTTTTCTATCCCAATGTCCCTCTTTTCTAGGAGCTTAATGTTGTTGGTGTGTCCAAGTGTACTACAGAGCTCCATAGAATAATACTCACAGTATTTTGTCTTTAAACTACGTTAAATGTGTTTAGAGATCCTTGGAAAAAAAGATACATTGTTCTTGTTCTAAATTACATTTTAGTGACATAAAATGGTGTCATGTGTGTAATAGATGGGTGCTGTATGTGATATGGTTACGTGTGTGACTGGTGATGGCTTTAGGTATGTTATAAAATGGGAGTGGGGGGCGTGGCCAAGCCGAGCATGCGACGGGACGCCTGAACCCTGAGCTCCGCTCCCCCTGGCCCCTAAAACGCGCAAAAAAAAAGCACTTACCTCGGCACCCATGGTCCGGAACAAGAAGCCTCACACCCTGGGGGGTACCCCGCACCGTCCGACCGGGACGCTCGACGAGTTCGTGTGCACTCCGAGCACACTAAGTTGCAGCCGACCGCCTGACAACATGGCGCCCGGCTCCCCAGGCAGTGAAAGCACGGGAGAGCCCACCCTGGACGGCACGCAGGACGACACACTCGCTCTAATTAAACAGGAGCTGGCAATGATTTCAGCACAGATGCTCACCAAGGCAGACACAGGGGGGCTCCTGAGGGAACTTCGGGCAGCCGTCAAAGAGGAAGTTGCAGCCCTGAGGAAGGACCTCTCATCAATGGAGGTAAGAGTGGAGGCACTGGAAACGGAGGCCCAAGCGAGCCGCGCGCAGCACCAAGCGGCTGAACTCGCTACCACGCGCCAGGGGAACATGCTCCTCTCCCTTCGGCGCCAAGTTGAAGATTTAGAGAACCGCAGCAGACGTCAAAATATCCGGATTCAGGGTCTACCCGAACCGGACACAGAGCCACTACAAGACACGCTGCAGGCCCTTTTTCGGCAGATCCTTGGAGAGGAATGCCTGGCGGTGATCAAGCTGGACCGGGCTCATAGGTCCCTGGGGCCGCAGAGGCCTGATGGCAGGCCACGAGACGTCCTGTGCTGCCTCCATGACTACTGCCTTAAGGAACGCCTCATGACGGCTGCCCGAGGAATGGCGGATATACCCTTCCGGGGAGCAAGCGTGGCCCTATACCAGGACCTGTCCGGCCTCACCCTGGATGCCAGACGGGCTCTCAGGCCCTTAACAATGACCCTGCGGGAGAAGGGAATAGCCTACCGGTGGGGCTTCCCCTTCAGCCTCCAGATTAGGCAGGGGAGTGCCTGGATCCAAGTGCGCTGGCCAGAAGATGTGCCCCGAGCCCTAAGAGCCTTGCGCCTACCACCTATCCGCATCAGGAATTGGCTTCTGGAGACCCCGCTCGCACACCTGCACGACGTGGCGGAGGAAGGACGCCCACCGTCGCCCCCGAGGAGAAGGGAGCGGGCCCCGAGAATGCTGGGAGGCCCGAGAGGCGTGGAGGAGTGAGGAGAGGAGCAATCGCGGCCTGGCACCAGCCGGGCCGCAAGGTACTGGGGGGGAGCCGGGATACGGGTCTGCACCCGCCCATAGAGGGAGTAGGTTAGCCAGGTGGGGTGGGAGGCGCAGGCACCTCACAAGTCGCGGCTCACCCCGGGCTGCGAGGGAGATCATGGATACGGGGTGTCGCTTCTTCCCCTGCCGGGGCCCGGACTGCCCCTGGACTTGCCACACTGGGAAAGCTTAGGCTCAAGGAGTCGTAGGGTGCTCGCTGGGCTTTGGGAGAGGGAAGCGGGGACTGCACCCTGGAAGTGGGGGAGGACACGGGCAGGGTCCTGGGGGACTGATGGTTACGAGGGGGGAGGGGGAAGCACAGAACGGACCTGCATTTCTCTCGGGACGCCTCGCAATCTGCCCCCCCATGCTGGGTGGGAGGGGAGGCGGGAGGCCCCGCAGCTCCCCACTGCACCCATGCGAGACGTGAGGGAGACGAGTAAATGCCCTCCACGGAGATGTGAGGAGGGATGGCCCCTGCACTACCGAGCCCACTCAACAACGGCCCATAGAACACACACCCCGAGTCAGGGGCGAGACGGGGAAGGAAAACCAAGTGACAGGGGGAGAGGGGCCTTTAGCCTGCACCGGAGCGGTGGGGGGGGGGACGGGACACCAAACAAGTAAAGTCGGCCATAGGCGAGAGGGATATAGGGTCGGCTTGGGTAGTTGGGCGGCTACGGTACGCTGGCAACGGCAGCCGCGATACGCAGAGATCAATTGCACTGCCACCCTGGGGGGGGTCCACCTGGGGAATGAGACATGGGCAAGACCAGGCACCGAGGAATATCCTCCGGAGAGAGGAGGTCTACTGCGGGACAGCACGGGCTAAGGGGGAGCCGATAGTGACAACTCTTAGACCCACCTTCACAATCCTGCGCCTGCGGACGCTCACGCACCCACAGACACACTGTATAACACACTAGGGGGGAGCGACAAGGGGGGACATATTTACGTGGGACAGTCCTCCCCTTACTGAATCACCGACCTAGACAGCTGAGTCTGACACTGTATATAGTTCTCACCTTGTTTAACTCTTTCTGTTACTCTATAGTAGGTCAACTGACGACCCCGACGACCCCTCTTCCCCCCTCCCCTTTTTTTTTTTTTCTCTTCTTCTCCTTCTTCTTCTTCTTTCTTCTTCCGCCCCTGACTCCTCCCCGCCCGCCCCTGCGCGGCGGCACCAGCTCTCATGACCTCCCGGGGCGGAGGGACGTTCGCCCCGGCGCCCCTGCGCATCTGGTCCAACAACGTCCGGGGCCTGAACTTGCCGGAACGGAGATCACATTTACTACGGGCACCATGGTCCAATAGAATCTCCGTGGCCTTCATCCAGGAGACACACTTCCGCGGACAGACGGGACCGGCTCTCCGAGACCGACGGTTCCCTACTGGCTATTTTGCTAATCATAGAGAAGCCAAGAAGGCAGGAGTGGCCATTCTCTTCGCCACGCATGTCCCCTTCGTGTGACCGACCCACTGGGACGCTACATCTTCCTCAAGGGCTCCATTGCGGACAGGCGCTACACCTTTGCCTCCATATATGCGCCCAACACCCAACACAGTTTCCTCAACAGAACCCTAAAATCGCTGGAACACTTCAGGGAGGGGCTCCTAATTTTAGCCGGGGACCTTAACATACCATTGGACCCGCGGACGGACACCTCCCGGGGACGCTGCTCGCTACCGGACGCAAGCATCAAAGCGGCACGTTTGGCACTCAGAACGGCGGGCCTTGCGGATTGCTGGAGAATCATGCACCCAGAGGCCAAGGATTTTACATACTTCTCCCCGGTGCATCGCGGCTACAGCCGCTTAGATTATGTCTTTATTGCACAAGAATACCTGAATCTATTACAAAAATGTGAAATCCTACTTGACGCTTGGTCGGACCACTCGCCGGTCCTGGCTCAGCTGACCTCGCCTCTACATAAACCCACAAGACGCCAATGGAAACTGAATGAACAACTACTTAGCGACCCGGTTACCATAGCGGACGCTACGACGGTGCTCCATCACTACTTCAATGAGAACGATCCGTCTGACACCTCCCCAATGATTCGGTGGGAGGCCCATAAGTGCGTCATACGGGGACATTTCATCAAGGTATGTACAACGCGGAAGAAAGAACACAGTAGGCGGCTACAAGAGCTATATACGAAAGTCGCCAGCTTAGAACAAGACCACAAAGCCGCCCCGACGGAAGAGGCGTACCATGCGCTCTGTGAGGCCCGCCGAGACCTACAACATCTGCTCACGAAAAACCTCGCCTACACGATGAAAAAAGCACACCGATATTACTATGAACACTCCAACAAATGTGGTCGCATGCTAGCCAGAATGCTGAGACAACAACGCCGCGTGAACCAGATCACTAAGCTGCGGACAAAGAGCGGCGCCCTCACGCAGGTACCGGACAACATAGTCGAGGAATTTCGGAACTTCTACACCGGCCTATACGATATCCAGAAAGATGAGACAAGCGCGGGCCGGGACAGGACGGCGAGACTGACGAGGGATTACCTGGAAAACCATGTACACCGGACTCTCACGCTAGAACAAAGGGAAGACCTTGATGCCCCCATTACGATAGAGGAACTGACGGCAGCCCTGAAGAACACACAACTTAACAAAGCCCCGGGCCCGGACGGCCTCCCCACCAGATATCTCAAGGCCTTCGGGGAAATCCTCCTACCAGAATTGCTGACGGGCATGAACTCTCTCCTTGAGGGGGTACGCCTACCGGGGGACACCCTACTGGCAACGATTGCGGTTATCCCGAAAGAGGGAAAAGACCCGGCGGCCTGTGCGAGCTACAGACCCATCTCTCTACTAAATGCAGACCTCAAGCTGTTTACGAAGGTCCTGGCAGCGCGCATGAGCCGCATAGTCCCATCCTTGATCCACCCGGACCAGACCGGATTCATACCCGGTCGAGAAGCCAAGGACAACACCATCAGAGCGCTAAACATCATGCACACGCAACGGAGCTCGACGGTCGGAGGCCTGCTCCTCTCCACTGACGCGGAGAAGGCCTTCGACCGGGTGGACTGGCGATACCTCCTCGAAACGCTCAGGGCAATGGGGTTCGGACCGAATATACTGCAGTGGGTCTCCGCGCTATACACGGAGCCGACTGCACAACTACGCATTAATTCGGATACGTAACGGGACGCGCCAGGGATGTCCGCTTTCCCCCCTCCTGTTTGCCCTCTCTCTGGAGCCATTTCTTGAGACGGTCAGACGGGACGGGGTCATCGCGGGGGTCACCCTGGGGGACGGAACGCACAAGGTGGCGGCCTACGCAGACGACCTACTTTTCTTTGTGAGCAACCCTTTGATCACCTTGCCCAACCTGCTGGCAGCCTTTGAGCGGTTCGGAAGGATCTCTAACTTCAAATTGAACGCGGACAAGTCGGAGGCCCTCCCCATATCTATACCCCCCGAGTTGGTCGAACGGCTATCAGGAGAATTCCCCTTTAAATGGTGCCACCAGCGCATAAAATATCTTGGGATTTGGTTAACTAGAGACCTGACGAAACTCTATCAAGAAAACTTTCTCCCGATTCTCCAAACGCTCCGTGCGGACTTGCTCAGATGGGGACGCCTCTGCGTGTCGTGGTTTGGGCGGATCAACACAATAAAGATGAATCTGTTGCCACGCTTGCTGTATCTTTTCCAGGCCATTCCGATCGCGATCCCGCGAACATACTTCAACACCTTGGGCTCGGCGATACTGCGATTCGTCTGGGCGAAGGGACCGCCAAGGGTAAGAAAGACACAACTGATACTCCCGAGACATCGCGGTGGAACAGCCCTACCGTCCCTACACGGATACTACCAGGCGACACACCTTTTACGAATTATAGAATGGCATGTCCCGGACTCGGACAAACAATGGGTCCATATGGAGCGGCTCCAGGCCAGGGGGCGTATTCCATCGATGGTATGGATACAAAACCCGACATGCGATGATATCCTGCGGAACCACCCATTCATAGGCGCGACACTGAGAACATGGACGACCATCCGATTCAAGCTGCAGCTCACCACGAACCCGGCCCCCCTGACACCTGTGATACACAACCCGGACCTGGCGGGGGGCCTGACAAAGGGGGATATTGAGGGGCTGGGGGAGGGGACGAAACAATACCTTTGGGCCTGGTGTGCTAATAAAACCCTAAGGCCGCTGGAAGACATGCTGGGCCAGAGCAGGGAGACAGGGATCTTCCGATTTAGGTACCACCAGATACGCCGGTACTATGCCACACTTCAGGGGAAACACCTGGTCCACCGAGACCTCACACACTTTGAAACGCTATGCGAAGGGGGAACGCACCCGACACGCGGGGTATCGACCCTATATGCCATGCTCCTGGGTGCCGACGCGGGACCCCCGGCACACTTCCCCTCAAAGTGGGAACAAGCAACAGGCGTCACCTTAACGGAACCACAATGGGAGCAAATACACGTTCTGTCCCACCAGGGGATACTAAGTTCTAAAATGCAGGAACTTAATTATAAACTCCTGACGCACTGGTACCGAACCCCCGCACGACTCCATGCCATGGGGGTCACCCTCGATAACAAGTGTTGGAGATGTGACATTGCCGAAGGGACGACATTACACCTTTGGTAGTCTTGCCCTAAGAGAGGGGCTACAGTGGAGAGGAGGGGACACTTAAGAACGAAACCCTACAAATATTGTTGGGCATAAGGTTTGGGGGCATCCCGAAACATGTTATACCGTGTCTTTTGTTACGATTTGACCTGTATTGTAACCTTATTACATACAAATAAAGAATGTCAAAAAAAAAAAAATGGGAGTGTATCGGCTTTTGTATAAAAATGAGTATTCACCATGGCTAATATCAAAAAATATTTTCAAATATGAAATGAAGTATAAAATTAGATACAGCTGGTGGTGCAAATACACACATGAAACTCTACGAAGAGTTAAAATGTCCCTTTCAATATAAAACTTCATATAAGCTTGAGCTTCAGATAATTTATTTATTTGCTGAGAGCGATAAACGGTGACCTAGTCTTGGTTGATGACATGTTCCATTCAAGGTGAAATAGTGCTGCATTAAAATCGTCAACAAAGTATAATCCTCTCTTTAAAGGTGAGCACAACTTCAAAGCCTGCCTTGTGGCTAGGTAGTGAACTGAGGCTGTATTTTCAAATTAACCCGTGATTCTCATTAAATAAAAATAATTTATGTAGAGTCTTTATTAATAGACTTCTAGTGTCTGTTCTTGAGACATTATTCCACACTTAACTTTGTTGAACATGATCCAATTTGTATTTTTGCTTGTGAAATAGTAAAACATGAGTCTGGCGTTCCTCTCTGTAACGGATCACCTGGCACCCCGACTGGGTACCTCCATTGAAGGATGCTCCTAGCGCTTCCTGAGGACTCCAAGCACTCTGGCAGACACCACAATCACTGAACCGGAGAAACAAATAAATTCTCCCAAGCATATGAATGCTGTAGACAGTTGAATAGGAAACCATACGAATAGGTTTACCCTCCTAGCAGTCAAACTGGAACAGCATACAATAAATCCTTCCCCCAATAATGAGACGACACTTCACTTTGAGGGTTAAAACAGGAACTCACTGGACTGGCACATACAGCCTCTTTTATTCCCAATCCACAAATTTAGTACTGCCCACAGGGTTTTACATAACAACCAATAACACACGTACATTACAGAAAGACACTCCCACACAAAATCCTCCCGTCTGGCTGATGTCTGATTACTGAACACAATGGGTAATCTAATTATCACAGCCAGAGAAATACAGTTTCATAAAACACATCACAGTGACCCCAAAACATGCAATAACCCCATAAAGTATATCCTTGGAACTGGGGGATCTGGGTGAACCACATATCCAAAATTCACCCAGATCCGTTCAGTACTTTGGAAAATACAGTTTAATGCAGATTCTGCAGAACATATACAGGCTAAATGAAAAACAATCACTGTATAATGTGTCCCCTGCTGTATAGTCCAAAACCACTGCACGATGTCTCTGTGCACCAAATACTGGCGAGATGGCACCGTGTTGAAAAGTCCTACACCTGGGTAGAGGAGAACTTTGTCCGTGTCCAGGTGCCTCACCATGGCTGTGTGGGTGACTGGTAAGCGTACTGGGTGGGTTGCTGAGTGGGCAGAGACCAGCGGTACTCTGTCCTGGTGCCAGCACTACCACGGGAGTAGTCTGGTTGGAGCCTGGTTACTGGAGGGGGAGACTGACTGTCTCCCCTTTGCCTAAACAGTCCTGCTGCTGGGGGACAGGACCGACTGTCCCTACCCCCGGTGGTGCATGTGCAGAGACCACTGTCCCATCTGCACTGTTGTGGAGATTACTGTCTCCCCTTGGTGGGCTAAGCTGCTGCTGGGGAGAGGGGGTAACAAGCTCCTCTCCCATACATACTTTCAGCCGCTGAGGAGAGGGGATAACAAGCTCCTCTCCCTGACACTCTCTCTGCTGTTGGAGGGGGAGACCGACTGTCTCCCCTTTCAATAATTTGTCCTGTTGCTGGGGAGAGGTGATAACTGGTTCCTCTCCCTGGAACACTCTCTGCTGTTGGAGAGGGGGACCAACTGTCTCCCCTTTTAATATATTGTCCTGCTGCTGGGGAGCGAGACCGACTGTCTCAGCTTCCTGCAGGACACACTGCCGCTGGGGAGGAAGTACGGCACCTTCAGCTCCCTGGGATACATACTGCCGCTGGGGATCTGGGCTGACTGCCCAGCATCCCTGTAGGGCCTGTAGAGAGACCTCGGTCCCATCTCCACCTGCCAGCTGGGTGTCTTCCCAGGACAAGTCAATAAGGTCTTCCATCTCTGGGGCTGGTTGGGACATATGTGGTACAGTACCAAGGTCTCCTGATAACAGGCTTGGTTGCTGGGGAGGAGGAACTAAACTCAATGCTTCCAGTGGTATACAGTCAATAAGCCCCATCATGTCAGAGACAGGCGGCGTTATACGTTGGAATAGGCAAACATAATCCTGTTCTAGTTCCCACTCTCGGTTGGCAAGAAAAGATAGATCTGGCTGAATGGCATCGATCTCTGTAAGGTGCCAGTTGTCTGCCCGCTCAGCTCGGATGGACCAGAAGTGAGCAATGTCGGTGTCTCCGAACCAGAGACTAGTTTCAATAGTATCCCACAACAAACCAGGGCCATCGTAGTCTTCCCCCTCAATACACTTGTACTCAATCAGCCATGGGTAGAGGTGGTAAACATGCCACCGCAGGGCCCGATAGGAATCATCCAGCCACACCTCAGTCTCAACTAGCGTCTCCAGTTCGCTTACCCATTCCTCTGAGGGCTGGTTTCCCAATAACGGCATCCGCAGCTCTAGTTGTTCTGCTTGGCGCTGGTTAGTGGTCAGGATTTCCTCGCACCGGAAGGGTCGAATTTCGTTGATGTCCTCCTTCCAGAGATCGGTACGAAGCACCACCCTCCACTCTGTCTCTCTTTCCTCTGGGATAGGATACTCCATACTGCGCATCACATCCTGTAGTCGCTGCTGGAGCCTGGCGTCAAAGTGAGATACTGCACGGCCTTCCATCGCTGAAGTAGTGCTGGTTTTCCCAAATCTTTATGTAGACAGGGACGCTGTATGAACACTAGCGTCGCCTTCAATTTGTAAATCCATGAACTGTGTCTCTGAGCTGCTTTACCTCGCACTAGGACGCCATCCCACCGCTTGCCACCAATGTAACGGATCACCTGGCACCCCGACTGGGTACCTCCGTTGAAGGATGCTCCTAGCGTTTCCTGAGGACTCCAAGCACTCTGGCAGACACCACAATCACTGAACCGGAGAAACAAATAAATTCTCCCAAGCATATGAATGCTGTAGACAGTTGAATAGGAACCATATGAATAGGTTTACTCTCCTAGCAGTCAAACTGGAACAGCATACAATAAATCCTTCCCCCAATAATGAGACGACACTTCACTTTGAGGGTTAAAACAGGAACTCACTGGACTGGCACATACAGCCTCTTTTATTCCCAATCCACAAACTTAGTACTGCCCACAGGGTTTTACAGAACAACCAATAACACACGTACATTACAGAAAGACACTCCCACACAAAATCCTCCCCTCTGCTGTAATACAATTACTTACACAATGGTAATCTAATTATCACAGCCAGAGAAATACAGTTTCATAAAACACATCACAGGGACCCCAAAACATGCAATAACCCCATAAAAGCATATCCTTGGAACCGGGGGATCTGGGTGAACCACATATCCAAAATTCACCCAGATCCGTTCAGTACTTTGGAAAATACAGTTTAATGCAGATTCTGCAGAACATATACAGGCTAAATGAAAAACAATCACTGTATAATGTGTCCCCTGCTGTATAGTCCAAAACCACTGCACGATGTCTCTGTGCACCAAATACTGGCGAGATGGCACCGTGTTGAAAAGTCCAAACAGTGTCTGGGAGTTAAAATGGCCACCATCCATTGTTCTCACCATGTGCTTCTGATACAGGAAATGGTGGCCACCCAGTAACTCCACAGTATGTCCCCAGATGGTTCTTAAAGGGCCAGCAGCAGCACAACACAAATCCATTATGCCCAAATCATGTCTTTAAAGGGCAATACATCCCAGGGGCCATAGTCACATGGCAGAAGGCTGGCAACCAGGCTTCTCCAGTGCATTATTGAAGTGGCCTCTTACTTCAATAATCAGCACTTTAAGGGACACTTCACCTCCCAAATTAAAATAAACAAATAAAATAAATCACTGTTTAGTAGCTATACCTCTAATGAAAACAAGCATACATTTAATCTAGCATTTTTTTTCAGTTGGTTAATATCTAAAAACAGCGTGCAAAACCTGCAGTTCTCTTGTCTGCAGCCTTTGCAAGCCCTCCCCTTCTAACCCCACCCAGACTTTCTGTGGCTGTCCAATCACTGACTTCCCAATGCAACTCATGGGCAGCAGTGAAATTTATAAATTACAGAGATTAGAAGGAGTTACAGTTCTGATTACACGCTCATTCAGTTTCTGCCTTTAAAATAGGAACAGCTGTTGCTGATGAGTGTAACTACAAATAATTTTGGTCTAACATGGACATGTATGTATATATGTATGTCTGTATGAACCTACATTGCACAGATGTTATATCTGCATCATAACCCGTACATTGCAGAGAATAATTGCACAGATGACGTCCCTATGCATGCTGTATGTAATTGGAAAACTTGAGCTGTGTGTTTTACATATGAATAGGGGACTGGTTTACTTTGGGTTTGCTTATAATAACCCTCAGCTTACTCCTCCTAAATCTAAACACCTATTAAGTATAAGATGTCTAAATCACCTTAACACTATACACTTCAGTATTTATCACTGTTATTATTTTATTTAGTGTTTACTAGAAGGAGGAACACAACAAATCTTATTCTGTAAGAGAGCATAAAATTTATGTAAACATTGTGAATTCATAGATTTAAAAAATCAATGAATTAAATGGTATTTGCAGGTATTTGTGATGCTGTGCATATGGATTTAGAAAACATCATAACTTAACCTGTGTCGTCAATGATTGAATTAAAAATAGGTCTAGAGGTACAGACGCAATTAACGGAACACCTCAACAACTACTTTAATGAGAACAACATAGAGGACGTATCAAAGGTGACGCTATGTGAAGCCCGTAAGACTGTGCTCAGGGGACACTTTATAAGAATAGCGTCTCGAAAAAAGAAAGAAGCACAACAACGCCTAAAGGAACTTACCAACCGCATAACGCAACTAGAAACGCTCCATAAACGAACACAACTGGAGGCACAATATCGCGCTCTATTAGAAGCCAGAAGCCAGGTGGCAGAGTTGGTGGCCCGTAGACACCACAGGGCGACCCAGAGAACCAGAGCCTTCTACTACATCCATGCCAACAAAGGCGGAAGACTACTAGCTCGCATGATTCGGAACCAACAGGCCAGAGCACAAGTACATGAACTGAGAACAACCAAAGGCACCCTCACACAATTCCCAGAAGAAATAGCTGAAGAATTCCGCAAGTACTACCAATCCCTGTACAACATCGCAACAAGAATTTGAGACATACGGACAGATATCAGGTTTGAAATTAAACCTGTCAAAATGCGAAATTCTAAATCTTGCATCACCAACGGCCGTATGGGACGAAATCCGACGCAGATACCCTTTCCACTGGTGTACAGAGCAAATGCGCTACCTGGGAATCTGGATACCAAGTAACCTGAAAGAACTATATAGCAGGAACTCCCCTCCTACGTATACTCCCCTCCTACGTACAATCCTGACGGACCTAATGAAATGGAACTACGACTATATCTCCTGGCAAGGACGCATAGCGATAATCAAAATGAACATCCTGCCGCGGCTATTATACTACTTCAGCACCATTCCCTGGCACATACCGCCGGACATCTTTGCGACACTTAAAACGGCGGTAATAAAATATGTCTGGAAAGGAGAGAAAGCAAGCCTCCGCTATGACAAGCTATGCTTCCCAAAAATGTGGGGCGGGCTAGTACTGCCAGACCTCCGCAAATACTATTATGCAACTGTACTCCAACGAATCTGGGAATGGCACGCGGCAATGGCGACCAAACCATGGGCAACCCTAGACACAGAGAGTACGAATAAGGCTCTACACACGTACATATGGCAAGGTTCAGCAGACGTTAAACAACATCTGGGTAACGAATCCCCCATTGTACAGACGCTGAAACCATGGTCAGACCTGAGGAAGAAACAACACATATCCCCCCCAACCGAGCCCCTTAATCCCGCTGACACACAACAAAGCGCTTGGAGGAGGACTGCAGACGTCTGCATGGCCCATGGCACCTGAAGGAAATTTTATCCCTCTGAAAGTGGTACTGAACAACACAGGACTGCGAAGTCTATGAGAATGGTCGACTACAGATCAGCAGACGATGATGCATAGATACCATTATGCACAATTGAGACACTTCTATCACAACATGCCCAACAGAGAGGAGGTACACAGGGAAACTACGTGGTTCGAACATCTCTGCATCACTGACACAGAAGTACAAGGCAAAGTGTCAAACATATACCAGCAACTGATCACAGAAGACCACACTAGGAGGAATGCCTTTCAAAGACAATGGGAAGACCTAACGGAAAGGACCTACTCGGAAGTTTGTTTCCATGGATCGACAAGAGTCGGGCCTGTGACCTTTTTTCCAAACCTTCAGCACCCGAGTCACACAAAAAGCCTTTGTCACGTCCTGCCACCTGAACCACTGAAATAAAAAGGACAGAGCTGCCAAGGGCCTTTCGGCCAAAGAGGCGGACTTACCTGAAGCTCAAAGTGATTCCAATAGGGCCAGTGTCACCTCCAACCTACCTGCATCGAAGGAAATATCCCTGTAAGCACTGATATATCACCACTAACGCCACACAGCTGCAAAGGACTTCAACAAACACTCTGCTAAGGACCCCTGCACCAAACGCCTCAAATGTCGGAAACCAGGTCCCATAAATCTGTCAGGCAAGAAGTTCCTATCTGCGTTGACTCCGGACCCGCCTCTCAAAACCGGTGAAACCGAGAAAGAGAGTCGGCTATAACATTCAAGACCCCAGGGACATGACACGCCACAATCCACACATTTTTTGACAAACTAAGCAATACCAAGCGCCTAAGAAGTGCCAACATGAGAGAAGACGCAGACGTGGAGTGGTTGTACACATGAACCACGCTTATGTTGTCCATGTGATTGGCAAACTCCCTACTCCATAGCTTAACTGCCACTACTATGGGAAAAAGGTTCCAGGAACGTTAAATTGCATAACAAGTCACTATCCTGCCAATAACGCGGCCAAGCCTCCGTGCACCACTGTTCTTGAAAGTAGGCACCGAAGCCCACCTAACCTGACGCATCAGTGTACAAATCCAAGTCCCCATTGGACACTGCGGGGCATAACCAGCACGATTGTCCATTATACCTACCCAAAAAGGAACTCCATACCTGTAGATCTTCACAATGTCGTCGGGTGATATGGATAAAATAAAAAGGCTGCTTGACCCCAACCATCGAAAAGGACAGCCGCTGACAAAACGCCCTGACCATGGATAAAACTCGACATGCAAAATTCAAATGCCCTAACAAGACCTGCAACTAACGAAGTTGCACTTTCTTAGCTCCTTTAACCAAGACCACCAGACGAAGCAAGTGGACCAGTTTCTCCTCCAGAAGACGAAAAACCATGACCTGAGAGTCCACTTATATTCCCAGATACGACAGAATCCTAACATGGTTTTTCCCTCGCCCCGAAACTCCAAAATCCGACACGACCTGACGAAAAGACTTTAAGAGCTCCTCGCAGTCCTCTGACTCCCGGGACCCACAAATAAAAAAAAATTGTCCAGATAGTGAGTCAGTGACAACAGGCACGACACCTGAGAAATCACCCATTTGAGAAACGACGTAAACATTTCAAAATATGAACATGAAATAACGCAACCCATTGGCAAACACATATCAAAAAAGCATAGCTATATAAACCTGCTGAACTGTATAACTGAAGAGAATTTTCAAAAAAGAACAAGCCCTGAAAGTGGCATCCCAGCAAGTGAAGCAGTCAGGGTGGACCGGGAGCAACCGAAAATCAGACTCAATGTTCGACTTGGCCATCTCTGCTCCCATCCCAGCCTCCCGCACCAACTCAAGTGCCCAATCAAAGGAGGCGTATCGGACCCAAGACACCTCCTTATTAATAGCATCATCCTCCGACCTGCCCGACGGGTAGGACAGGTGATGAATGAGGCGAAACACCCCCAGATCCTTCTTAGGTACTAGCCCAAGGGGAGAGACCCTTAAATTAGGAGAGGGCAACGAGTCGAACGGCCCAGCCAGCCGACCTAATAGAACTTCCTTCCTAAGCTTATCCTCCAGAATCGATTCTTTGCCAACCACCAAGCGCAAATTTCTCGCAAACGACGGGGAATCCGACTGAACAAATGGTATCAGCACATTCGTGTTTAAATCTGCAGGATCCATACCACCTGCAGTGGCTCTCGTTAAAGAGCCAGCAAACCCCTTTGCTCTGCCCAGCAGGCGCAATGGAAACCGGGTTGGCCAACTGGGAGTCACTATCCTGCCAATAACGCGGCCAAGCCTCCGTGCACCACTGTTCTTGAAAGTAGGCACCAAAGCCCACCTAACCTGACGCATCAGTGTACAAATCCAAGTCCCCATTGGACACTGCGGGGCATAACCAGCACGATTGTCCATTATACCTACCCAAAAAGGAACTCCATACCTGTAGATCTTCACAATGTCGTCGGGTGATATGGATAAAATAAAAAGGCTGCTTGACCCCAACCATCGAAAAGGACAGCCGCTGACAAAACGCCCTGACCATGGATAAAACTCGACATGCAAAATTCAAATGCCCTAACAAGACCTGCAACTAACGAAGTTGCACTTTCTTAGCTCCTTTAACCAAGACCACCAGACGAAGCAAGTGGACCAGTTTCTCCTCCAGAAGACGAAAAACCATGACCTGAGAGTCCACTTATATTCCCAGATACGACAGAATCCTAACATGGTTTTTCCCTCGCCCCGAAACTCCAAAATCCGACATGACCTGACGAAAAGACTTTAAGAGCTCCTCGCAGTCCTCTGACTCCCGGGACCCACAAATAAAAAAAAATTGTCCAGATAGTGAGTCAGTCGAGCACCTTCACCCATACCGTACCCTTAAATTAGGAGAGGGCAAAGTCGAAAGCCAGCCGACCTAATAGAACTTCCTTCCTAAGCTTATCCTCCAGAATCGATTCTTTGCCAACCACCAAGCGCAAATTTCTCGCAAACGACGGGGAATCCGACTGAACAAATGGTATCAGCACATTCGTGTTTAAATCTGCAGGATCCATACCACCTGCAGTGGCTCTCGTTAAAGAGCCAGCAAACCCCTTTGATCTGCCCAGCAGGCGCAATGGAAACCGGGTTGGCCAACTGGGAGTCAATATCCTGCCAATAACGCGGCCAAGCCTCCGTGCACCACTGTTCTTGAAAGTAGGCACCGAAGCCCACCTAACCTGACGCATCAGTGTACAAATCCAAGTCCCCATTGGACACTGCGGGGCATAACCAGCACGATTGTCCATTATACCTACCCAAAAATGAACTCCATACCTGTAGATCTTCACAATGTCGTCAGGTGATATGGATAAAATAAAAAGGCTGCTTGACCCCAACCATCGAAAAGGACAGCCGCTGACAAAACGCCCTGACCATGGATAAAACTCGGCATGCAAAATTCAAATGCCCTAAACAAGACCTGCAACTAACGAAGTTGCACTTTCTTAGCTCCTTTAACCAAGACCACCAGACGAAGCAAGTGGACCAGTTTCTCCTCCAGAAGACGAAAAACCATGACCTGAGAGTCCACTTATATTCCCAGATACGACAGAACACTAACATGGTTTTTCCCTCGCCACCGAAACTCCAAAGTCCGACACGACCTGACGAAAAGACTTTAAGAGCTCCTCGCAGTCCTCTGACTCCCGGGACCCACAAATAAAAAAAAATTGTCCAGATAGTGAGTCAGTGACAACAGGCCCGACACCTGAGAAATCACCCATTTGAGAAACGACGTAAACATTTCAAAATATGAACATGAAATAACGCAACCCATTGGCAAACACATATCAAAAAAGCATAGCTATATAAACCTGCTGAACTGTATAACTGAAGAGAATTTTCAAAAAAGAACGAGCCCTGAAAGTGGCATCCCAGCAAGTGAAGCAGTCAGGGTGGACCGGGAGCAACCGAAAATCGGACTCAATGTTCGACTTGGCCATCTCTGCTCCCATCCCAGCCTCCCGCACCAACTCAAGTGCCCAATCAAAGGAGGCGTATCGGACCCAAGACACCTCCTTATTAATAGCATCATCCTCCGACCTGCCCGACGGGTAGGACAGGTGATGAATGAGGCGAAACACCCCCAGATCCTTCTTAGGCACCAGCCCAAGGGGAGAGACCCTTAAATTAGGAGAGGGCAACGAGTCGAACGGCCCAGCCAGCTGACCTAATAGAACTTCCTTCCTAAGCTTATCCTCCAGAATCGATTCTTTGCCAACCACCAAGCACAAATTTCTCGCAAACGACGGGGAATCCGACTGAACAAATGGTATCAGCACATTCGTGTTTAAATCTGCAGGATCCATACCACCTGCAGTGGCTCTCGTTAAAGAGCCAGCAAACCCCTTTGCTCTGCCCAGCAGGCGCAATGGAAACCGGGTTGGCCAACTGGGAGTCATTAACAGCTCCCGTCCTGGATCCCAAAAGTCATGCCTGGACTCACTGCCAGTTTCTGGCGAAATTGCTGGTCATACTTAAACCAGCATTGACCCCCATATACCTTATTCGTCCCCCAAATCAGGTCTAAGTACCCGAACAACGCTGGTGCCTTCTCTGGAAAACTCTACGTTATAATGCTTGCAAAAATGGAGAACCCCTGCAGCCAGTTGCCAAAGCTACGCAGCAGCTGCTTACCTTTTTCCACATCCGCCATGTCCCCCCGGCGCGGCCTATCCACCAATTCCCTATCTGGGGGAACCAGGGACAGAAAATCCACATACTCACCTTTTATAATTTTGTCCCTGATGTCCAGCGACACATACATCCCTAATGGGGACAATTCGCAGCCCAGCAAGCACAGACGCACACCCCTTGGGAGCACACCCTCCATACTCCTATTCTGGCTCAGGGACTGAGCAGAAAGTGGGGAAGGAGCAGAAGAACAGAGAGGACCAACCCCAGGAAGCCTATCCAATATAGCCCTCCGAAAGCTCAAAACCTCCTGACTCTGCAACCCTCCACTACCCAGGGAACACTCACCACCTCCCCTGACCTCAGCCAGTGCTGAGCAGGAACCCCCGTGGACTCATCCAAACCAGAATCAAGCTGTCTGACACTGGAGCGGTCAGTGCTGATCCGCAGCCGGCCGCCAAGCCTGACCGTGATCCGATCCTGGAGCTCCTCCTTCTGACCGCAGTCAAATCCAAAGTAGAACTCAAGGCCTGTGACAGGAGTGCTCTTCTTCGACGTCACGTACTCGCCTTGCGCGATGACGTTGACGTCTGATGTGCGCATGTTGCATGGCGTGCGCGATTACTTCACTTTCTGCTGAAATGGAACAGAAGCGTGCAATCTTCCTGCTGGGCCTCCGCCATTGCTCCCGACGCCATCTTGGGCCTACTCCTCACCGACCTCTCCAAACTGACTCCGTAGGCCCCTGGACACCGATGGCCGCTCTGTGGTCACGGCCGGGCCACCACTGCCATCCCGATTCATCCACCTCCCCGATCTCCTTGCCTCACCAGGCTGGGGGATAAGCGCGACGGAGGCCTCAATCTCCTGGCCCTCCATCCACCAGGTCCGTCGCTTCGACCGGTCTCCACATCCACCGCCGGGCAGCCACAGTCCTCACACCCGCATCCAAGGTAGGACTGCAGGAGTCTCTGCAGCTCAGGCTCTGGGGTAATCCTTGTAGCCATGAGAACAGGGTAAGAACAAGTGAGAAAGTGACAGCAAGTGTGAGAAAGGGGAAAACTGCTGGGAACATAAGTGAGCTAATGAGTGATGTTTGCTTATTTCACAGGGTACAGACAGCCAGGAAAACTGTCAGGGGCCCTCAACTGATCCTGCTGACTGGTAAGTCTCCTCCCTCTCCTTCTCCACAAAACCCCTCACTTTGCAACATTTGTTTCACTTTTTAGCAGTCATGCTCTCCCTTACCTAGTTGTCCAGGGGGAAACTGACTAACTGGGTGGCAACAATTAAGCAGGAGGTACTAGCTAATTGTATCTGGGAATATCAGGGTATATATAATTAGTTAGTAACAAGACTTACACCCTGTTCCAAATTATTATGCAAATGATATTTTTCTCATTTACCTAAATAATTGATGTAAATAACAGTCAGCATAATTCTCATGTTATCAACTATTAAGAGTACAATTCAAATTTTATTGAACAAACCTCCTTATAACAGTATTTTTTTTTTACATAAAAAACTTAGCATGCACTGTTCCAAATTATTACACACAATAAGTTTCAAAACACTTTATAGGTTGTAAAGAACTGAAATTGTCATTTGCTGTGTTTGCAGCATATTTACTGAAATCAAAAGCTATTTCAATCAAACTTATAACAACATTTGAATTTTTTAAACATTTTAACAGGTCACGTTACATTTTAACATAGGACCCCTTAGTTGATAGCAGCTTCACAAGACTTGCATCCATTGAACTTGTGAGTTGTTGGACAGTTTCTGCTTGAATTTGTTTGCAAGATGTCAGAATAGCCTCCCAGAGCTGCTGTTTGGATGTAAACTGCCTCCCACACTCATAGATCTTTTGCTTGAGGATGCACCAAAGGTTCTCAATAGGATTGAGGTCAGGGGAGGATGGAGGCCACACCATGACATTCTCTCCTTTTATCCTCATAGCAGCCATTGATGCAGAGGTATTCTTTGCAGCATGAGATGGTGCATTGTCATGCATGAAGATGATTTTATTACGGAAAGCATAGTTCTTCCTTCTGTACCAGGGAAGAAAGTGGTCAGTCAGAAACTCCACATACTTTGCAGAGGTCATCTTTACACCTTCGGGGACCCTAAAGGGGCCGACCAGCTCTCTTCCCATGATTCTGGCCCAAAACATGACTCCACCACAGCCTTGCTGACGTGCAGCCTTGTTGGAACAGGGTGGCCGTCCACCAACCATCCACTACTCCATCCATCTGGACCATCCAGGGTTGCACGGCACTCATCAGTGAACAGGACTGTTTGAAAATTAGTCTTCATGTATTTTTCTGCCCAATGCAGCCATTTCTGCTTGTGAGCATTGGTTAGTGGTGTCCGAATAGAAGGTTTATGCACAGTTGCAAGACTCTGGAGGACTCTACACCTTGATGTCAGTGGGACTCCAGAGGCACCAGCAGCTTTAAATATCTGTTTGCTGCTATGTAATGTTATTTTAGCAGCTGCTCTCTTGATCCGATGCATGGACCTGGCAGAAATCTTCCTTAATGTGCCTTTATTTGCACAAACCCGTCTGTGCTCTGAATCAGCCACAAATCTCTTAATAGTGCGATGATCACGCTTACGTTTTCGTGAAATATGTAATGTATTCATACCTCGTCCAAGGCATTGAACTATTCCTTTTTCTTCCCCATATTGCATGAAAATGGTGCGCTGCTTAATAATGTGGAACACCCTCCTTTATTAGTTTTTCTTTAAATTGGGCTCACCTGTCAATCTAATTATCACAGGTGTCCGAGATTGTTTTCAGTGATCAAAAGAGCCCTGAGACACAATGCCATCCATGAGTTAAACTGAAAAACAAAATATTTAATCTTGTGACACTTAAATAGAATTTGCATAACAATTTGGAACAGGGTGTAGTACTTGTGCCACTTAATTATTCAATGCTTTCCTATGGGAATTCCGGCGACGCTGGAGGTCCTCATGCATAGCGTAACGATGTCCAGTGTCGTTTTAAACACTTCTAAGAACACGCTAGTCCCTCTAGTGGCTGTCTGATAGACAGCCACGAGAGGAGGACTTAACCCTGCAAGGTAATTATTGCAGTTTATAAAACTGCAATAATTACACTTGCAAGGTTAAGGGTGGTGGGAGTTGGCACCCAGACCACTCCAATGGGCAGAAGTTGTCTGGGTGCCTGGAGTGTCCCTTTAACTACCAAAGAAGTTGTTGTTAATAGGACTTTCATTGAAGTTTCACGCCAAACTTTAGGTATGCTAAATTGACTGGAAATACAATATGGTGACGCAACTGGCTCTGAACTTTAGTTTAATAATTTTATTAATCTAAGTGACCTGCATAGAATAGATGTATAATGTTTTGTATCATATCTTTTTGTATTGTTAAGTTATCTCATAGTAATGTTGTTTTGAAACTTCAACCTTTTTTTGTCCTTCCAAATGACTTGTTATCTTACGTTCCACCTGAATTTGTTTAACAAACACCTTTTTATCATGAAGGTGCTGTTCTGCTACTACATTTTTATTTTTTTTTATAATTCTTTATTTTTTCTGTGCAGAAGATAACACAATAGCTTACGATGCCACAACAGCATAAGCAAGCAATAATAACAGTGTAGAACATATACATGGCATGAGAAAGTGGCACAGGTTTTTCAGTATAATAATAAACAGGCTAGTCATACTTGTCTATATAGAAGTCACAGGAGTAGAAGTACCGTAAATGCAAGTATAAAACAAGTAAAACGATAAAGACTTTGCTTAATAGGTGTTAACATGGCAAACAGCTCTGTATTATACAAGAAGAGTGTAAACATAGCTATATAAACCTGCTGAACTGTATAACTGAAGAGAATTTCAATAGGCATATGCCACTAGGTATGTGTAGACAAAATTATGGCTGTTGAGAACTTGCATAGTTATTATACTAGACATGATGCTTATAGTCTAACAGACTGACCACACATGAGAAAGCATGCAATAGTGCAGTAGTGAAATTCAGAGCAAACACAACCATGTATCAAACACCACATTGCAGCCCGGGATTTAAGAGATATTAGACATGTGGATAACCTACAGACTCATTAAGATTAAATAAGACTGTTATAGTATGATAGGAAGTAAGTGTCAACGGTGGTAACGTCCCTCAGGGGAAAAGTGCATGGAGACAAAACCTTGCTTATAGAATAGTTTAACCCCACTCAACCTATGTCCTCCAGGCTTCCAGCGCAGTCCAGCCTATTGTTGTTTTGCCAGCGGGGTTTGATCCCCAGCCGTGTGGGATGCCTTGAGTTGTAAATATGGATTAGGTGAAATTGAGGCAGCTGTGGTGTCAGTCCCAGCGAGGGTTGTGCCTTATCCTGGCCTGCGCTGTGTCTTGATGTTCCTTGGCAAGGATTGTTCACACGCCGGTGCCTGGTCCGCCTCCTCCTACCAGGTTAGGTTCTCCTACTTTCCTGCCATTTACGTGGACTCTGGCAGGGTTCTTTCTGCGTCGGGGAAGTGGGTTGCCGAGTGGTCGGACACAGTGCACGCCGGGCCTCTGCAGCATTGTCCAGACGACAGATAAGTGTAGCTAGCCAGTTAGCAAACAAGCTATTCAGCTTAACATGGAGAGAGAGTTAAGTGCTGAACGAAGATGTGCAACCGGTCAGTGCCGCAGTTAGGCTCCGCCCCTCTGCTACTACATTTAATGTGCAGACTAACCTGTTGCAAAATAGACAAGTTCATTATGAGAAACAAATAAAGAATTTTAACCTGTGGTTATGGTGTCAGAGGTCTCTTAGTGTACTCTTGCTATTAACCCCTTAAGGACCAAACTTCTGGAATAAAAGGGAATCATGACATGTCACACGTCATGTGTCCTTAAGGGGTTAAGAGTCAGACAGTTTTTAAATAGTTTGCTACTGAATTGAATTCACCAGTTTTAATTCACCAGTTTTAATTTGCCTGTGTGAATTCGCCAGAATGAAATTTGCAGTCTCTGTATTCATTGTTCAGAGGCTTGCAGTGTCGTGGCTCCCTGTGCCGCTGCGTTGTGAGCTCTCCGACTGCAGTTATTCTGAGTGTGTCCAGCATTGTCTACCTGTGAATGAAAGTGTGTGCCTGACCGAGAATATCCTTGTGTGTGAATGTATGTCTTTATGAGCATGTGTCTTGGACCGCATGTGTGTGGGGTAGCTGCTTGCGTTTATGGGGGCTGCCTGTGACCTTTGTGCATGTGTGTATGATGAATGTGATTTGAAATCCATGGCACACTTGCTGGGTACAATCTTGTAAGAAAGAGGTACTCTGGCAAACTTATTAGGTCCCCCCCCACGTTGGCTGAGTTAAGGGTTAAAAATAATTTTCTATTTACTCAAGGCGCACACATTAAAGCTTTCCCTTAGAAAAGCATTGAGTTAGCGCTTTTCTATGAGAATATTTCAAGACGTTAGACTCATTCAAAGCGTGAGGACGTCCAACTTCATGGAGTAATACTAGGCACCAGGAAGCGCCCCTTGTGGCGGTCTGGAAGAGAGCCACTAGAGGTGTAGTTAACCGTGCAATGTAAATATTGCAATTTCTCAGAAACTGCTATGTTTTACATTGTATGGTTAAACAGACAAGGACACAGCATCCAGACCATTCCATATTGATGAAGTGGTCTGGGTGCCTATAGTATCACTTTAAATATTAGTTTATGTACATAAAATACTGCAATCTTAATTATGTTAATCTTTCAGTTTTATAAATGGCTCTCAGTATATATTGAAGTCACCTAACATCTTCCATAACAGCACTGTCTCCTGCTTTCCTTCAGGTACACTGCTTAAATTAAAGGGACAATGTAGGCACCCAGTCCTATTACCCTTAACTCTGAGCATGTAATTTTTGCAGTTTTCAATAAACTGCAATAATTACCTACTAGGGTTAACTCCTCAGACAGCCACTAGAGGTACGTCCGGGTCTTTAGGTCACTTAAATGACGCTGGACGTCCTTGTACTAGGCTTCCAGTGTCACTGGAATCTCCATAGGAAAGCACTGAATGATGCTTTCCTATGGGGAAATCCTAATGCGAGCACGGCCATTGCTGCGCATGGACATTAGGTCTCCCCCACCGGCTGATACTAAGGAGTGAAGATGGACCCAAGCCAGCACCAAGGGACATCGGCGCTGGACCCAGGTAAGTGATGGAAGGGGTTATTAACCCCTTCTGCACCACGGGGGGGAGGAAGGGTAGCCTTGACAGAAGGGGATGCTATAGTGCCAGGAAAACAAGTTTGTTTTCCAGGCACTATAGTTTCTCTTTAAAGTGTTTCTCTGTGGTCATTTAAAATGTTGTTTAGGTTTGATTTCACTACACAGAAAGTATGAATAAAGAACAAGGTGTGGTACCTGCCTATACAGCTCATTATGTTACAGCCAGGCCAGGGGATAGGAGAGATTTACTGCTGAGAAATACAGTGCTACATAGCTTCACACCAGGGAGCAAAACTGCAGAACCGTGTCCTTCTTTTGGAAAGCTGGTACACAGAGGGCACGGCCAAGTTTATAATAAATAGGATATATCCAGCACTGTAGAGGTTACGCTCATCCTGGCCCCATATGTGTTTGCTTTGAGGGAGTCTCCAGGATGTCATTACTCAATGCATTGCAACTGAATGCCTGTCTTCATTCTCAATGTCTCCAAACCTAATTGGAATGACGTCCTTAGTCTATGAGAATCATCATTAACCCTTTTGCCTGCTGTAAGAAGAAGTCAGCATGCAGGAGTTAATGGAACAGCAGTGTAGAGAAGGGTTTCACAGATGAACACCCATTCAATGGTAACAGTTTATTATTCTGACACATACATGATGTCTCTTCTCAAATCACCAGGACATTCTTAGTTGGGCACATTACTTCCATCCTGTTTCAATGCATCCTTCTATCTCTGCCAGTTCTCTGGTGGCACTGCCAGCATGGCCCAGGTTCAGATATCCACATTTGATGAAGCTTTTGTTAGGAAACTGTAGAAACTCTGCTTCCATCAGTTTGACGGTGATATTGTTCTCATGCTTTACAACTCCTGATCGATTCGAGCTGTAACATCCCTTATTCAGACTTCTTTCAGATGGTTAGTACATTAGAGCAGAGCAATCATTACCTCGTTTCTAGTTATAACTGTTTTGTTAAATGTATTAATCTATTAAATACTGCGATCCCACTCCTACACAGGAAATTTGCACCAGTGTGTTCTAAACCAATTAAAGAGACACTATAGGCACTGAAGTGGTCTAGGTGCAGCTTTCCTGTGCCTCTTTTTTATATTTTTTGAGAAACTGTAATGATTACTTTGCAGAACTAATACTGCCTCTAGTACCTGCCTTTCAGACAGCAACTAGAGATGATTCCTGGATTGTAACCAAATTTAACTCCGTAAACGACACTGTATGTGCTCATTCTGTGCATGAGGACATCCAGCGTCAGTGAAAACCCCATAGGAAAGCATTGAGGCTTGCTGGGCATTACGTCCACCCCATCAGAGGAGGCGGGGAAGTTGGCGCTGGAATCGGGTAAGTGTCTAAAACGTTTTACAACCCTTTATGTGGTACTGGGGGGGGCACGAGGGAGAGGTGGACCAGAGGGCACTATTGTGTTAGGAATACAGATTTGTACTTCTATAGAATCCCTTCAATTCCATCACTAGCACTGGCCGTGCATAACTCTCTATTTATAATCAATAATAAACAGAAAAAAGATAATATTGAGTCTCCCCAATCCAGAGAGACCCAATATCCAGTGATTTACAACTAAAGATAAAAAAGTAACGTTTCACAAAATTTCTGCAGAGTCTCGTGGCTTCCTATCAGTGAAAAGACTTTCACTACTGTGTGCGTCACTTTTTATTGTTTTAGACTAGATACACAATAGTACATTGATTACAAGCCATGCAGTACTATGTGGTAAAACCAGGCAGAACAGGAAAAGCTAGACCAAGATGACAAGCGAATCTTAGTCACTGTAAACCAATAGACAAACTCCTGTGCACTCTGAATCAAGTTTGTGAGCAGACTTTATTAAAGCTTACTGAAACTTTTTCTATTGAAACCTCATAGATTCAATAAAGTCTGCTTACAAACCTGATTCAGAGTCCAAAGGAGTGTGTATATTGTTTAACAGATGACAAGCTGTCACTTTTGTTTAACAGTATAAATCCATAAATACACTTGTATTGGTTATCAGACTGATAGTTGCTGTGTGAAATGCACAGTTGGTCCCCAGTACTTCTCTTTGATGGAGAAGCATTGGATTATACCAGAGATTATCATTTAAGAAAAAAGATTTGAAGCTACCAGAAGGAGACTACCTGGAACTGGATTACCGTTGAGTTACACAGCCTGTAGTGGTTATGGTGCTAGGAGTACTGTGGTCCTGTTTTCTGCTAGTTGGTACCTACTAGATGGTACTTTCATTATATTACATATGATTTGTGCCACCGCTCCCCCCCCCCAACCAAATACTCCCTAAAAAATGCCTGGTCTGTGCCGCGGCCCATTAAGAGCAGACTAGGCCCCTCCAATATCAGTCAGCGGGGAGGACGTGACAGCTTGTCACTTCCTCCCTGCTTCACAGAAAGCCACTTAGAAGGAATGGAGGGAGATGGAGGCTGGAGCATACTACAGCATGGAGGCAGAGGAGAGGCTGGAGTGAGTTGCTGCTGCATGCTCACTCCTATCAGCCTCAACCAGGACCAGAACCCCAAGCAAGCCACCCTCCTGGACACATATATAAGCTAACAGGAGGGTGGCTGCACATATATAAAGTATTACATGTGTGTATGTCAGTGTGTGTATCTGAGTGTATGTGTCAATGTGTGTATCTGAGTGAGCCAGTGTGTGTATCTGAGTGTATGTGCCAGTGTGTGTGTATCTGTGTGTCAGTGTGTGTATCTCAGTGTATGTGCCAGTGTGTGGAATCGAGTGTGTGTCTGTGTATGCCATTGTGTGTTTCTGTGTGTATGTGCCAGTTTGTGTATCTGAGTGTGGGTGTCAGGGTGTGTAACTGAATGTATGTGCCAGTGTGTGCATTTGAGTGTGTGTATCTGTGTGTTTCAGTGAGTGTATCTGAGTGTATGTGCCACTGTGTGTATCTGAGTGTGTGTTTCAATGTGTGTATCTGTGTGTCAGTGTGTATCTAAGTGCGTGTATGCACCAGTGCTTGTTTCTGTGTGAATGTGCCAGTTTGTGTATCTGAGTGTGGGTGTCAGGGTGGATAACTGAGTGTATGTGCCAGTGTGTGTATATGAGTGTGTATCTGAGTGTATGTGCCACTGTGTGTATCTGAGTGTGTGTTTCAATGTATGTATCTGTGTGTCAGTGTGTATCTGAGTGTGTGTATGCACCAGTGCATGTTTCTGTGTGTGTATGTGACAGTGTGCGTATCTGTGTGTCAAGGTGTTCATACATGTTTGGTGGCTGTGTATGGGTTGGGGGAACACGCACGAGTGGGGGGTTGGGGTGGCGCCATAGCTGGTGAAGTCACTTCCCTGAAATGATATAATAAATACAGAATAAAAAAATTAAGGTGCAACACATATTGTGATCAGAAACCAACAATCTTCTTACAATGGCTTCTTTAAAAATAATCAGTTTGTTCATTGTTTCTTTTTTCTGTAGGTTGTTTTAGTTTTTTTGGTTTTTTTTGCTTATTATTTTATATTTTACTTAAAGGACCACTATAGTGCCAGGAAAACATACTCGTTTCCCTGGCACTATAGGATCTCTAGGTCCCCCCCACCCTCAGGGCCCCCCTCCCGCCGGGCTCTAGGGGGTTGAAGGGGTTAAATTCACCTCTTTTTCAAGTGCCGGGCGGGGGACTCTTCTCCTCCTCTCCTCCTCCATATCGCCGTCATCGGCTGAATGCGCATGCGCTCCAGGAGCCGTGCTCGCATTCAGCCAGTCCATAGGAAAGCATTCTCAATGCTTTCCTATGGACGCTGGCGTCTTCTCACTGTGAAAATCACAGTGAGAAGCGCGGAAGCACCTCTAGCGGCTGTCAATGAGACAGCCACTAGAGGCTGGATTAACCCATAGGTAAACATAGCAGTTTCTCTGAAACTGCTATGTTTACAGCAGAAAGGGTTAATCCTAGATAGACCTGGCACCCAGACCACTTCATTAAAGGACCACTATAGTGCCAGGAAAACATACTCGTTTTCCTGGCACTATAGTGCCCTGAGGGTGCCCCCACCCTCAGGGTCCCCCTCCTGCCCGGCTCTGGAAGGGGGAAATGGGTTTAAACTTACCTTTTTCCAGCGCTGGGCGGGGAGCTCTCCTCCTCCGATCCTCCTCCGTTCCGCCCCGTCGGCTGAATGTGCACGCGTGGCAAGAGCTGCGCGCATTCAGCCGGTCGCATAGGAAAGCATTTACAATGCTTTCCTATGGACGCTGGCGTCTTCTCACTGTGAAAATCACAGTGAGAAGCACGCAAGCGCCTCTAGTGGCTGTCAATGAGACAGCTTTGGGGGAAGGCTTAACCTATTCATAAACATAACAGGTTCTCTGAAACTGCTATGTTTATTAAAAAATGGGTTAACCCTAGAAGGACCTGGCACCCAGACCACTTCATTAAGCTGAAGTGGTCTGGGTGTCTAGAGTGGTCCTTTAAGCTGAAGTGGTCTGGGTGCCTAGAGTGGTCCTTTAAGCTGAAGTGGTCTGGGTGCCTATAGTGGTCCTTTAATCAGGCTTTGGTCATTTTCTTGCTTGGTCATAGAAACCAATATACCACAAGACCGCCCAGAGGGTAAATACCCAGTCCAATCTCAACAGTAGTGTAGTTGCCAAAAAATAAAAAATCCTTTATTGAAATCTATTAAAAAACCTGGGTAATCAGTGATGGACAGAATAATATAGGGAGAAATATGTATGGTAGGAACAAGGCTAATCAAGAGCCAACCCTCACAAGAAGCGGAGAGGGGATAGAAGGCAATATGTACCCCCATACATAACTCAGGTAACAAAGCAGTAGGAAAGAACAGGGAAAGGGAGAAACACACACTCCCAACCAAACAGTAGTGCTATGCTAATACCCTATCTCCTATAAAACACCTTCGTGGGTGTTCTAATCTAAATGCTGTCATAACATCTGAAGCCCCAGGTTACACACACATACTAGAAAAACATAAATGAAAAGGTGCTCAGAGCAAAGTGCTCAAGAGAGTATTTAAAAACACAGAAGAACCCGACGTACGTTTCGGCGTGACTACACGCCGTCCTCTCTATATTATTCTGTCCATCACTGATTACCCAGGTTTTTAATAGATTTCAATAAAGGCTTTTTTATTTTTTGGCAACTACACTACTATTGAGATTGGACTGGGTATTTACCCTCTGGGCGGTCTTTATATAAGACATCCCTTTTTGGGTTTTTTTCTTCCTTTTTTCTACAATTTCCAGGGTTACCCCCTTTTACCAGTCCAGGTGACCTCTATACTCTGGAGGCTCGGCAGTGGGATACGGGAGTGTCTTTTCCTCCCCTCCCACTTTCCAGCCTTTTGAGTTTCCTTTTTCTTGTTATTCAATATACCACAAGGCTATCATATTTTAATGGACATCGTATATGACTTTGTATATCAGCATATGAATACTAAAATACAAGCTATGGTTTACACAGGAAATCAAAAAAGGCATTTTCAGGTCAGCAATTAATAACAATTCAGCAAAATGTAAGTGTAATATGTAATGTAATAATGTTATGTATAGTGACACCCAACGTATTGTAACAGGGTTATAACAAGATTGATCACTAGGTTAATGCACCAGCTGTGGTATCTGTAACATCAAACCAAACCTCAGTGCCTCAAGTTTAATTCCTAGTTGGGTCAGCCCAAAAATTCTTCCATGGTAGAACGAGTCAGTAACTTCAACAACAATATCCTAGGAGACTAAGTTTAACTTTCCTAACTAAGTACTGTATTTTTATCATTCCAGAAAAGTTGACGAGAGCAGCATTGAGTATAGGTAATGGCATGTGTAAACGTGCTCTGACATTAAATACAAAATTTGCCCTTTACAGTGTTTGCTTAATAAATGCATGTACCTTCCAAATCACATCAGCAAATACCTTGGGGTGTGTAATCCACTCTGTTTGATTTCCTTACCTACTGTGCTACCTCAGAAGAGGTGAAACACACCTCAGGAATTACTGGAGACATATTCTTTTACAAAGACTACAACTACCATTTGCTGAGACAGAAGAAAAAATTACCGTTATTCCACCAAATCCTCTAGCCTAGAAGCCAATACAGGTTTAACACGGAAACTCACTATACCTGTCAACCCCTCCGCTTCTGGCAAAAGAAGGGTTTATCATGAACTGCCTATTTGGTGTGTTATTTTATTTTTTATTTAAGATTTTTAAAAGCTATTTTATTGCGTTATTGGTATTAACCCATTTGCTATGTGGGGACAAAACCATGGTTCATCCTCTGCAGTGCAGCTAAAATGTGAATGAAAACATACTGTCATGGTCTACAATTTAACCTCTATGTCCAGTAATGAGGTGATGATCCCCCCTCATTATATTAAGCAGAGAGCCAAGACCAGACTGGGGCAAACATTGTTGCACAACAATGTATCTAACTAAATGTAAGCAATGAGTTGCATTATTTATTTTAAAAATAAATCAAACAGATTTTTTTTTACATGCTCAGCACTCAAGGCACAGCATGTAATTCAGATTTCCCCTACAGTTCCTCCTAAAAGAACATCACCTGAACACCATTTCTTTGTAGATGCTTAAACAAGAGGAATCCTAAAGTGCCAAAGTAAATTAGAATGCTGAATTTGCAATGAAGGTAAGTATATTTTTACTTATCTCCAGAGCTGGTTGTTCTAGCCTAGGCCAGGCATAGGCAACCTTCAGCACTCCAGATGTTTTGGACTACGTCTCCCATGATCCTTTGCCATCATTATGAGTGTAAGAGCATTAGGGGGATGTGGTCCACAACATCTAGAGTGCCGAAGGTTGCCTATCCCTGCTCTAGGCCCTAAGTAATATAATTCTACAATAGCATTTATTGTAGAGAGAGTTCAATAAACTGTAAAATTCAGAATTGTGGTAGTTCAGAAAATTTCCTGGATCACATATATCTACAAAGTTTTGTCTAGCTAGAAAACAATGACTTTATTTTACATATTTTTGTTTTGATTTTGTGTGTGTGTGTATGTGAATGCTGTCTGTTTTGACTTGCCGTGTTTGGAGACACTTGCCTAAGCAGGGAAAAGCTCCGGTGTGTGACCTAAGTTCCAATAATATTCTAGCTAGTGTTAAAAATGTTGGCTAGGCAGTAACGAGCATGTACTGTGGTTGCTGTGCTGGACAGAGGTAGGGCTACCTTTAAATTGTCTTTCCTGCTCTTCCTGTCAGTTAAATCTTTATCAAAGAATTGATTAAAGGGGCAGAGCCAGCGCCTTAGCGAGCTAGATGCATCTTGCAGCAGCTCTGCATGAATATCCTGCTAATAGTGGATTCTTGGAGAAAATGGAGCACTTACTAAGCCTTAAAAAAGCTCTACGAGTACCCTGTGCCATGGGAAAGAAGGCAAAGAAGTATCGAGCAGACCCCGGCTCAGGATCCCGAGATATCAGGATTTTTAGGCGCATGGCCCCATGGACTAAACCCTCTAAGATGATGTCAGCCTATACTTCTCCGTCGTTGGACGATGATAGCCTGCCTGCCAACTTACCAGGCCCAGCAACCTTCCAGGTATGAGCAATGCCTCAGACACCTCTGGAGCTTCCATGAAAGCGACATAAAGGCACTGATGAATGTCATTCAAGCTATGTTCCACGCTGACATGGCGCTTGTTAGAGGGGAAATCTCCACGCTTACTAGCGGTGTGGGGACAGTAGAGGAGAACCTCAGGGGCAGATGCTGCCCTGGGATTGCTACAAAAGCATTGCACCACCCTGATGGCACAACTAGGTAATATGGAAGATAGGGCAAAGGCACAAAACATGAGGATTCGGGGAGTGCCTGAGTCGGTCACCAGTGCCCCTCTACTGTTGGAGGCTCATGGCCACTCTATTGCTGCCAAAACAAGCAAAACAACTGGGGGTTGACTCCTGCTTTCATCTCTCCCCAGGGCTACTCAAGCACCCCAGGATGCTCCTTGAGATATACTAAACAAGTTTGTACGGGACTCTGATCAGGGGGTCCTTATGGGGCACACCTGACATTTTACAGGGACTTTTCCAGGCACACTAACATGGAGGAGGTATTTTCGACAAGTCTCTCAGCTGCTCCGCGAAAACTCTATTTCTCATAAATGAGAACTCTATTTCACATGATGGCGGATTAAGTAGGCAAGACGCACCTCTTATCACATTTATCCGAGGTTCCAACTTTCACCCAGTCTTTGGGCCTGCCAGTGGAGGCTTTTCCAACAAAAGCTTGTCCATCCGGGACTGTTGCAAACATCAATCAGTTTGTACCCAAGGTAACAGTGTCAGTGCCGACTGCCCAACTCACCTACCTGAAACCTGCAGCTGTTGATATTTGTGCTGACTCTGTTTTGTTTGGTTATGTTTTTTTTGTTTTGTTTTTCTCTTTTTAAAGATTAGTTTCCAGTTTGAATTTTATTTTACCTTATCATTGATCATAACCTCTCGCCTGGCTCTGTAAACTGAGAGCCAGTCACTCTGCCTAGTTATTACTCCCTCTCCCTTTATTTGACGTGCGCAGCTTTCTCTCAATCACACAATCATTATATTGCACATTGAGATGCTAACCTGGATTGCCTAACCACTCACCAGCTAACCATTATTAAGGTCCTAGGTTACTGACCGCCCCAATGATGACGTTTTCTTTCAGCCTTCAAACACCTCAAGCACATTTTTTTCCAAGACACAACCCCATATTACTAATCTGGTGGGCGCGTAACGCTAGTAGCCAGCAACCTCCAGCCAATAGACTATTTACCCTTTACTCGGTTATGAGGGATATAAGCTTGAACTATAATTTAAAAATTAGGTTCATACATTACCTGTGTTGATGTTTCTGCTGAAATGTACACTTTTTGACTGTCGCTTTTTAAACACATGATGTAATGCGATGTTTATGCTTACCCGCAAAAATTAAGAATAAAAAAAAAAAAAGAGAGAATTTATTGATTTACAGGTGGGGAGGAACTTATTTTAAATAAATTTTGTTTTCTCAGTCAACACGTTTGATAGAAATTCTGTTGACACAATGTATGAATACCGTGGATTTGATTTTGCAGTTGCTATTTTAAGTATGCGTAGTGTTGCTTTTTCCACATAGTTTGTGTTTACTTTGTTGAAAATCATTTTTACTCATACATTTTTCAAAAAGGGTTGATATGTGTTACACCATAGGAAAGTGTATTAAGCAAACCTCATCCCTGCTTAGTTTTATTCTAGTTAGGAACTATTGAGAACCAGCAATGCAACCTACTACTGTTTTATCCCTGAAATTTCTATATAAAATTGTATCCCACTTTGATGTGCTCCCTATGCATCCCCAGTATAATATAAATGTCATGCTCAGCAGAATAGGGGAGAGATGGTCTGTATAAGGGAATGGCCTTTTTTGTGCACAAAACTCACAGATTTCAGTGTGTACACTCAAACCTCGCAGATGATGTATGAGTTTGACAGACAAACTGCTGGAGTCATGAGAGGTGACATCATATATCCCTGCAACCTCCATCAGTATGAGCTGCATAACATGAGTGAGCGCTCCGGTAGATCTGTGGATGTGTAAGTGATGCAAACACTCTCTCCCTCAGCCACTTGCAAACACCTGAACATCAAACATACTCATCATAGTCCGGCAGTCAATATGGCCCAGATACTGCAGACTCCTGGGAAGGGTACCGTGCCCCTCTTGTTTTAAGCCTGCAAAAATTGTGTTGTTTTCATTCCATGGTTTAAATTTCTCTAGTGCTTTTTATACTGACAGCTGCTAAAGGCTTTTCTGCAGATATAGCTGAGTGAAACTCAGAGAGACCATCTGATTCATGCAGCACTGCATGCAGCTGTGCATTCACACTAGCCTCCCAATGCTTTCCTATGGGAAGGCATTGGATTGGCTGGAATCATCAAGACTGAGGACCTCAGCCAAGGAGGTGGTACCAGCCATGGAGAGAGCAGCGTGTTATTGGGAAAAAGGTAGGTAAAGTGACTTGGATAGTATAGTGTTATACACATCTATATTCCTAACACTGTAGTGTCCCTTTAACTATAAATATGGTGCATTAAATTGCTACTGTCAGTTATATAATGGGAGGCATGATTTCTCTCTCAATATTACAGAGGACTTGGGGTGAACAATAAAATTATGTCCATATTTTTTTTTAATTAAAATATTGACATAATTTCATTTCATTTCCTATAAAATTAATTTGTAAAATGTTTGATAAGGTTGATCCTATTAGACAAGGAAGAATGATATATTTGGGGGATTTTATTGGAATCTTAGATCCAGATATGGATAGCAAGAGTTTATTAAGGGATCAGAACAATCAGTATTTTAAAAATTCAGCTAGGAGCTTTAACGATATCCTGAGAAAAATGTTTTTCCAATGCACACCAGGTTTACTCTAGGATTGATTTTATTATTGCTGTATTGCTGAACCTGAATTATCTATAGGATTGAAAAAAAAATATTCATCATAAATATTCCATGGTCAGATCATAATGCAATAATTACTCTAATTAAGGATAATATGTTTAAAGATAGACCTAACTGGCGTTTAAATGAACGTTTGTTAATAAAGTCTGAATTATTTAAGTCAAATTAAGGTAACAACAGATCTTTTCTTCAAACAGAATCTTAATAATGAGGTATCACTTCCGGTAATTTGGTGTGCGTATAAGTGTACAATACTGGGACATTTAATTAAAATGAAATGAAAATGAAATGTTCTAAAAATTTAGTCCAATTATATATTGAATTGGACAAGGTGGAACAACAACATTAAATGGGACCTAGTTTTGAGTTGAGTAATAGATCGAAAATAATCCAAGATAAAATCAATGACTTATTGATTCAAAAAGCCAATGATGCCCTAGATAAATTGAAAAGATCATGGTTTTATAAAGGTAACAAGGCAGATAGACTACTTTCTAGTAGGTTAAAGAAAGAAAGGGCAAAAAAGATTGTTGCTAAGATCATTAAAGATAATTCCACTATTTTGTCTCCCTCAAAGATAGCTCAAGCCTTCCAGGAATTTTATTCTAATCTCTACAGTTTACCAGAAAGATACCTGCCTACAAGTCCGGAAGATTTTTTTGAGAAAATAAAGCTTCCTAAAATACCCCAAGACCATCTGAGCAATATGAATGAGCCGATATCAAAAGCAGAGCTTAATCTAGCAATTAAGAAATTAAAGCCTCATAAATCTTCAGGCCCAGATGGTTTTAGCAATGAAATCTATAAATTGCTGAATGAAAATATAAGTATTAGTTTATCTAACACATTTAACGAGTTTATGAGTAGCGGAAAGATTCCAGGTGAACTGTTAAAGGCTCATATAATACCCATTCCTAAACAACATAAAAATCCAGAGCTTATTTCAAATGATAGACCCATTTCTTTATTGAATGTGGTTGTGAATCTGTATTCTTCAATAATTGCTGCTAGATTAAATAATGTTATATCAGATATAATTCATTCCGACCAAGTCAGTTTTGTCTCTAAACCAGGGGTTTCCAATTAATTTTTCCTGTGGAACCCTTTGACATAGTGTATCAACATCATGGTAAAAAAAATAAAAAAATAAATTGTGTGTGACTGTGTGTCAAGGTGTGTATCTGTGTGTCAATGTCTGTGTGTGTGTGTATCTGACAGACAGATACACACACACTGGCACATAGGGGCACACAGATACACACACTGACACACTGATATACACTGGCACATACACACACACACTAAAACACACATACTGACATACACAAACACACTCAGATACACACAGTGACACATACACAAACCTTGAAACACAGATACACACACTCAGACACACATACACTCTCACTGACAAATACACATACTCTTTGACAGACACACATACAAACACATATACAGTCTCACTGACAAGCACATACACACTCTCACTAACAAACACACATACAAACTCCCTAACAGACACACATACGATTTATAATTTTTTGAAAATTTTACTTCACCCAGCCTCCCTACCTCTGGGAGTGCTGGCATGAAGTCTCTGTGTCCCTGTGGTCCAGTGGAGCTGCTGGGCTGGGTGTGTGGTCCCTGGGGTCCAGAGTGGCTGCTGAGCGCCTGGGCGTGCAGTCCCTTGGGTCCAGTGGGGCTGCTGAGCTGCTAGCATGCGGGCGGCGAGGGAGCAGTGATCTTCCTGCTCAGCTCTCTTGCATGCCTCTTAGTGATACCAGAGTCAGAGTGATGTCATATTCCGGCTCTGGCATCACTGCTGTGCGCGCAAGGGAGCTGAGTCAAGTAGAGTGCTCCCTTGCCGCCCATTTTGTTTCACAAACGATCATCGGTGTCTAATGTCAGACAACTTGTTGATATAGTGGATCTGGTTTGTAAGAAGAATTTATCCCTCCTGATACTGTCACTTGACGCTGAGAAGGCGTTTAACAGGGTTAGGTGGGAATTTTTGAGTGCAGTTTTGGATGCATTTGGGTTACCGGAGAACTTAAAAAGAGCCATAATGGCTTTATATTCTTATTCGATGGCCAGAGTGGTGGGGGTAGGTTTGCCTCTGACTGATTCCCTTTAAAGAATGGGACGAGGCAGGGGTCCCCACTGTCCCCACTTTTATATTTAATGACAATCGAACCCTTAGCAGTGGCAATAAGGAACAACGACCTAATAAAAGGTTTGAAGGTGAAGGATGATTATGTTGAACTGATAATGTATGCAGATGATGTAGTACTCACTATTAAAAATCCATTGAATTCCCTTGACAATTTGTTGCCATATATGAATAAGTTTTCAGTCTATTCAGGGTATAAATCGAATATTAATAAATCTATACCTATTAACTTTCCCCAGGTTGTTGTAGGGGTTTTAAAGCATGGGTTTGGCTTTAGTTGTGCAGATTAATCATTTAGTTGTTTGAGGATTAAAATTTCCAATGACTTTAGTAAAATAATGGAACTTAATTTCTTACCACTTCTGAAATATACAGCTAAAAAAATTAAACGAATGGAAAAATCTTGAAATATCATGGTGGGATCGGATAAATGTAGTAAAATCCTATATTGTTGCTGTGACAGACCTCTCTGTCTTGGAACTATGCTTCTATTTCATTGCATTTGTCTATCTTTCAGTTAATTGCCTGTCCGTACCCTCCATTACGGACTTATTTCACAAACTACCGAATTAACTACCGAACGATCGACCACCTGGGAACTGGCGTGTGCCATCAATTGACCTACCAGAAGCTGCGGTTAACCACAGCTTAATTGGTGAACATTGGGAGGTCGCTGTTCCACACTATGGAACTGAAAATGGACACTATTTTGCACGAACACCACCGAAGCCGCCGACCTCCCTTCTTTGCCATCCAGCACACGAACGCCGGTCCGTTTGGTACTTTCCGGCATGAATAGACGCACCCTAGATAGCCATCCCATGCAGCCCGTTCGTATACCGAAAAGACAATGTGAAAGACTTTGGCTCCATGGTGATTGAACTGTATGCATATGATCTGAGCGGCATTCAGTAATAATGTGCGCTCAAATCCCAGCTATCTGGGGATACGTTGAATGTGGGGATTCGGTTCGTGGAATTTAAAGTTATTGATTTTATTGTATTTTTATCTTCAGGTACAAAATGGAGTTTAGCCTCTATCCATGGAGATAATTGGATTACTTCCCAATTATCTCCAGGATAGACAGGAGGGGTTATCTACACCAAAGGGGAGTGTTTATGCTTGTGCCACTGTGATTGGCTACTGTATCCATATTGTCCCAGTCTTCCATCTGGTCCCCTAGGGGAGTGTCCACCAGGTGGGAGACCTGCCCTCAATAAACCAGATCTCTGCTTAACCCTCAATACGGAGCTTGGTCTTGTACTTGGGGGTATTGGATTTACTTGTTCGGCTGTTTGGTTCGTGAAGGATTTTGTATGGTTCCAGTTCAGGAATTTGAAGCAATCGTGTGTTTCCAGTTCGGGAGATTGGTGTTCTGCAGTAGCTGCCTGTATATCTGGAAGGGAATATCCTCTAAACGGCTTTTAACCCCTGTTATGCCTAGGGGTGCCGTTACAGTTGTGAAATTGCTATATTTCTTTTGGATCGTACCGTTGTCAGGTCCAGACAGTTGGGTGACTTTAGCACAATCCCTTATCAATAAATTTGTATGGCTGGGGAAAACCCAAAATAAGCTTGAATCGTTAATCTCTAAAAGCCAAACTGGGTGGTCTGGAGTTCTTATTTTGAAAGAATATCAAAAGGTTTGTAGTCTGTCTCATGTCTTTATTACTCAGCTAAAGAGTTCTACAGATGAAATATGGTATAAAATTGAGCAATCTTTAACTTAGAATGAAAATAGACTAGAGAGTCCTAAATGGGAGAGTGACAATAAAAAAAAAGGGAAAGGAAGCCCACCTCCTTGACAGCTCACTAAGAATGCAGCTTCACAATGGATGCTGTCCAGGAGGTGGGAGGGTCTGGGAGGGAGGGTCTGCTGCTGATTGGCTGGGATGTGTCTGCTGACTGTGAGGTACAGGGTCAAAGTTTACTCAATGATGAGTCCGTGGTGAACCGTTCGCGAACCGTTCGGCCAACAGTTCGGGACATCACTAGCTGGTAGTTATAATGTTAAATTCTCTGTCTCCTGGTTTGCTCCTCCTGAGGACTTAGTTGTCTAATATTGATACATTGCTTGAAACATGACCATGATTTTATTTTGTTTGTGTAGTGTTATGTATGTAATGTCCCACTGCGCTCTAGGGTTATTCACAAGGGGTCTTACGGATAAACCTAATTAAGTAACTTACATGTTAGTAAAATTATCGGGCAATTGAAAAATGGATACGAACGACTGACATTGTTATGAACACCGATCATGAGATAATAATACTGTTAAAGAGGATTTCAGTCAAAGATGTTTTATTACCTTGTATATAATTGTAAAGTCTGACAAAAACTGCTTGTTAACGACCTCGGACGTACCTGATACGTCCACAGCACATTTGAGCGCTGTAAGCGCTCGAGGAATCCTGCAATCCCTCCCCCCCCTGCACTGCCGGTCCACGGGGTGATTGCTCCCCCGGAGCAATCACTTCTGGGTTGCCTCGAGGGGTGGAGGCACTCAATAAAAATAAAATAAATAAATAAATTTAAAAAATAAAAATGTTGGCCAGTGTTTGTGACTAAGTGGCTACTAAAAAAGACTGGACATACCCCACATTGAATACCCTGGGTTGTCTACTTTAAAAAAATATGTACATGTGAGGTGTGATTCAGAGATGTATGACAGATAACAGTGTTACAATGTCACTATTGATAAATTTAAAAAATCTATATTTTGAAACAGCAATGTCCTACTTGTACTTATAGTCCTATAACTTGCAAAAAAAAAAAAGCTAAGGGCATGTTAACATTGGGTATTCATAAAACTCAGGACAAAATTAAGAAACTATTTAGCATGGGTGTTACTGGCGGTAGTAAATGCATTACAGATTTTGGGGGTCAAAGTTCGAAAAAGTGTTTTTTTTATTTTTTCATCATATGTTAGAATTTTTTTATAGTAAATTAAACGATATGATGAATATAATGGTATCGTTATAAAGACCATTTAATGGCAAGAAAAACAGTATATAATATGTGTGGGTACAGTAAATGAGTAAGATGAAAATTACAGCTAAACACAGAAATGTAAAAACAGCCCTGTTCCTTAACAGTAAGAAAATTGAAAAACAGCCTGGTCACTAAGGGGTTAATATTTTGAAAAATAAAGAAGTATAAAAAATAAAAAATAAATGATGTCAATATTAGATCTGGGGCTTTTCAGGACCCAACTCAGGGTTACAGGCCTGGGCAGCCCTCCAACTCCACAACTTCCAATAGCAATAGCTTGTCAGAGTATAATTTTAGAGGGGGCAGTTATTATTATTAATTGCTCTATTTACCCATAGGCGTGCACACAGGGTGTGCCGGGTGTGCCTGGGCACACCCTAATCCCTGCGGCCCGTGCTATGTGCCTCCATGGGCCGATGAGGGAGATCAGAGATCTCCCTCACCGGCCCACAGGCAGAGAGGGAGGCAGGAGAGGACCCGGAGAGCTTTAGCCAGCAGCCACAGCAACGCTCAGATTTCGTGAGAGTGAACTCTAGCCCCGCAGGCTAGAGTTCACTCACCACTGGGCCACCATGGATGACAGCAGCACGGTCCCCCCTCCCTACAAAAGGTAAGAAGGGAGGGGGGGATATTTCTTAAACGGTTCCCCCAAACCCACACAATACACACCAACAGCACCCACACACACACAGCACCCTTACAAAGCACACACTAACAGCACCCACACACACACATCACCCTTACACATGCATCACCCTCACACATACATCACCCTTACACACACACACACACACACACACACATACACACACTAACAGCACCCTCACACACACAGCACTCTTACACATACACCCTCACAAACACGCACAGTACCCTCACACGCACAGCACCCTCACACACAGCACCCTTACACATACACACACACACACACACAGTGTCCTCACACACAGCACCCTTACACACACACATACACACACACTAACAGTACCCACACACACACACAGCGCCCTCACACACACACACTGTGCCCACACACACACAGCACCCCCCCAACAAACAGCAGTGTGTGTGTGTGTGTGTGTGTGTATGTGTATATATATATATATATATATATATATATATATATATATATATATGAGGCGTGTGTGTTTGTGCTTTAGGGTGCACACCCTTATGCAATAGGCTGCGCATGCCTATGTAATTACCTGTATTATAATGTGTCAAAGTAAACTTTCTCTTTTATTCTAAAATGAAGTGGCTGTGAGACACAGTGTAAGGCACAGGGTCCAGCCAGGTGATCTACCCCAAGGCCATGTGCAGTTCCATACCCTACCATATCTACCCCCCAAGGCCATGTGACTGTGATGTGATATCACAATGGCTTAGTATTTTTTTTCTATTGAGATGTGATTCGCTTTCCATCCTTGAAAGATCCACTTCTTATTATAGGACTCTTAACAAGCTTAGATGATTTGGGGAGCTAGTTGAGAGTAAACATACATAGTTGTAAATATGCATAAAAAACTGTAACATTTGGTCTGTAGAAAATTATAGAAAGGATGCATGTAAAATATATTGTATATGGCAGGAAAAGAATTCTGGTAGGGACATATGTTGCCTTTCAGTTAGTACAGCCTGGCAAAAAAAGTTATTTTCATGAGCCAGGACATAATATGGAGGGTTCCATAAGCTATATGGGGGACATTCCTCAAGGAAAAAATCAGGTGCTATTCAGAGTCAGAGCTAAATAAGGAGCAATCGCCATGAAAACCAATATAATGTCTTGACAGTTAATAATTTGCAACTAAATTTCCCCCTGCTTTGCCTCTCAAAAATATAAATTGTTTCATATTTAGTTAATTTGATCGGAACACATAGATAGTGATTTGAGAAACATGTGTATGTGTTGTGTGTCAAGTGAGTGTGGGGTTCCGTGACCATCTCTGAATGATTATAAAGTCTCAGCCTGTCTATTGAGGAAGAAACCCATTGTGAAGCATTGCTAGATGGACGGAGAGTAGGGAGGGGAAAATTAAAAATACTCACGTCTTCTTGAAAACACCCCCCATAGAGCTCCCCACCAGAATGCAAAACTGTTGAGAGAAGAAGACCCAGGTGATCTCCTGCAGGCTGCTGTGTGTCTGGCATCTCAGGTCCAGCAAGGTGGGTCCCAGGAAGGCAATGCACAGACCAAAACTGAAGAACACACTCCAGTAGGTCAAGGTGGGCTGTAGATTTTTTTTGAAGTGGTTGAGTAGCCTCTCATCCCTCCACATCCTTCCTTTTAACAATGGACCTGTATTTATTGGGGGGTTTTTTTTCACTAAAGAGAAAGTTCATTCAGTTTTGGATGGAGAAAAAGAAATCAAAAAACGTAAAGTAATATTTCAGGAAATAAAAGCTGGGTCCAGCGCTTGTTGCCACCAGTAGCCATAGGTGTAGACAGGTGGTGGACTCAATACTGCAATTAAATGAGCAGGTCTCCTTTCTTCAGGGCCTCGTGTCGGTATGTTCCCGTCCTGAAAGTATAGTGTGTGTCTCTTTAGCTGTGCTTACATCCTTTCTCGGTTTCCAACTTTTCCTGTAACTTTCTGTATCTGTGTTTACTCTTCATTTACTTGATGTCTCCTCCCCTTCTGCTGCGTTTCTTCTAGTCACTGAAACCATCTCTCTCTCTCTGTCTCTCTCTGTGTCCCCCTGTCGCTGTCTCTCTCCATTAAAGTTTATTCTTTAATCAGGAAGGTGCAGGTCATTACAGGAGGGCTGAGGGGGAAATAACACACCCAGAGAAGGATTAGGGAGAGGGCACACCATTGCTGGGCATGGAAGGAGCACCTAGCAGCAGGACAATGACAGAGGGGAGGTCACGGATTCAGAACAATGTGCGCAGGACGTGCCAATACTTGCACTATACTTTGTTTCAATTGGGAAAAACAAGGAATTGCTGCTCACTATGTCAGGATACAGCCTGCAGGGCATGCAGAGGGGCATGGGGGGCTGTGGAGACAGAGCAATTGCTTCAGTGCATGAAGAATGCCACCTGGAGGCTGGAAAGAGGACACAGGCTGCAGGGCATAGAGGAGAGTGACATGCTGGGACTATGGAGACTGGGCACAGGCTGCCGGGCATGGAGAGTGGTATGCTGAGCTATAAAGAATTAGAGCATTGAGACCGGCATGCTGAAGATGGACAGAGGACAAAGTTGCATCTCCTGGGCATTGAGCCTGGCATGCAGAGGATGGAGAGAGAACACAGGCTGTAGGGCATTGATAGTGGCATGCTGGGGCTGTGAAGAAAGCACAGCAGCTAGCTTAATTTAATATAGAAGCAGAAAGGCTATGGAAGAGTATTATTAGTTATACGAAAAGGCTCATAATGCAAAACTGTAGAGTATCCTATGTGCTGCAGGTTTAAGTAGGCTATAAAAGGCCCAATGGGGCTATTAACCACTTCAGGGCAGGGGTTACAAAATTCCTATGATATCATGTCCAGGAATGTCATGAAGGGGCAAAACAGTGGGAATCATAGGTGCTTTGCCAGCACTATGCATTCTCACTCTCTCCATTGCAAATAAGTGATTTATATGACAATTTCACATTAACCCCTTAAGGACTGGACTGTTTTTGCGATGTTGTACATTTGCGACCAGGCCTCTTTTTACACTTTTGTGGTGTTTGTGTTTAGCTGTAATTTTCCGCTCTCTCATTTACTGTTCCTATACAAATAATATATTGTTTTTTTCAGGACAAAAAAGGCTTTCTTTACATACCATTATTTATATAATCTCATGTAATTTAATTTAAAACAAATTAAAAAATATGATGAAAAATTGAAAAAAATACATGTTTTTTTACTTTTACTTTAAAAATCTTTTACTCATCTACAAAAGCGAATAAAAAAACTGCTAAATAGATTCAAAATTTTGTCCTGAGTTTTAAAATACCCAGTGTTTACATGTTTTTCTGCTTTTTTTTTTTTCAAATTTATCAATAGTGACATTTATCTGTCATAAATTTCTGAATAACACCCCACATGTACATACTTTTTTTAAAGTAGACAACCCAGGGTATTCAATATGAGGTATGTCCAGTTTTTTTTAGTAGCCACCTAGTAGCAAACATTGGCCAAAGTTAGCGTTCATATTTGTTTGTGTGTAAAAGAAAAGTAAAAAACTAAATTGAATGCTAATTTTGGCCAGTGTTTGTGACTAAATAGCTACTAAAAAAGACTGGACATACCTCATTTGCAATACCTTGGGTTGTTTTCTTTTGCAAATGGTATGCCATCATCGGGGTAATTCTCATTCCTGGGCTACCATACGCTCTCAAAGGCAACGTAACCAACCTGGCCATTTTCAATGTAAAAATATTTGACCCTGTAACTTTCAAAAACGCTATAAAATCTGTACATGGGGGTACTGTTATACTCGGGAGACTGCTGAACACAAATATTAGTGTTTCAAAACAGGAAAACATATCACAACAATTTTATTGTTGCTGTTTGTGTGTGAAAAATGCGAAAAAAGTCACTTTCACTGACAATATCATCGCTGTGATATGCTTTACTGTTTTGAATCACTAATATTTGTATTCAGCAAAGTCTCCCGAGTAAAACGGTACCCCCCATGTACAGGTTTTAGGGTGTCATAGAACGTTACAGGGTAAAATACAGTGCTAGCAAATTGAATTCTCTGGACTTTCGGCCTGCGTTGGCAGGCCGGTCCCTCAAATTGCAATTAATAAAATTACTTATTTATGTAAAAATATTACATAAGTACGCACGTAGAATTTAAATATATATGCATATTTATATATTTGAAGTCTACGTGTATATTTATATAATTATTTATGTAATTTTGTATATGGACATATGTATATTTCGTATTATTTTTATTTATTTATTTATATATATATAGATATATATAAAATTTAATTCTAAGTGTATTTTGATATATATATATATATTAATATCAAAATACAGTTAGAATAAAATTTCATATAGATATATAATTTTTTTTATTTTTATTATTATTTTAAATTTTTTTCATTTAATTTAAGCTACTTATTTGTATTTTATAATAATATATATATATATATACAATATATATATTTATTATATGTATTATATATATACATGTGTAATTTAATTATAAGTGTATTTTTATATTAATATATGTACATATTAATATAAAAATACACTTAGTATGACATTATATATATGACATATAGACATTTAAAATTATATATGTGTGTATATATATGTCTATATATCATATCTATATATATACACACATATATAATTAAAAAATTTTTTTTTTGATTAAGCAGCACAGACAGTCCCCCTGCAGGCAGATACATGGACACCTATTGTGACCATGTGACTGCTCTGTTGAGTTCTCACATGGCCACAGGGGTCCTAATCCGCCATGGGGAGACTGTCTGGGCTGCAGGCAGTCTCCCCACACCGGGAGCACTGCCAATTGCCGCCGGGGGAACGACGGCGATCGGTAAGTACATAAGACCGTTAGGACGGTTCAGGAGCGTCACCGGTCGGCAATGGAAAAATGCCGATGACGAACCTGAACCGTCCTCGGTCGTTAAGGGGTTAAAGGAACACTTTGGTCACCATATCAAATTTGTCTAAATTAAGTTGTTATGGAACCAAGAGGCCCCCGGACACCCTCTTACCTTAAGGGGTTAAACCGTTCTCGTTTTACTGCCAAAGACAGTCTCCAGGTACGTATGTTTTTTATGAATGGGGAGCCACTGATTGGCTTGGAGAGTCAGATGACCACACTAAATAATCAGCGGCGCCATGGCCCGGCAGCACTCAGCACTCCCTGAACCTCAGTTTAAAAAGTCAGATGCCATTAAGGGATCTCGAGATCGGACACTGGACGCAGCCTTTGGGGTTAAACCATTCAAGAACAATTTAACCCCTTAGGGTAAGAGAGCTCCACGGGGCCTCCTGGTACAATAACCAGTTGTTATGGTGACCAGAGTGTTCCTTTAGCATAAATTCTTACCCGAATGCATTGAATACATCATATATCACAGAGATACATGATGTATTCAATGTAAAGATTTGACATTTACACACACATTATTTCTGATCCAGTGCGGCCACAGCTTTTTAAGTGTTACTCTTCTATAGTACCCACCTCCAGTCCACCCTCTCTCCTTCCACAGTCTTCTTTAATATGCCCTGTTTAGGGACGCCTTATTGCCAGTGTCTGACGTCACTCCGTTCTATACTCCCTAGCCAGTCTTTGTAATATTTGCTTGGGATTTACTACATGTGCTGCCATTGCTATGCGTGGAGAGTAGAAGAGCAGTGAGAGGTCTCATCTGCGCTTCCTTGTCAATCACATCACACAATCATAGGCGTGCGCAGCCTATTGCATTAGGGTTTGCACCCTAAAGCACAAGCACACGCCGCGTATATGTATGTATGTATATATATATATATACACTGCTGTGTGTGTGTGTGCTTTGTGAGGGTGCTGGTAGTGTGCTATGTGGGTGTTTGTGTGTGTGTGCGCTTGTGAGGGTGCTGTTAATGTACTGTGTGTGAGGGTGCTGTTTGTGTGTGAGGGTACTGGTAGTGTGCTGTGTGTTTGTTAGGGTCCTGTTAGTGTGCTGTGTGAGGGTGCTGTTTGTGTTTGTGAGGGTACTGTTAGTGTGCTGTGTGTGTGTGAGGGTGCTGTTTGTGTTTGTGAGGGTGCTGTGTATGTGTGGGTGCTGTATGTGTGTGTGGGTGCTGTGTGTGTGTGGGTGCCATATGTGTGTGTGTGGGTGCTGTATGTGTGTGTGGGTGCTGTGTGTGTGTGTGCTGTGTGTGTGGGTGCTGTGTGTGTGTGGGTGATGTGTGTTCTGTTTGTGTGGTGTATGTGTGAGGATGTTGTGTGTGTGGGTGATGTTTGTTTGCTGTATGTGTGTGGGTGCTGTGTGTGTGTGCTGTATGTGTGTGTGTGTGCTGTTTGTGTGCTGTGTGTGTGTGTGCTATGTGTGTGGGTGCTTTGCTGTGTGTGTGTGTGTGCTGTATGTGTGTGTGTGCTGTGTGTGTATGTGTGCTGTATGTGTGTGTGCTGTATGTGTGTGCTGTGTGTGTGTGTGCTGTATGTGTGTGCTGTTTGGGTGATTTGTGGGGGTGGAGGTGGGGGCAGATTAGTTAATAAAGATCCCCCGTCCCTTCTTACCTTATGTAGGGAGGGGGACCGTGCTGCTGCCTTCCCTGGTGGTCCAGTGAAGGTGGGGGCAGATTGCTTAATATCCCC